AAATAAGATTAAGAAAAACTTCTTTAAAATAAAAAAAGAGAATTTTTATTTAAAAAATAATAAATATATAATTTTTTGATTAGGAATCTTAAAATCAGAATCAAAAGATAATATAGAATCGATTCTGTTTATATTTCAGGTGTAATTAATGAAATTATTTATAAGTAGTTTGAAAAATTGAATTTATTTAATATTAAATATATCAAATTTGAAAACAGATAAAATATAAATAAAATAGGTATTATAAAAGATCAGAGTTATAATGGATTAATAATAAAAAACTCTTAACAATATTTTATTCAAAAAAAACAATTTGATTTAAAGATTTGGATCTTTTTTATTGAATGTATTTCAGTAATCGACAAAGCTCTTTCTTTTTTATTACTTATAAAGATTCAAGTATATAATAATAATGATTTTTTATAGATTTTACTTTATATAAAAATTGGAACTTTATTGTAATTGAAAATGAATGGATGAATAATAAGATAGCTTTTGAATAATTGAAAAAGGTTTTTATATTTCAAATAATACTCTTCTAATTGAAAGAGGTTAGATTACTTATTTTGGATAGTTATGAAAGTTATGAAACTATTGAATTTATAATTGAATGTTTCAAATACAATATATATCTTTTATTTTTATTATTATATATACTATATATATTATAATTATTAGATTTATCAATATTTTTATTTTTGAAAAACAAGTATAAATATTATTTTAATAAATTAGATTCTTTATCAGATTCTATATCAATTAGAAAATGTAGTTTTCTTAAATATTATTAGAAAGCAAGAATAAAAACTTTAATAATCAAAAATATCAAAAAGAGATAGAAAACTTTAGATTTATAATTTCAAAATCGTATTAAGCCTTTATCAATATATTATTGTTTAAGAAGAACAACAAAAAGATTATTTTTCAAAATCCTTTTTCAAATGATAATTTTGTTTTTCAATAGAATAAAAATACATTTCTTATTAAATAGAAAACCTTTCAAAAAGTAAATAATATTCAAAAATATATATATATAATGATTCGAGAAAAAAAGATTAATCTTTTAATATATCTATTGTTTTTTTAAAAGATTTCTAAAGGGTTTGATATTAAAGATTATATATTTATATAAACAAAGTATTGAATAAAACAATTAGAATTTAAATTAAAATATACTATATCTAAGAAAAGAAGGAAGGTTTGAATTAGTCAGAGTTCAAATTTTGTAAAGATTAAAGTTATTCAACGAATATAAATTAAGGTTGGAGATTGTAAAATTAATAAGAATAATTCTGATGATGATTATAAAACAGATTCTATAAACGATTATATTGAAGTACAATAATTTTTGAGTTATTAAAGTTTAAAATTTATATAATAGTTTTTTTTGAGGTGTTTGGAAATAGGGGTGGCCGGAAAGTGAGGTATTAGATGTTATGATTTATAGTTTAGATTATAATATTATTATTGTAAAAGTGATAGATCGAGATATATATATCCCGATAGCATATTATAAGGAGGGAATTGAAAGAGAAAACTGAATTAGATTATATTGTAATATATCATTTATAAAGAAAACAAAGTTCATAATAGTTTTGGAGTTGATATTATATAGTGTAAAAGTGGTAGGTCGAGATATATATATCCCGATAATAAGAGTTCTGGAAACTTCTAACTGTACACTTTACCGAGAAATAATTGTAATCTTATTTTCAACCCTCAATTATAAATAATTCATCAAAATTCGAATTTTCAATATTTTCTATTCAAACTCAAAATGATTATCAAAATTCAAGATAAGAGTGATAATCATAAATTTCATCAAAATTGGGGTACCTTTTGTAGAGCTAGAATCTTTCAGATTAGAAAGGATAGAAAATCGTAATCTTGGATCGAACAAAATTTGGGTATACCTCGAAGTATTGTAAGAGGTATCATTAAATCGAATTCATTTAGAATTATTTGTAAAAGGAAGGTATATCGATTCTTTATAATGATAATTAAAAAGATTCGATGAATTATAAAGGAATTGATAAAAGATTGAAAGGGAAGAAAGATAACTTTTGAATAAATGAAATATATATTAAGGGTTAGGGCTTTGATATGTATTATTCGATATGAATTATATTGATATAATTATAAATGTTATATAGTTTATCCTAGATTATTTATCTTTAGGAAACAAGCAAAAAAGAGATTGGATTTTGTATATATATATTGTTGATAAAGGATAATCGATGTAATCTTCGAAAAGTCTAAAAGGGGTGATTGAAGGAAAGTTATATGGTCGGACGAAAGCATTTTCGAGGTTGGAAAATATAATAGGATATAGATAACTTGTAGGATTGAAGAAAAAAGATATAGGAATTGTATCAAATTAGTATATAGATTAAGAAGAACCTTTATAATGATATAGAAAGCTTTTGATTGGAATTATAAATCTCTATTAATCTTTTTGAAGAAAAATCCTGATGATAAGAAGGTAAATTCAATAGTATATTGAGACTAGATCTTTATTTCTATTGTATTCCTTTTATTTGATGAATTAAGATTTGAATATATATTCATGAAAAATGATATAAAGATTTATTTAAAGTATATTAAACTAACTCAATTAGAGTATAATATTAGAGACTTTCAATAGCCTCTCTTTTCTTCAAATCTCAATCTAATTGAAAAGGTATAATATTGAATGAAGAAGGAATTAAAAAAACTATTATTTATACTTATTTCTATTGAAGAATTGAAAAAGAAGTTCAAAAAATTGTAAGAGATATTTGATCCCTTAAATTTCAGGTTATATATTAAGAGATTGATTTATAAATTAAAGGATATAATTAAAATAAAAGAATTAGTTATTATTCATTAATATATTATCAGATTTTTAATAAAAAATATTGTGATATTGATTTAATATTAAATTTTCAAAAATATAGGTGAAATTTAAAAAGGGTACAGTGAGTAATGACCAGAACTCTTATATTATAAAAAGGGAAATAGAAAAGAAAGTTGAATTAGATTATATTGTAATATATCATTTATAAAGAAAACAGGTTTCGTAATGATTTTGGGGTTGGTATTATATAGGTTCAAATGTATATATATGAAAGGTTGATTATTCTCAAAAGAAGAGACAAAAGCTCTTCTTTTATATCTAATTACAAGAGGTTATATAATTGACTTGTTAAAAACCTTTATATATTTGATTTATAATTCTAACTTTCTTATAATGAATTCAAATGTATATATATAAAAGGTTAATTATTCTTAAAAGAAAAAATAAAAGTTTTTCTTTTATATTTAATTATAAGAGGTTATATAATTGACTAGTTAAAAACCTTTATATATTTGGTTTATAATTCTAACTTTCTTATATTATAAAAATCAATGATTTAATTATCAATTACAAGAGGATTTTTTAATGTTACGATTAAGAATTTAGAAATCCTAAAATAAATATTTTAGATAATTATAATAGAATAAAACAAGTGTTCTAATTTTATAAAATAAATTAGGATAATGATTATTTTAGAATAATTATATTAAAATATCAATTATTTTAAAGAAGGGATTATCTTGAAGTAATTTTGATAAAATAAAATTATTAGAATTAACTTACTAAAATAAAGATTATATAATGAAGTCTTCAAAAGTATAAACTTTCTTAAACTTTTTAAAGCTTTTAAAAGTGTAAACTCTTCAAAATTTCTGAAAGGGATTAATATATAATTAAAATAGTTTTATAATTTAGAAGTTTTGTATTCAACTTAATTATCAATTAGTTTATTTATATTCTATTTAATCTAATAAAAAATTCACTTTCAAATGAATAATCAATAATTAATAATCTTAATCTATAATTATTAATTATATAAACCTTAGATAGCCGCTACCTCGATCAGATCGTTACACAAGGGCCTAGGGGGCGCAGTGTAACGATCTGATCGAGGCAGCGGCTGCCTCAGGTTTTCGTATAGTTGATAGTTGTAGATTAAGGCTAATACTCACTGGTTATCTATTCGAAGGTGAATATATTATTAGATCAATTGGAATATAGATAAACTAATTGATAATTAAATTGAATATGAAGCTCTTAAATTATAAAACTATTTTGATTATATATTAATGAATGTAAAGAAGCTTTATAAAGCTTTAAAGCTTCAAAAAACTTTTGAAGCTCTAAAAGCTTTTGAAGTTCCTAAGACTTTTTATCATGTAATTAGGATCAGATTATATATCTGAGCTTGTTAAAGGTAAAGAAACCATATAAGACAATTACTATACAAATTTGTATACGAATCGTTTTGCTTTTCGATAAGGTCTAAACTCATATAAATATATTGATTGTTGCCCTTCAATATATCCTTATTTTAATCGTAAATCGTGACACACAGGTTTCTAATAAACACTTTAAAGAAAATACTTTTTCTTTAAGGTTTTTTGAAATTTTAAAATTTTTATAATAATTGTCACGGACGCTCCCGGGTTGCAGCCTGAAAACCTATGACTATTATAAACTACAGTCCTACTTATATAATCTCGGTGTTTTATTAATGAAATATTGAGTTATTAGTTTGCAAAGTGTTATATAAGTCTTTTATTGATTTTTATACATCGGGTTGTATTTGATCGGAAATTACCTTTGCTTTTGTGTATAAAAGAGTTGGTTATTCTAATTTAAAAAGAACAATGAAAAGCTTTAAAGTTGTTTTAAGATTAATTGATTCTTTATTATATATAACTCTAACAATAATATTATATTAATATTATTTATTATATTTTGAAATTTTAGATATTATTAATTAATTTAATTAATATTCATTAAAAATAACAAATCTATATTATATATATTATTTATTTATTATATGATTTATATAATTCTAGTTATAATTAAATCAAACCAATTATAAGTTTATTATTATTATTATATTATATTATTTTTGTTATAAAATATATCAATTGAATATATTTTTATTGTTATTTGAAATATAAATTAATTTTCTAATACAAGTTAAGTTAACTTTCTTTTATTATAACTCGAGCACATACACAGCTCACATTGCTCGTGGCCTTGTATCCTAGCTTTAACTAATGACATCTCCTGTGAGGGTTCAATGTATGCAATTCTACAGTTGATCTTGATCTTCCATTTTCTTTCATTTCACTTACATTGAATCTTCAAGAAGATGCATGGTATGTATCAAGTATAACACTATCATTTCTCATCTAATTCGTCATACCGAAAACTATCTTGTAGCTCTTTCCTCCACCGTGAATGGCTTGACGTGATCTTCTCTATCTTTAGAATATTCTCTGTCATATAAATGAAAGTAAGAACCTCCTTGATGCTAGAGCGGAAAACTCAACCAAGTAATCATCTAATGATTTTTCAGACCAAGTTGTACATTTAAGCAGAGCCTATAGTCTTGAGCTAAGAACATCACTAAGCGAATAAGATGTTCTATCTACTTGTGCGCTATCCCCTCAACTGGTATCCTATCAGCCCCGGCTTCTTCCACAGCCAAGTTCTCCTTTGGATTCTGCGTATCATCCTTCATGAATGGGAAAGTAAGAACCTCCTTAATGCTATAGTTGTCGGTTAAGAACATGACCAAACGATCAATACCCATACCCCAACCAGCAGTTGGTGGTAAACCGAATTCCAAGGCTCGACAAAAGTTCTCATCAATCATTTGAGCTTCATCGTCACCTTGATCCTTTTGTCTAGCTTGCTCTTCAAATCTGAGACGTTGCTCAAATGGATCATTCAACTCTGTGTATGCGTTGACAATTTCCTTCTTGCAAACGAATGCTTCATAACGTTCGCACAAACCAGGCTTGCTACGATGGTGCTTAGCTAGTGGTGACATCATCTTTGGGTGCTCAGTGATGAAAGTTGGGTTGATACATGTCTCTTCGATGAATTCTCCTACGAGCTTATCAAGCATGCGGGCATTAGTAAGAGGAGGTGAGCACTCGACATTCATCTTCTTGAGGACTCTCTTGAAGAATTCATTAGACTCGTCATTATGCAATTCATCCGCAGGTGGAAACTTCTCTCCGGTTGCTTCTTCAAGAGCTGGAATCATCTCGATACGTTTCCAAGGAGCAGCCCAATTGACTTCATATTCTTCTCCGTGTTGAGTATGGAACTTGGTTGTTGTGCCTCCAGTGATGTGCTTGACAAGACCAGAAACCAATTCTTCGGTTATATCCATGGTATCATAGACATCAGCATATGCCATATAGAACTCGCAGGTTGTGAATTCTGGGTTGTGTGTAAGATCGATACCCTCATTACGGAATTGACGTCCCATTTCGTAAACACGATCCATACCACCAACGACAAGCATCTTGAGGTAAAGTTCTGGAGCTATACGCATGAACATGTCCATGTTAAGGTCATTGTGATGAGTTTTAAATGGCTTGGCTGTAGCACCTCCAGCAATTGAGTTCATCATTGGAGTCTCCACTTCATCGAAATCCCTATCGTCAAAGTAATTGCGAATATATCGGACCATTTTGGAACGGGTCTTGAGAACCTTTCGACTCGAGTCATTCATGATTAAATCAAGATATCTCTGACGATGTCTCTTCTCGTGGTCCTTGAATCCATAGTACTCATCTGGAAGTTGTTGCACACAAGGTGTAAGTAGAATTATCTCTGTCGCAAAAATCGAAAGCTCTCCCTCCTCTCCCTTCTCAATCTTGCTCTTTGGTGCAGTCCGTCCAGGGTATCCAACAATACCAATGACATCACCACGACGTAAAGGTTCATGTTGCTTTTCGAATGCTGGTGCTCCTTCTCTAGACTCCTGGAGTTGGCACATAACCTGAACTTTGGTATCCCTAGTCTTGACATCGTAGAAAACTAACTTGTTGCCCGAGGCACGCTTGTTGTAGATTCTGGCTCCGACGCGTATTTCTACATTCTTGTCATGTTCTCCGGACTTCAAATGACCGTAGTCCTTGACGAAATCCTGCAAATTGTAATTTACATTGAATTTGTGTAGATAAGGGTCGGGGGAGTTGGCTTCTTGCTTGTAGTATGATTCTTGCATCTTCTTGACTGCGCGCGAACGGATTTCGAAGTATTGCTGTGTATGGTTGTCAGTGATCAAGATTCAAAAACAAAAAGGGGATAAATACCCTTGGATCCAAATCCTTTTCCTCAACCTCAGCATTAGTCTTCTTGACGGCGGCCGGCCTTGCAGGAAGAGCAGCAGCTTTCTTTGCCTTCTCTTCTTCCTTCTGTCTCTGCTTCTGTCTCTTCTTCAATTCGGTCTTGGAGACCATCTCCCCAGTGACCTCATCGAGCAGTTTGGCAGCTGATTCTGTTGGCGCCGACATGATTGCGATTTCGATTTCTCCAATTGTTGACGAACAATGGAAAAGAAAGGTGGGGAGTGTGTTGTGGTTTTATTTTCAAAATTATGGTGGGATGAAATTTGGCGGGGGTTGAGTCACATTGTGCACTGACTGGAGGTAATAGCAGCATCAATTCCTGTATAGGGCGGCACTAGTCAAATTGTATGGAGTTACGCTCAACTTTGCAAAGGAATCAATGAGTTCCGCACCAACTACTCTAGGTACGTAGATATACTAGGTCACTTGTACACGCGCTTTACACGTGGTAAGTGCATACCAATTGCAATACAATATCGCTTGAGTAACCTTATACTCTCTGGCAGAAAGATGGATACAATGTGTATCGTCTCCTCCTACCACAATCCCGACTAATTACTTAACCTTCCACTTTGTCGCTCTTCATCCCTCGCTCTTTGAAATAGCGCACCATAATCTCATTTCCTCTGTCTACCGCCGTCTCAATTGCCACAGAGTCCTCCAACCTCGCACCATACTTCAATAGCACGTCCGCCGCTCTGGTGTCGTTATAAAACGCCGCCACAGAGATCAATGGAAGAGGACCAGTATCCGGATCCTGGGTTGGATCCGCGCCTGCCTTCAACAAGAATTCCAAAAACGCGACGGGCTGCTTGTTCATACATGCTAACGCGATGGGTGTATCACGTCTGTCAAATTAGTGATTGATAATGGCTAGATCTTTGGACAAAATTGCTGAAAATAGCTCTTTGGATGACGAGTAGACAGCTGCACGGATAGTTTCTTCGGGAAGTAGGACAGATGGGTAGTTCGATAGAAGGAAATTGACGATTGATGTCTGTGACTTCCATGCTGCTGCATTCAAAAGTATTTGGATGGTTTCTTCGGCAGGATTCTCCTCGTGGCCAAGTAGTTGTTCTAGCATTTCGAGCTTGCCCGCAGATGCGGCTGCAACCATGTCGTGGGAATGATTTGTGCTCATCTTTTCGAGCCTGATATGAGAAGTAACTACTCTTCAGAAGAGCAATGGTCAAAATGAAAAAACGATGCAGGTATGCATGATATGTTTTCTTTGTTGGTCTTAAAATGTGTTTGAGTGTCGTTGAAGTGAGCAGTCGGAATTTCATGGTTTCAAAATAACATGTGTAACTTTAGCCAAAGGTCTCGAGATTTAGGGCTTAACATCATGCTTATTAGTCAGCCTTGTACTTTATAAGGTTACATGCCTTTAGTCTCAGCATTCCACTGCAAAAACACATGCAATCCTGCAATGCCAAAACTATATCAATTTGAATACCCAGTTTATGGTAAACACGAATTCCGATGTCTAGATCACATTTCCTCTCGTGTCGCCGCTTATGTGATTTCCGATTTCTTGCTTCCATCGCTTCAAGGCATTTGTGGCAGAGTCGAGAAGGAGGCACTGCGATTTTATATGCGCTATTCTCTTCAGCTATGATTGTGTTGAACCTAATGGTCAGGAGAAAGCTAAATCTGGAGTCCCAAGAATCTTTTGGTCAAGCAAACATTGAAGGAATGCCGAACTTGAACGGCACAAGTTGACATAATTTTCATGAATTTCTTTTGTCGGCCGTGTTTCCGAACTGCAGGCAGATGCTACGTCCCATTATCTCAGTTTAGAAAGCCACCAAAGTCTACTCTGTTCATAAGCTTCATAAAATATTGTTCTCCTGGTCGATTATCACCTTCAACAATCTGTACTATTCACACAAATCACAATTAGACAGATATCAACCATGAAGTTCTTCGCTGCATTACTCGCTCGAATTACTCTCATCTCTTCCATTACAGCAGCTCCAACAACTTCATTCAGTCTCGAAGCTCGTGCCAAACAATGTCCATCTGTGGACACTATCGAGAAATAGGTTTAGGAAAACACTAAAGTCGGCACCAAAACCGTCTTCTACACCGGAACAGCCACCAATAAAAACGCAAAATACTACGCCACTAAGCTGGTAGAGAATTCTGACGCTCTGTCTATTCCATCAACTAGCTCCTTCATTAAATAGCTGAACGTGGTGAAATCCGTGAGCAGGATAAGCTTGTTCTTCATATGGCTCAGGCATTAGCTTAGGCAAGTACAAGCAAGGTCTATGTTATGTTACCCAAAGGCCAAGCTCTTGCACCTGATTACGCAAGGAGTATGTTATTCTCCCCAAGTGTTTCTATCTGAAGGCATTACATTTTAGACACTGTGCCTTTCTTTCTTAGTTACTCAAATTCATCGTTCATGAACCGCAGTGAAACTTCAGTGTCTAGTACTATATCTTACAAAATTGCAAATAATTGGACTTGTTCCTAGTTTTCCAAAGATGCTCGTAAAAGGCTATTTTTGACATATTAAGATTGAAGTTGGCTTAATTACTAATCTGCGTGTCTGTGTGGTGTGTCGTTAGTGTCATAAGTTTGGTGGTTTTCCCGCAACACAACGCTCTTAACCTCTGAGGTTTAAATAACTTTACACCATAACCGATAAAATTACACAAAAAGGCTCAACCAAACCCTAATTATCTGACAGCTTGTAGATCATGGCGCCATACCATACAATGCTTACGGATTAGATGTAATAAACACTAGTATCGTCGCACCGTGCAATATAAAAGCTTACCCTTTTTGTCCTACGATAAGACGTGTCCCTCAAATTCTAATTAGATTTGCTCAGATGGCCTAGTCAATCTAGTATCAATGCCATCATACGTATATACATTAGACTCCTGCAGCTTTTAATTTTACTCATTGTGCCTAGTCTTAACCTGATGTAAGATTTCCTTGCTCGATGTTGTTGCTTTTATGATCATTCTTGGAGTCATTGCGGCTTTGTCAAATACTTCCGCTCGATGTTTCCCGCGATTAAAGCTCAGATATTCTAACTCGGGTCCTGATAGGATCTGGTTATCTCTAATTTTAACCCTGCCTCGCCACTATAGACCTAAAACTTTCATCAACAAAGTCAGCTCTATAGTAGACGATTGGCGAAAGCCAGAAGACTCCATCGGCTTGCTTTCTTCTTGGCAGTCGGGCTTTAACCAAGGAATACTTCCAAAGGCATGTCATTCACACAATGATTATTGGTGTACTAATTATCCCGCTTTTTCAATTTTTAGCAGCTGGATACATAAGCGTGGTGCAGACATATATATCTATCTTCCGATAAAACCCGGAAGTGACAACCTATTAGTTGGCCATTATTCAAAGTTGTTTGAAATAAGACCGTAGACTTCAAACTTATATACTGGCCTTTGTTACCATTCTCGAGAATCTAAATGTGGCTCTAGTCATCCGGATAGTGCTGGCTGGAAGGTATTTTCCAATCGCGTCCAAACACTACGTTTACACTACTTCTGGATTTTAAATCTGAAGGCAGCGAACTATGGCCATATGTAAATCGATATTGAGAGAATTCTCAACTAAAAAATGGCTTACTTACTGAAGCAGTTCCAAAAGGACTTACTTGTGCCCCACTTCTAGTTGTTGCTTCTGGGAAGACCCCTTTCAACCTCCTGGTTTCTAAACCACCTATCGCGATATATTTTACGATGTTCCTTTGGACGAAATTGCGAATCCTCTTTACGATAACACTAATGCATACTTTGCAGTGTTTCGATGTTCAAAGCTATTGGCGAACTGTGGTTGTGAAATTTAGCTCGGCACAGTGAATAGGATCGCTGAGCAGATTAGCGCCCCGACTAGTTAAAGCTTGAAAGCTAGATATTTGGATACTCCGTCCTGGCCTGCCACTTTGCGAGATTATGCTTGGGAGTTCTTATCGAGAAGAAAGTTGGAATGTGGAATGTGGATGTTTTTCTTCTGTTTTGTACTTTCTGTTAATGACTAGGTTTGGTCAAAATAGACTTGTTTGATGATTGATAGATAAACATATCAAGGCATATGTCTAGTTATCATAAAAGACAGAAGTTCTCGGTCATACTCATATATTTCATCCATGGCTATATCTCATCTATTAATTGTATTCGATGAGATTGATGGGTGGCAATGTCTTGAGATGTTTACTTTATCCGATGGAAATATGGAAACAAGTTAAAGGACCAAGCCCTTGGCCAAGTTGTCCAGCCATGGATAGCAATATCAATGGTGTCGAATTAGCCTGGAAAACTTGATCAGGTACACATTCATCAGATCGAATTTTTCATGTCCGTCATTAGCACATACAGTGGAGGTGCAAATACCCCACTTGGAAAAATAGATGGAGTTCTGGAAAAAGAACGGAGCGCAGAACGTGTAGATAGATGATTAAAGAGTTTATGGAAATCTTATTAAATGGATAAATAGTTATTTATCTCTAATCTGCTGATTTTGATTTTGATACCCTTGAGATATATCTTTGGGCGAAAGTCAATGCTGACATAAAGGTCAATGACAACTTTTATAGCCAAAAATAGAAAAGAATGTGCTAAAAACGACTCGAAGAGTATATTTCTTCTATATTTGACTTTAGTATCCTGGCCCTAGCATCTTAGAGTGCCTAGAAGCTATGTACCAACGGATCAAATTATTGTGAAACGAATTTATACACCCCATATTTTGCCATGTTCTGAACCCCGTCCATCGCACCGCCTTCGCATGGTGGAACAATATATTTTTGACTGTAAGGAGATGACATTCTTCTAAATATTCTTAAACTTTTATTGACCACTACACTTATACGAGGTCCATATTACATCATACATCCATCGCTTGTTTAGTAGCTTACCAACTGTAAGTACAATGAAAATATCAGATGCCGAAATCTCGACTAAAGATTCTAATCGAGAGCTATTTTTGTGCTTTTCAAAATCCCAAGAAATCATTTTCGAATTTCGACTGCGTGTTCCATAACGAGATAGGTCTCAAATGAACCATTGTCTTCTAAGTTCTGAGAGACCTCAGCTCTACGGGGTAATTACCTCGACGGGGGTACCTTGGTAAACCTCCGGTAACCTCGCACATATAAGGTTACCGCCATAGTTTGTCAAAACCCATGTTGCAGGTCAACGATTTTCCCTAGGGTACAGCCATTTGCAGAAGTTCTGGCCATGATTTTCGACTTCTCTTCATATACCGGTATCGTGCCTGGATATCATCAAGTTTGCAAACTTCTTTGGTGGGATTGAATTAACCTATGTTTGAGGTCCAGTGTCTTATTCGTTGGTAGCGATCCGAGAGGAAAATAAATAGGAAAAGAGAACGAGTACTTGGGAATTTGGCTCCCAGTGAGTGGCATTCAAATGTTGCAACAACCACTTAATGAACTGTGTCAAATATTGACAATTTACTCCGTACTCCACGTGATGTCCAGTTATTAAGAGAATATTAAAGTTTGATATGCCTTGAAAAGATAGGCATGTTGGGTAGTATGTATGGTGCCCACTTTGCGAGCCGTCCTGTAGCGTTACTTTAGCGGCTAGACAGCTTCGGTTGCCTTGACTTCTCCTGGCTAGTTTAGATTCTAGTGCTCACTGGTTCAATTAAAGCTAAGTAAGGGGCCCCAAGTAAGAAGTTAGAGCAATGAATAACAGAATAACAGAACAGAATACTCATCTCTATTGGCCGACCCATACCCATATATTTACAGCCAAATTTCACGATTGCCGAAGAATAGAGATTAAGGTTACCATATTCTTCGAGGATATTGGATTTTTTTTATTTAATGATTTCATTCTACCGTTGAGGGGCCCGCTTATCAAGTCACATGGCCCCTAGTTTCCTGTATAGTTAATTAGCTTGGAAGGTAGCTTATTTACCCTGTCTATTGTCTCAATCAATACACATACTTTCCCTCCTATGCCTATTTACTTTCTTCTACCAGCCAATGGACTGGGAATCTGTACCCAAGCAAGGAATAAAGTGATTAGGTAAACGCATACAGGTCGTCGCTTCCCCAAGTACTTGAAGTACTGCTTGAGGATGTGGTTTCATGCCGCGTAATATGAATCGATATATGCATGATTCTACGAGTAGCATTATGCCTGTATTCTACGGAGCTTATAAATAGGTAGGACTGCTTTCTTGGATCTTTACAAACCTTCAGGGCTTCTCCTAAACCGATGTCACATCATTACTACATTGATTTTCCGAGGATGGTCGAGTAAATTAGAGCTGAGGAATATCCCATCAAAATTTGGGTATCACGAGAAACCGAATTCTAATTCTCATCGAACTTGAAAATTTCTGGGTCCCAAACGACGTATTGAGATCTAATGTTTGATTGGAGAGGCCTAAGCGTTAGTACGGTTTTGAGCGAAAGCTCTTGTACGGAGTATTACAAATAATTCTATTCTGTCTAAGTCCCGTCTCTTGGCAGGCTATGAAATCTATTCCAAAACCATAGACTAGCATGCGGTCATAGTTTTCTTGTTTATGCAAACAGGCAAGTTATCCTTACATTTCAGGAAAGACAAACATCTATTTTACAATTTGCATTAGCACGAACATGGAATTGAAACATGCGAATCGCAATATATTGCTACAGAACCCCTCGAAAGGTCTTTCAGCCTCCTTTGGCACCAGACGATCGTCCGATAGCATTCTTTTTGTTACTGAATTTCTAGCATTCCTTGCCATACATATTCCAATTCCATGGCATTGGGCAGGGCACAGCCGGGCCCTTTTTTTGTTAGTGAGCATTTCAGCGATCGTAGATCCCCGGGGATTTTTACGGGGATTTTTACGAACATGTCAATCTATATCCTAGCAATTCTTTTTCTTATGCTTTCTACACATTCGTCTGTCTAAAAGGCAGGGCAGTTTCGGAAGATAAATTCTTACCATCCTGACCTACTAACCATATAGGACGTTAGACGTTTGAAGCAAAGTTACAAGCCGATATGCATTAAAAAAGAAGTCGCCTATCCATTTCAAAAGTTTCTTGTCCAAGTAGCCGATGAAAATCTTGGCAATCAATGGATGCCTGATCACCCAAAAAATCTGTAATACATGGAGCTATCACGACTTTTAACTTCCCCTCTGTGTACTTCAGGATGAACTTTAATTGGGGCTCAGAGCGTCGCTGTATCGTGGCCCCTGTTTCAAGAGATCATCCAGTAGAGCATGGTTATACCCTGAAACAAAACACACTACTACCGTACTATGTAACTACTGACTGTAATGAAGTTTTGGCCGAGTCTTTTCCTGGCATTGGAATGGATCTAACGAAAGTTTTGCCTTTAATCCGGAACGACATGGTCTGGGGCGTTATGTTACAAGCGGCATCCGTACCCTCGGGTTTACCTGTTATATGACCATCTTTCTCCCGTTTTGTTTCCTATTTTGTTCATTTCCTCTAGGCGTTTGTTCAATTTTATTATTGTAATAAGCCCCCCTCTAGCGATGAACCAACTTCGGTGAAGGCATTCCCAACACCCATTACCACCATGCTCACATTACTCTCACCAAATTATGTGTCGAAACCTACCACACGCGCGGACTTGGCTATCGCATCGATTGCATTTGGATGGACTCTCGGGTTTGGATGGCTAACAGCATGGACAGCATACAAGCAAACGAGACGAGTTCGACAGCGCTATGGTATCACTCGAGTTCACACCCCATATGTGGTAATGATATGGTCTGAACTTGTTGTATGTTTGACCTTTGCAGTCCTATGCTGGCTTCATTTGTTTGGTGATCTTGTTCCTCCGAGGTATATTTCGCAATTCAAGGTTCCTGCGTCCGGTTCTCCTACTAACATGATATAGCTTCGCGTTCTACTTCTGTATCCTGACACTCTGGGCGCTCCAAGTTCAATTTTTGCTCCAAATCATAGTAAATCGAATCAGTATCCTCTTAACTTCTAAACAGAGAGCCCTCCATCTCAAAATCGGTGTCGCAGTCCTCATCACCCTCATCAATATTTCGGTTTATTGTATCTGGATACCTGCCCGACTCCAAATATCAAATACATATATCCATCTCAACGAGATCTGGGATCGCTGCGAGAAAAGTATTTATCTGGTGGTAGATGCATTATTGAACTTCTACTTCATGAAAACTGTGTATAGCAAGCTCGTAGGAAATGGCTTGAAGAAGTATAAAACATTGATTAAGTTCAATGCAGTGCTGGTGGTTTTTTCCTTAGGTATGGATGTGTTGATCATCGGAATGATGAGCTTGGATAACTCTTTTGTGTACGTTCCCCAATTTCACCCATTTGAATCCAACCCTCCAGTCCCACATGCCACTCAGGGTTATCGCCCCTCCTTCCCCACTTCAAAGCTAACATCACAACCAGATATATGCAATTCCACCCCCTCGCCTATCTCGTTAAACTAAACATTGAAATGTCCATGGCCGAGTTGATCGCCAAAGTTTCCGCCCTCCCCTCCAACTGGTTACCACCCAAAAAACGCACTGCATTAAAAATCGGTATTCAAACCGATATTTCGATTAAACATGACGATATAGATGATTTACAAACATTGGAGTTGGAAGACACGATCAATAGTCCCGCACCGACGATTGGCAAGGAATTCGATCACGGGAGGCCGGTGGTCTTTGCGGGGGAAGATTATGATGATGAGAGAGGAACGAGCTCGAGTGCGATTGTGGATCCGAGGACCAAAGCGGGGCAAGGGGCAACTTGGTCGAACAGTTGACCCAGTGGATGATTAAAGAAAAAAGCAACGAACAAGCAAATCAATGATTATGATATATTTTAGCAAGACAATAAAAACATGGATATTAATACACTAGGTGAAAATTGCTTATCTGATTTTAATGACGATTCTCGGTATATGTATAAGCGTTAGCTATTGACCGTTAACTTCTCGCACATCACTCGGGCCTAGTAGCCCGCACTGATATCTCCTATCTGATCCGAGATTAGCTGCTGCGCGTTTGTCTAATAGCCATGTTTCACTACTCGATGTAACACAAACTCTATATCTTCCGGTGGCGCTATGGATGGGAACTAGAGTGTAGTTCGTTATCTGGCTAGGATGTCTCAGAGTATTGATGAGATAGCCGATTTGTTAGTGGTCTGTTGAGCTAGTGGGAGTTTCCTTATGCCGGTAGTTAGGATTTGGAACATTTGTGTTGGAGGTTGGAAGAAGAGCCGGTATTGTACGATAGGTAGGCTGGGACGAGAATGTGGCGGTGTCGCTTAATCGTCACAATCACTTTCCACCCCTTCTACTCCGGGAATCCATACTTAAATCCTCCATAACCTTTATATCCACTCAGCTAAACTTGAGCCTACATCTAAAACTCAAAAAATTCGTGGCCATTCATTGCTCGCATATGTGCGTCATCTATTACGCCAACATTCCGGTCAAAATAGCTTGAGGTCTTTGCACAAGTCTCACGATTCATTCATAAGTCGATGTGTACTAGTACTTTTGATTTTCATCTGCTTCGTCGCTCTTTTAGTTAGGATCATTCATAAATCGATTCATCTGAATCTTCAGATATCCTAATTACTGGCTTCGGCTCGGCGTCAAGGGAGGGGTTGAATGTAAGGATTTCATTGATGATGATGTAATGGGATTGTTTTGATGGTGTATTGCGGTTGTTGATGGTTTGAGAGAGATTATAATGACGTAATATGCTGGTTTTATTTATTGAGTTGGCGTCTTCATGACGAGCATGGTCGTGCACGTGTTATAGAAATTGAACTAGCGGAAAAAGGAGGAGTGCAAAACGTTGTTGATAAAATGTTGATGCATGGAGGAGGAGAGGGACTGAGAACTGTTAAGTAACTGGTTTCTCTATGAATCGCTGGGAATTTGATGCAAAATTATACACTGTTTGGGGGGTAGTAGTATTGGAAAAGAATGATTTTTGATTTCATTGAAAACTTAGCTCTTTGATTATTCTGATGTGATCTTTTGACTAGGCTAGCTCAATTTCTGTGACGGTACTAAAGACTTTGATGTTAGGCATGCTGAGGACTCTTCTTTATTACGATTCCTGGGTGGAAAAGAAAGTTTTGATTAAGGAGAAATTCTATTAGGTTGATACTCAAAGCAAGTCAATGGGGTAATTAGAGAGCTTTCAGTAAAAAACGGATTTTATAATAATAGATAATAAAAAACTATTCAATCAGGGGTCAAAAAAGAATTATCATCTCTTTTTTTATTTGAATAAAAACTTTATTTTATAAAATCTAAAATAAATTTAATTTAAAAAAAAAAGATAATATTATAATTACAAATCTATAACGATCTGGTCGAGGCAGCGGCTGTCTGAGGTTTCGTATAGTTGATAGTTATAAATTAAAGCTAATAATTATTAGTTATCTACTTAAAAGTGAATTCATTATTAGTCCAATTGAAATGTAGATAAACTAATTGATAATTAAGTTGAGTACGAAACTCTTAAACTATGAAACTATTCTGATTATATACTAATCTTTTTCCTTATATGCTAACTATATTAGCTAGCTAGCAAAGCTAGTACATCATATAATTGATCCTAAGACCTTTCCTTTCCTAGAACACTTATTCCAGAAGCTTTCCTTCAGGAATTATAACCTTAGGATACGATATCCTTTAGGATAATTATCCCATTTCAGCTAATTAAATAAAACACTTGTCCTATTCTAATATAATTGTTTAAAATACTTATTCTAAGAATCCTAAAGTTTTAGATTTAGATGATTAGGCTCTTTAAAAGCAATAATTAAATCATACCCCTTTTGTAATCAATATATAAATCATCAATATCAATAATACTACTATAATGAAAACTATAAATCGTGACAAAATATTATATTAATTGATTATATATTTATAAGATACAATTTGAATAATTTAATATAAAATTGAAATAATTTAAAAAACAAATAAATATAAATTTTATTAAATTTGAATTTATAATAATTATAAGATTATATATATTAAAATATTAAAAATTCAAAAACTTTTATATTTTAATAAAGTTTTTGAAATTCAAAAACTTTTACATTTCAATAAAATATTGAAAATTCGAAAACTTCTACACTTCAATAAGACATTAAAAGTTTGAAAACTTTTATATTTCAAAAGAATAATAAAAATTCAAAAACTTTATAACTTTTAAATATAAAAATCTATATAATAATAAAAAAATCTTTATTATAAAATTTCATATTCAAAATTAATCATTTAATATACTCTACTATTAATTACGAATTACAATCACTGATATTATCTTAAACCTTTACTTGATATCTAATTATAAACCATTCAAGGATCCAGGCCACTTCTATGTGATCTAGATCGCAAGCCTCGTAACAAACTACCAACTAAACAAATTCCAGGCAGCCGCTGCCTCAACCAGATCGTTATACTTTGCCTTCTGAACTACCTTTCGTAAGCAGAATTTCCGTAGTACTAATATTTTGAATTGCACGTACAGTTCTTCTTGCCTCAGACTTTACCGACCCATCCTTTTCTCGATAACTAAAATCTCGCAAGCGGGGAACGTTACAATCAACCGTATATATACATCATCGCCATAATTGGCTGAAAGCCGTGGCTTTTGTTCCAGAATACTACCTCGTGCATCGTTAAAAGGCCTATACCCACATCGGTACGTGTCGCAATGAAGACCAATAAAAAGCCATGCTGCAGAACCACATTCGCACAACAAAGTCTTCATCTCCAAGCTTCGACTCGGGACACTCCAACAATCAAGTACAACGTACTATATTCAGACCATGGAAACACAGCAATATCAATATCGCCCCCTTCATGAGCATGATGCTATTCGTATCATCATCGTTCACCCCGAGGCACTCATCAGCTCCCCATTATCGTGCAGCCTGATTCATTCCACTCTGTCACATTATCATAATTCTCTCATAGATCAATATACAGCACTTTCTTACGTCTGGGGAGATGCAAATAATACGAGGACAATCTTGGTCGATGAGAAACCACTGTCTATTACGGCGAGTCTCGAGACAGCCTTGCGTCATATGAGAGATACACAGAAAGACATGATGATATGGGCGGATGGAATTTGTATCAATCAGTCTGATACTGAAGAGAAAAGTAAGCAGGTTCGCCTGATGGGCAATATTTACGAGGTTGCAACGCACACTATCATATTTCTTGGAAAGACGACCTGGGAGTATGAGGAAATCTTCGAGCTTCTTGGGCCCTTTTTTCCTACTCAGCATTTATTAAAAAACAGTTCAACTACAGGCAATCAAGATAAATTGTGTAAAGATCTCAGTCGCCTCTTATCAAATATGGAATGGTTCAAAAGAGTATGGGTTCTTCAAGAGCTAGTTTTGTCCCGCGACCCTTGGCTACAGGTTGGACGTCAACGGTTCAGATGGGACGACTTTATGCATTTTATTGACCGTGGGACTTCTCGGCAAGTTCTGGGGGACGACTTAATGGATTTTATTGACCGTGGGACTTCTCGGCAAGTTCTGGAAGACGAGAATTATCCTAGCCATAATTATGCGATGGAAATGCAGGAGATACGCTTTAAATTTAAAAATACCTTAAAATACGAGGGGGAATGTCATGAAGTGAACAATCTGCTGCGAGTCTTACACTTGAGACGTGGCCATGGTGTTCTAGATCCCCGCGATATGATATACGGACATTTGGCATTAAATATGCCCCAAAGCAATGACCCAGAAATAGAAAGGCTCGTTGAAATTGACTATCACAAGCCACTATCGGAGGTATACTCAAATTTGGCGTTATACCTTTTAAAACGAGAAGGTAACTTTGGATTTTTGTCGCATGTAGAGGACGTGGAATTAGCGGCCCGGCGGCTGTGCCTGCCTTCATGGGTGCCTGATTGGACCTCATCGAATAGCTCTCCTGATGCTGAATATCACCTTGGCACGCACCGATGCTTCGACTTTACGGTACCTGCACATCTGGCTCTCCTTAAGTCCTCAGTCTTAGGATGCACTGGAACTCGTGTCACCGTCATCGAAAGTATCAAAGATATCCCTCCTATCAATGATGTTTTAGCGCTGTGCCAAGAAATAAAAGACATACACCCTGAAGATAGCGATAATTCAGACAGCGGGCTCAACATTTTAACTTTTGACAGACATCACTGCATTCGGGCAGTTATAATACTGTACAAATACCTATGTTCTTGGCTTGGTCTCTGTGAGCCACTTGACTTCGAGAATGGTGACATAAGTTTTGGACCCGAGTCCACTGTATCTGACCTATTGTATGGGAGACTTGCAATATTCTATGTGAGAATTGTGGAGATATCCAAAGAGACTGACTTTCGATGTTTACCTCCCCTAAAGCCATATACATATTGGCGGTGGGAATATGATCACGGGAAACGTATTATTCATGATCCAAACCACGGCGTCCCGCGTCCTTTACTGGGGTTACTAATGGCTTTGACTGATTGCTCTGGGAATTTTTTTGCTGGCAAAAGAATCGCAGTTCTTCGGAATAGAGAGCTAGCACTTGTCCCCACACAGGCTCGAGTGGGCGATATTATTTGTGATTTCAAGGACAGTTCCGCATCTCTATATATATTACGTTTGCTTGATAAGAGAACTTCTTCGCCCGATCTCGACTTGAAGTTTATTGACTTTTTCACAAAAGAGAAAGAGGCTGCCAGGAAACACTTCGTTGAGTACACGCACTATGGGAGCCTCATCTGGAGGGGAACAGGCACCCGTAAATTAGCGAGATATTTTCGTGCTGTATTCGACCGTCATATCAATAAGAAGGCCAAACAGGCAGCGCGGAGACTGCCCAAGGTCTGTGATGATCATGGAGACTACATTATCAATCCAATTTTGAAGGCAAAGTTGGATCTCATCACTAGCAACACGATAACGGCGAAAGTGGACCATTGTGTCTACAAAAGTCAAAAAACATATCAAGCGCATAGGAAAAGAGAAACACTCGTACAAACAGACACCTCGAAAGTTGAGCATTTCCAATATGTTGGGGAGTGCATAATGGAAATGGAGCCTCTTCAAGCAAGTTCTTCAAGCACTGGGCCTGATCAGGAAAGTGACTATTCATTCAGTGAATGGTATGAGAAAGACCTGCTAGCTGAGATTTTGTCTGAGTTTGATGAAAGTTCCAGTGAGGAAAGTTTTAGTGAAGAAAGTTTTAGTGAATCTGACGATCCATACATCAACAGCCCAACTCGATCAGATTTCACAACATCCTCAAACGCCAGTGAAACCAGCACCGAACACGAAATGGTATTGAAAGCAGTGATTCAACCGTTGCGGAATATAATTATAGCACTTCATTGAAAAATGATTCGTAAGTACTTACTTTCTAACCAACCTCACTCGGAATGTATTTCCAAATGACGGGAGAATTCCCAAGCTTATATCTCTCTTTAGGGAATACAATGGTCGAACCTAGATAACGATGTGGGGGATATGGTATTATTAAAGTTACATTTAAAGGGTCTGGGTGATATATTCAAGAGTTATAAGGACGAGGACCAGAGATGAATTATAATTATGGTGATTTCTAGGAGTTTGATCCTGTGTGAGAACTGTTCTGAGGAAACTTCCCATCTGAACTCTGTGTATATGCATATGTATTGAGTAATTTCATCCCGTCTACTCGGTTGATTTGAAACATCCTCGATGATTTATTTTCCACGTCTGTTTCTCTTCCATACATAGGGTTTCAGTTGATCAGCTCGTCAACTCTCCGTTATTTCAATGCTTCCTCCCATCCTATTCTTCTTTCCAGATAGATCTCCAACTCACAGGCCCATCATTTTCTTTCCTCTCCTTTCTCCAACCATTGAGTGCCCCACCCAGACTTCGCTTCAACGAACTTCCATCTTTCGAACCATCTCCACCTTGATCTCTACCTCTACCTCCACCTCCACCTCCACCTTCCTCTTCCAACAACCACTTCTGCTTCCTAATCTCCAACTTTCTTCAAAGATAGGCCCCAAAGTCCTACATTCCCCCACGTCTCCCCATAACCCAACAATACTCCCCGTTCGTCTGCGCCTGAATCGTAATCTTCGTCCCCTTCGGCATAGCCCTCACAATAACATCCGGACGAAAATGTAAACACCTACGGGGAATCTCCGCTACCGCCTCTGCATCCTTAACTGCATTTTTCTTCCGATCAATACAGACATGGATTTCTACAACCGCTCTCTTACTACTCTGTAACCATGCCCGTGCTATCCTTAGCTGTCTTTGTACATGATACCAATCATGCATAGCGTGGAAAGGAAATAATTTTACTCGTCGCGCAGAGGCATCTCCTCCGGGAGCGGATTTCAAACCCCGTGATATCGAAGCGGTGGGTTCCGGATGGGAGATTTCTTCCTCGGGAATTTTTTGTAGATAGTATTGATTTGAACCTTTTCCGTCTTCTCGTGGTGCGAGAAATGTTCCATCTTGCATGTGGTTTTCTAGGATACTTTTCAGGGTTGTTGTCTGGATGATGGGATTGGGTTTTATGGTTGCTATGGTTGGGTTTTTATCGTGAGGGGTGGGTGACGGTTGGAATTCTATGGACTCCGGATCGATTAATTCGACTTGACATGATTCTGGGTCACTGAGGATGAAATCTTTATATTCGGCAAGCTTTTGTAGGCCGACTTTGCTGGGTGTTGCGGCGTAGGTGAAAAGCTTGATGGTTCGGGTTTGCTGTTGGTAGGTTGATGTCGGATGGAAGGTTTTGATTTTAGGTATTTGAATATACCTACTTGACGATATTGATCGGATGGTAAACATTGAGTTTGAGTAGATGAAGGCTGGGATATTTAAGACAAGAGTTGATTGATCATGAAGCTCGTGATTACTCTACTCGGTAAGTTGTGTTGAAGTTCATCAAATAATTCTAAAATTTGTTCACCGCCTTGGCAGAAAATGACGTTCAACGAGCTGGTGAGCTGTATATATATATATATCTCGTCGAAATTCCTCGATAAAGTTATTGAATTTTCTTTACAATATCAACCTTTCTTCAACAGTAATACCTAGTCTGCCTCCACGGCAGTGGCCCCCGGAGGGCCAGCGGAGCGTCAATTCAATTGATTCCATTGATTCTTCTTTACGGGGGCAAGCCCCCAAACCCCCATAGCTCGCTACGCTCGACTTTTAGACCTTTCTCGAGTATTTTGATGTTTATTTAGAGTAAGAATCTTGGTGGGTACTTTTGGTTCATTATACCGGAAATCTACTGCACTCCATATGTACTTCTTTCCACTCCATACCTGTATATCTATCGCCGATGTTCCAAGACATATGTGATATATATTATTAGGTCAATGCAAGCTAATAACCAATTATCTTGATGCGATGATGGTCCTATGTAAAGAAGTAAGTGTGTGGAATTAGCTGAGTTGTGCTCCAACCTACTTGTTTGTCATTGCTATGTCCAGTCGATCTTTCTTGATTGTGCAGGGTTGTTTTTAGATGAAACGTGCGAGTACGAGTAGATACGAATCAATGATCTGAAAGTGGTTCATGCTTCATGCGATCAGTGGGGGAATGATTGATTGATTAATCGATCCATGATTGGAAGAAGCTCGCATGCGGGTACCTGACAAGCAAGGCACGAGATTGATGTAATTGGTGGAATGCACGAGGGTCTGCTCACACTATACCATTTCCAATAAGTTCCCGTGCTGCTATATCGAAAATAGCAAAGCTTTCAACCAACCGTCAAGCTCTGAACCAATCACATGAAGGGGATCCCCCAGCTTTAGCGCGGGATGCAATCAATTGACATCCTTATCAGGCAATTCCAAGGCCATCATAGTTATTGATGTGGCTGCCTGCTACTCTATCTCTGCTTGGGGAAGATCCTTGCGGCTTGACCTGAGACTTGGAGGGAGTGAAAGTGAAAGGACGCAATAATGCAATAGATGATAGAGACGATTCTCGGGACATACGGAGTCAATTGCCTCACGCGTCACGTCAAACATCAATCAATTATGAGATGCATCTGTTCATCCATTGATATTCAGTCTTGGTTTTGGCATCAAACCTTTCGAAATTCTTGGATGCATCCTTTACCGTCCTTCGCTTTATCTTTTTATCCATTCATCTACTTCTACACGAATCGAATAGATACCACTTCGTTCATCTACTCTATCCGAATCGATACAACCTCAAACATCGCTTCTGTCACACTTGCCTTCTTGGCGCATGGTTTTGCATTATTCGAGCAAAAGATCTAACCCTTTCTCCATCATCAGCCACCCAACAGCCACTCAATCAATAGCCACAGAAAGGGACGGGCGTATCAACACCAATAAAAATAAAAGCGACTCGCCCTAAAATTGTCTCACCTGCAGCTCCACGATTCGCTCATTCGTTCATCGCATTCACTCATTCGCTCATTCCTCCCCCTCCTCCTCCTCGCTCCCTCCCACAGAAGAAAATCTTCAATCTTTCAAACACGATCATACAACAAACATCTTTTCTTTTCTTTCGTCTACCATACCTCCTCTCTTCATCTCTTCATCTCTTCATCTCTTCATCCCATTCAGCCTCGTTTCTACTCATAACACATAGCTACATCCGAGCACCAAATCCAACAATAACCTTTGCGCGCCGCTGGACTACGCACCCAATCAATGTCTTACGTTGGATAGTTTGAGGGAAAGAAACGAACTCACTCGTACTCAGTCGCTACTCAGTCGCTACTCAATCACTACTCACTCACTACTCAATCACTACTCACTCACTACTCACTCAACATTCATTCGCATTTCAATTTGGCCATTCGTTTTATTATCACGCACGATATACTTAATCGCATTGGTGCTTCTCTTCTAGTGATCAAAAGAGAAATCAATTCCAACCGCCAACTTCAGACCATTTCTCAACGACCACCCACCCATACAAACGGATGATCAAACCCGCGCGCTTCAGACTAACACAAGAAGGAAGACAGTCTCACCAAAAAAGAAACTCAAAACAATCATTCCTTTTTTTTCCTTTTTCTATTGTATTGATCAATTCAAATCAAGTCATGTCAATTTGATCTTCAATTTACAAAGACCTTGATATCACTAATTGGCTTGGATCCCTTCGTCGCTTCATATCATATGGAGAGTGAATATCTTGTCGCAATCTTTTCCAATTCGTGAATAGTCACAAATTAACTAAAACAACATGATTCAACAATAGAAATAACCACATTTTCCTTTTTCTATTGTGTTTCTTGCTTAGCCTTAAGCCGCGGTCGATCCGAACAACAATTTATATCCACCATCCTACTGTCCCTAACGTCTTCAACCGTTTATTCGACCTCGACCATCCAAGACGATTCATTATCTTACTTCTTTTCACATCCCTTCTCGATTGACTTTATTTCTTAAGATCAGGTACATTGACAATTACACCACATCTCAATTGTACATCACCGTCACTCATCCCGCATAAGTCGATACTTCGCAGGCGGAGAACGACAAGTGCATTTATCACTTCACATTCCTCTTGTCGAGGGAACCCACTCTCTTACGGAATATCCAACAATCCTTCACCATTACAATTCCTTCTCTTCTAGCCAGGTGCTTCGACATTATATCAATTGTCATCGTGGCAGCGCCAAACGAATTTAATTAAACATATAACCTTTACTATTTCCAACATGGGTTGCGGTTCCAGACGTGTCAAGCCAGATGATTTACGCCCAGAGCAGAAATGGGACTTTATAGTAAGGTTGCATTGAGGTTGAAGTCAGGAAATAACTAATTTCTCTACAGAGTCTTAACGATTTTAAATCGACATCTTGTTTTACTCCTTTCGCATATGCATATCTGTGGATCTCTTTGGGTATATCTACCGCTGTCTATGGTGTGGATACCTTCACTGCAGTCAATCTTTTAGCTTTCAATCGTTGGTCTGGTGAAATTCAACCTAAAATCCCTCTCAATGTCTCAAAATGGATCTTCTCTGGATGTATCATTGCCTCTTGGATAAATCTGGGATTCGAACATTTACGATCGTGGAGAGTTATGCGACGAGGGGCCGTTGCGGAAAGCTATTTGGATAATCTTGCGGTTCGACTTGAAAGTGTCAAAATGGGAAAGAGTGGTCGAGGTTGGAGAAGGTTCTTGGTCTTTGCCGAATTGACTAAATCTAAGAAAGGAACGGAATATGTTGCTTTATTTACCTATTTTGCTTTTCAATGTAAGTCGCATGAAAACTCTCGATTGTTCTCATTCTAACAATCATAGCTTGGATTCGAGTTGTTGTTTGTCAAGGACCTCGTCAAGTCATTAATGCATTAACTTTATACTCGGTCTTTCAAGCTAAACTTGATCCAACCGAATCTGACGATGTTGGTCATGCTCTATTAACCTTCTTTAAGAATGTTGGTATCCTTGCGGAGCAACAACATCAACAAGCAGTTATCTTGTCTGGTATGATCTTCACACTCGTTGTTTGGATATTCTCCGCCTTGAGTCTCATCCTCGCCATCCTGTTTTACTTATTATTCTTATGGCATTACATTCCAAATCACGATGGAGGACTTACGGGGTACTGTGAGCGAAAGATTAATGGTCGTTTGACAAAGATAGTCAGCGCCAAGGTCAATAAGGCTATCGAAGAAGAGGAAAGGAAAAGGAAAAAAGCAGTAGAGAAAGCGACAAAGAAAGGGGAGAAAGTTGCTGGACATCAAGCTACTCTCCCAACACTTTTCGATTCGAAGGATGATGACAAACTTCCGGATATGCCCATGCTTAATAGAGCAGATACGATGGCGACACTACCACAATATACGTCTCGACCAGGTACGCCCAGTAGTAATATTCCACAAACAGCTAGCTTCGAACTCGAGAAGATGGATCAAAAACGACCACGAGCTCAAAGATCTGTGAATGGATCAAGTTATTCTTCAAATGCTTCACTCGTGAATAATGCGAGCGATATGGGGAGATTACCGGATTTACCATCACTCGATACTGATATGCCACTTCCTGGTCCACAAAGAACGAATACTGCAGGATCACAAGGCAGTCAATGGCAACGTGGTCCACCACAGGCTTTTCAAGGTCCACCAAGAATGGAATCTGCAATGGGTGACCGTGGTTTTACAGCAAGTCCATTTTCTTATGCTGATGGAAGAAATACTCCTGGATTCCCTGGACCACAAAGACAAAATACAACGGATTCTTATGGAAGACCAATTCCTCGATCACATACACCTATGGGCCCTGGTCCAGCTCCATCGATTGGAAGACGTACACCATTTGATCCTGCTATGCAAAATCCTCCAAATCGTATGATGTCACCAATGGAATATGGATCAGGATATGGCTCAGAATATGGAAGACAAACACCATTCAATCCGGTTCTTCAAATTCAAGGGCGTTCATCACCCGCTCCAGGATCAGAATTTGGAGGACAAAGACCACCGTTTAATTTTTACAATGATCAAGGAAGATCTTCTCCTGCTCCAAGACCTGAGTTTGGTGGACCAAGGCCACCTTTCAATTATAATGATCAAGGGAATTCATTACCTGGTACTGGATCCCAGTTCGATCGCAGAACACCATTTGATCCAACTCTACAAAACAATGGACGTTCATCTCCTGCTCCGCCAAATATGAGTCAAGGATATGGTCAAAATACTAGAATTCCGCCATCAAACAACCCAGGTGGATATAATTCATACAATCCAAGTTCAAACTTAACTTCATCAGAGCAGCAAGGACAAAATGGTTTCGACTTCAATACGAGTAGAATTAATCCTCCTCAAGTTCGAAATTTTACGGAACCAATTCCTAGAGCTGCTACTACTGGACCTGGTCAAATAAGGTCAAATGGAAACAGAAATGAAGAAATGGGATCTATTCAGCCACCTAGAAGAGCGGCGACAGAAGTTGGAGGCTTTGGTGTAGGTGGAAGAAGTCAACAAAATCAAGTTCATCAAAGACAAGGTTCTGAACCATCTGAATTTGGATTAAATTCAGCGCCTTGGGGAGGTTATAGATGAAAGGGTTTTAAATGAACATTTTAAGAATTCCGAGTGGGCGTATAATCTAGGTTGATTGTATATTTGATGGTGAAATTCCAATGGGAGGTATTTAACATCGATGAATTATTTTGATGATGTTTGAGGCGGTACTTTGTGGTTTACGTTCTGGAAGGAGATTAATATCTATTTACGTTCTTTATGAAGATGAGGAAGGTGATATGGATGAGGATGAACCGAGATCTCTATAACACTTGCTTGTGTGGATGATGAGAGAGTCCGCTCATGGAGGGGATTGTATTGTATTAAAAGATGAGGTGGTAAACCAGGGGATGAGGGTGATATATGATCTCTGGTAGCATGATAAATGATTGATCCGATTGGGTTGGCTCTTGAATGAATGGTTTAATGATACCTAGGAACGGTGGATTTATTGGTTTGAAAGCGATGAAAATTAAGAAATGGATGGATGGTTACAAATTAGATATCTTTGATGTAGATATCATGAGATGAATGATTTAAGAAGATAAATCATATCTTTATTATTGTCTTTGATAATTCTTGAGATGAAGGTTATAAAGTAAATGATTTAAGAAAATAAATACTTTTAAATATAAAATGATTAATTTGAAAATATATGTATATAACTTTTTAATTTAAAATATAAATAAATAAATAAATTGTTGATATCACTTTAATAATATAATACAATATATAATAGTATTTTCTTATATTTATTTATAAATGATTATTATAGATATTATTAAGTTATAACTTAAAAGTTTATATATTCTATAGACTATAACTTAATTTATATAATATTGATATCTTATTAATGAAACATTAAATTATTAGTTTAAGAGAATATTGTATAAATCTTTTATTAATATTTATATATCGAATTATATTCGATTTAAAATTACCTTTGTGTTTTGTTTATAAAAAGAATAATAAAAAGCTTTAAAATTGTTTTAAGATTAATTCATTTTTTGTTATATGTAACTTTAATAATAATTGTTATTTATTTAAAAAAAAAAGATTTATTTATATTAAAAGAAGTATAAGTTAGGATATATTAATTATATAGTTTTTTTTATATATAGTTTTTATTTGAGATTGATTATATAATGTATTGATATATATATATATTTAAATAAATAAATAAATAAATAATATAATTGAAAGTTTATCTTTTTAAAATTCTTATTATTACGATTTATAGTTTTCATTATAATAATATTATTAATATCGGTGATTTATATATTGATTATAAAAGGGATGTGATTTAATCATTGCTTTCAAAGGGCTTAATTACTTACAAATAAGATCCTAGGATTCCTAGGATAAGTATTCTAAACAATTATATTAGATTAGAATAAATGTCCTAGCTAATTAACTATAATAGAATAATCACCCTAGAGGATATCGTATCCTAGAATTATGATTCTTAAAAGAAAGCTTCTAGAACAAGTATTCTAGGAAAGGAAAGGTTTTAAAAAAGGAGAAGCCTTAAGATCAATCATATAATATGCTAGCTTTGCTAGTCAATTAACAAAACTAGTATTTCAAAAATACTAATTATACTAACCAGCTAATATAGTTAATATACAAGAAAAGAGATTAGTATATAATTAGAATAGTTTTATAATTTAAAAGCTTTATATTCAACTTAGTTATCAATTAATTTATTTATCTATCAATTGATCTGTAACGATCTGGTTGAGGCAGCGGCTGCCTCAGGTTTTCGTATGGTTGGTAGTTGTAGATTAAGGTTAATAATTATTGGTTATTTATTCGAAGGTGAATATGTTATTAGATTAATTGGAATGTAGGTAAACTAATTGATAATTAAGTTGAATATGAAGCTTTTAAATTATGAAATTATTCTGATTATATATTAATAAATATAAAAAAGCTTTTTGGAGTTTTAAAACTTTAAAAAGCTTTTAAAGTTTTAGAAGCTTTCGAAGCTTTCAGGGCTTTTTATTATATGATTAGAATCAGATTATATATTTAAGTTTATTAAAGGTAGAGAGATTATATAAAATAATTATTATATAAATTTATATATGAATTGTTTTGCTTTTCGATAAAATTTAAGTTTATATAGATATATTGATTATTGTTTTTCAATATATCTTTATTTTAATTATAAATTGTAATATTATTTTTTTCTTAATTAAATATTATCTTAATTGTTTATAATCTTTTGGGTTTTATTTGATAATTAGTGTTTTTTCTTCTTTTATATTCTATTTATCTTTTTTTTTTTGTTATGAATAATTCTAATTTCTTTAATAATTTAATTCGAAGAAAGAAAAAGGAATGTATATATTTAGTTACAATTATCGATTTTATTAATATTGAAATGATTTTTTGTTTTTATTGTTAATAGAAGAATTGTTGTTGTATTAAGGATCTTTTTGATAAATATTGTTTGTATTGTTTAGAATATATATGAAATTCTGTTTTATATAATATTGAGTTTTGTTTGAAAGATGATTGGGATTGTGAAATTTCTTGGGAGTATGATTGAGAGAATCTTGATTGATAGATTGATAAGTTGGATATTGAAATCATTAAGTTTTCTATTAAAATTGTTTGTTTTGTTAAATAGAAAATATAATTCAAAAAACAATGTGATGAAATGTTATATTGTAGGTTCAAATATTTTGATAAATTTGATGTTTTCGAAGAAAAAGAGTAAAAAGAAAAAAATAAAGAAATTTCTATAATCTTTTTGTTGTTCTTTAATTAATTTAATCAATTTGATTAATTTGATCAATTTGATCAATTAATCCCTGATCGATTTGATCAATTATCAATTGATTTTATTAATCTCAATGAAATTCTTATAAATGAATTTGATTCTTTTAATCTTTTTTTGTAAAAAGTAATGAATTCTCTTTTCTTTTAAATAAATCTGGATTCTATTGATGAAACTTTTAGAATCTTTTCAAATGTTTAATCTTTTTTTTAAGTTTTTATATGTTTTTGGAATTGAAGTAATCTTTTTATTTTATTAAGTATTTGATTTTGTTTTTAATATATTTATAATTTAGTATCTTTTTTATTTTGTATTTAGTATTTTGGTTTATAGATATGATTTTTGTTTTAGGAATTTTAGGTGTTTTTGGAAATGTTAGTTCGAATAAGGATATATAGAATATTGAATATATATTTATATTTTTTGGTAATATCAATTTATAGTTTAAGGGTTTTTTAATTTTTTTGATTTTGAATAGTTCGAATTTTTTGTGATCCAATTTTGTATTAAGTTTTTTTGTTTTGATATTTTTTCGAAATAAATAGATTTTATTTTTTTCTTTTAATATTGATTTCTGATTATGTTTCTGATTGTAATAGTATATATTTCTTTTGATAACGAATTTCAATTTTGTTGTTATTTCTTTGTAAATCTTTTTGAATCTTTTTGTTTGTATTATTATAGATTGATTTTCTATTTTTGTGATCTTTGATTTATAGTATATGATTAGTTTGTATTTATAGTTAATATAATTCGGAATGATTTGTATTGCTTTTGATATTGAATTATTGTATATGAATTGTATTAAAAGTAAAAGTTCTATTTAATTATTTTGTTAATAATTTATATAATATTGAAGATAAACTTTAACAATTTGGTTTACTTTTTTGTTTCCTTTATTGATTTGTAAATAAAATATAATAGATATTTTTCTTTTTATTTTTAATAATACTATTAAAACAATTCAAAATTTCGATATAAAAAGTTTATTTTTATTAAAGAGTATTTCTTTTGGTAATTTATATATTGTAATAATCTTTTTTAAGAATATAGAGATTAGTATTTCTGTAGTTAGTGTTATTTGGTATAATACAAATATTAGATATTTTGTTAATTTATTTATTATAATAAAGAAATAATTGTATATTATTTCTGTTATTAGATCTTTGGATTTTGATAATAGATTTATAAAGTTTTATAATATTGATTTCTATAGTATAAATAGTATTTTGATAGTATTCATTTATTTATAAAGAATATAATAAAAAGTTTTATTTCTAATATAGATATTATATTTAATGATTACTTTATTGATTATATTATAAAGTTTTGGATTTTAATATTGCTTTTTGATTCTTAAATATATTCTTTATATTTCTTGATATTTATAAATTGATAATATATATTGTTTTGTAATATATTTAGAGATGATATTATTTGGTAATCAAATTTTATTTTTTATTTGAAGTAATTTATTAATAATTATTGATAGTTTTGGTTATTTGATATCTTTTTTATTTTATTATATTTTTATAAGTTTATTTTTCTAGATCTTTATTGGTTTATTTTTTATAATAATGATTTCTGTTAGATTAAGAATAAGATCTTTATTTAATAAGGATTTCAAGATTGTTGTTTTTTGATAGATTTTATTATCTTTATAATCTGATAGTTTGTTTAAAATATCTGCTTTTGTATTATTTTTTTCTTTGATATATTTGATTATCAGATTAAATCCTGTTAATTTTTTAGTTTATTTAGTTAATTTATAATTATCTAAGATTTTAATAGTAATAAAAATTCGAAGATTTATATAATTAATATAGATGATTATTGGGAATTTAGCTTTTTAAAGGTAGATTCTTTAATGTTTTAATGTTTTTATTATAGTTATGAATTTTTTTTTATAAATATTATAATTTTGTTTTGTTTTGTTTATTTTGTTTAAGTAATAGATGATAGAGTATAGTTTTCTATTATTGTTTTTTTGTAAATGGATTTTTGTTATATAAGTATCAGAGATGTTTATTTTGATGATATTTTTTTGATTATTATGATAATTGTAGAGGATAGATTTCTTTGTAAATCTGTTTTTGATTTCCTGGAAAGTTTGTTTTGTTTCTTTATTTTATATAAAAGTTATTTCTTTTTTGGTTATTTCGATAAAGGATTTTATTATTTTCGAGAAATCTTTTATAAATATTCGATAGAAATTGATGAATTCTAGTATAGATTGTATATCCTTGATATTCTTGAATTGTTTTTAATTCTTTATCTTTTTTATTTTCTTAGGATTTATACTTATTTGTTTTGGTTGAATAATATATCGTAGGAATATTATCTTTTGTATTCCAAATTCGTATTTCGATAATTTGAATCTTGAATCTATTTTTTTGAATACTTCTAGTATCTTCGATATATGTTTTTTATATTCTTTTTTTTTTTGAAAGAAGATTAGGATATCATTTAAGTAATAGATTATAAATGAATTGAATTCCTTGAATATCTTGTTATTTTGTTATTGATAAATAATTAATGTATTGATTAAATCGAATGATATGATTATATATTTTTATAAATCCGATAATAATATAAAGGCTATTTTTTATTTATAATCCTTTTTTATTTGTATCAAATTGAAAGTATTTTTTTGATTTAATTTTGTATAAATCATTATTTTATTCAATTTATCCTTGAGTTTTTGGATTTTCGGTATTGGATATATATCTTTGATTGTTTTATTATTAATTTGATAATAATCTTTATAAAATCGATTATTTGGATCGTTTTTCTTGAATATTAATAATATATTAGATATATAAAGGGATTTGGATTTTCTAATCTATTCTTTCTTTTCAGTTTTAATTTTATATTCTTTTTATATCTGTATAATACTAGGGTTGTATAACCTCAACTTTTCAACAAAAAATACGAATCCCTCTTTGAAGTTAATCTTATGATTTCAAAGTTTATATTCTAATAAGGCTTTCAAATCCTATAGATTTTCGAAGAATTTGATGAATCTTTTGTATTATATTGGAATTTCTTTTTTATCAATTCTATCGATCAATAAAGGATCCGTTGTTGTTATAATATAATATTCAGTTTTTTGGGAAATCTATTCTTTTGGATTATATAATCATTTATTATTGTAATTATAATGATTGAATATTAAGGTATCTTTTATTTAATTGATATTTGAATTGTATTTCTTAATCTATAAGATATCAAGGATAATTATATATTTATTTAATAGTATTAAATCCATTTTGATTCGTTTGATATATTTATTTAATATAATTATCTTGATAATATTGATTTCTTTGTATATCTAATTGTTAATTTCAGTTTTCTTTTCTTTTAATAGTATCAATTAGTAAAGATTTTGTTTTAATTTTATAGGAATTCTTTTTTCTTTAATGAAATTGGGATTTATAAATATACTTATAATTTCAAAGTTAATCAAGATATTTATTTGTTGATTCTTTAATTTGATTTTTATAATTAATTGTTCGATCTTTATAGTATTATTGAGTTCTAATGATAATAATTCGATAATTTGTTTTTTGATAAAGAGATTCAGTTATTTCTGTTGATATTTGTTTATATTCAATAATCGATAAAATATAATGAATAATAATTTTATTGGTTCTATTTGAAAATCTCAATAATAATCCTGGTTTGATGTTTTTTTGTTATCTTTATTGATTCTTTATTAAATATAATGAATTTTAATTTGTAATAGGATTTCTTATATCTCTTCAATTTCCAGATTATATTTATTATATTCTTATGTTTTATTGGAGGATAAAGAATCTATATTCGCGATGTATTTTCTAGTATTATTTGTTTTAATATTTTTTTTAAATATTATATAATAAGTATTATTGTATACTATTGTATGGAGTGTTAACAAAATGGGATAATTATGAGTTTTATGTTTTTCGATGAAATCAGGTTTCTTTTCCTTATAGTAATATTATATCTGTTTCTTATTTAGATAATTGATTAGATATTATAATTCATTTTCCCAAGATAGATAATAGGACTCAATTAGTCATTGATCTTTTTCGAATTCTTTGTTTTCTAATTCGAGGTTTTCTAAGGGTTCTTTTTTGTAATCGATATTATTTTTAATATTAATTCTAAGGTTTTGATTATTGATATTTAATTCCTTTAATTATTCAGAATTGGATTGAAATAATTCTCTTTTCAATAATCTTATTTCCTTTGAATTTCTTTTCAAGATCTTTGTTTTTTGAGAATTTTGTTTTTTGTTCTCAAATTTCATTTGTTTTTTGTTTTTTGTAATGAATAATTTTTTCTTTTGAAAACAATCTTAAAATATATATTTGTTTTTTCTATAGGTATAGTATAAATTATTTTCTTTATATCTTTTTTTTTTGTTAATATTTAGATTATTTGGTTTTATATAATATCGTTTAATATTATTCAATTCTATTGGATCATTGGTATTATAATATTTGTTCTGATAATGAGGTTTTTGGAATTTCTTGTTTTCCTAAGTAATTTCTTTTTTCTTTATTTGTTGTTTATAGAATCGATTATTAATAAAAATGAAGGTTTCGATTAATTCGGAAAGATTAGATGATTTCAGAGTTTTCGTTAGTTTGTTTTTGATAATGTTTTTCAATCCTTTATAGAATTATAATTTTAGATAATTATTATTCTATATAATATATTCAATATATTATTGAAACTTAATAATATAAATTGTAATTGATTTGATCTATTTGAATTATCATAATACTTTTTTAATTATATAATCAAGGTTTATTTCTTTGAATACTTTATCAAATTCTTATCTGAACAATTCATAACTAAGAAAGAGACAATGAGTCTCAGATTTCATATTTTCATTCAATTGATTATCGATAGTCTTGATCATTAGATTATTGAAAAATGGTTCAATTCAATTGAATATAGTTCTTTAGAAAAAAGAGATCAATTATAAGATCCTTTGTATAGAAGTCAAAAAAAGTTGTTTATTAAAGGTATAATAAAGATCAATTTATATAATAAAAGTTCAATATTTATTATAATCTTTATAAAATAAATTAAAAATGGATATCTGAATTGTTTGTTTGTATTTCATAGTAATGATGATTTGAATAAGGGTTCCGATTAAATTGAATGGAGATGATTCGATGAATTATTAGTTGGAAACTATTGTATTATATATAATTTAACTATAACGATGCTCAAAATGTAACGATTTGATTGAAGCAATAGTTGTTTCAGGTTTTCATATGATTAGTAATTATAGATTAAGACTAATAATCATTGGTTATTTATTCAAAGATGAATATATTATTAGATCAATTAGAATATAGATAAACTAATTGATAATTAAGTTGAGTATAAAGCTTTTAAATTATAAAATTATTCTGATTATATACTAATAAATATAAAGGAACTTTTTGGAGTTTTAAAGCTTCAAAAAGCTCTTGGAGTTTTAGGAGTTTTCGAAGCTTTCAGAATTCTTTATCATATAATTAGAATTAGATTATATATCCGAGCTTATTAAAGATAAAAAGATTATATAAGACGATTACTATACAAATTTGTATACAAATCGCCTTGCTTTTCGATAAGGCCTAAGCTCATATAAATATATTGACTGCTGCCCCTCAACATATCCTTATCTTAATCGTAAATCGTAACATGATCTAGTAACGAATTCATTTTCAAATGGATAATTAGTGATTATTAGCCTTAACCTACAACTATCAATCATACAAAACCTCAGGCAGCCGCTGCCTCGACCAGATCGTTACAGAATTATATAATAAAATATTAAAGATTTAAAGCTTTTATAACTTTTAAAAAGTATTAAAGGTTGAAAGCTTTTATAAATTTGAGATATAAGATTTATATAATTAGAAAGGATTTCTTATTATAAAGCTTTTTATTCAAAATTAATTATTAAATATATTCTATTATTAATTATTAGGGCCTGCGCCCCCGACCCCTGACTTTTGAAAGAGTTTAATAAAAATTTAAGATTTAAAAGTTTATAATAAATTTAAATATTAAATATATATCAGAGTGTAGATAGAATTATCGGCTTGTTTGAAAATTAAAATATTTTATTTAAAAATAATAATAATATTTTATATTATTTATATTATTTATATTATTATTATAAATTGAAAAGTTGAATTGAATAAATAGAGATGAATTGAATGAATACAATTAAATGATTTTAATAAAGTTGAGTTGAATGATTTCAATAGAGTTGAATTGAAAAAAGTTCCAAGCCAGATTTATCTGAGGTTATAAGGTTTATGCCAAGCTTTTTGTTGGATCATTTACCGGGGTATTTTAAACCAATCAGATTGTCAGGATCGCGATTCATTTAAGCGAGTTTCTCATTTTCCATCACCCACCGGGTAAACCTCGTGTACAGCAAGGTTATGGTGTCGGCAAGCCGACAATAATCTATTTCAACAATTAAATAAACATATACACCAAGCCCTCCCTTTCACTTTCACTCCGAATCTTGCTCGGCTGGATTTACTCACATACTAGAACTACTTAGAACATGTAATATTGTAAGATCTCACACCTACCCACCTATATACCAGCTAGTTATTCTCAAATCCACGATTCCTAAACTCAAAGCAAGCGAGTCACGTGTCAGCACCCCTGGGCGCAAAAAGCCAAGCCCAGCCCAGGCCCGAGAGTTTCGCGAGCGCGAGAAAATGCCGAGATATGGCTTGAACGATCGATCCTTTAAAGTACAGGAGTGGAGAGGAATGAGATTGTTGAAAAGTATAAAGGGAGAGTGATGGTCGTGTTTGAGGCGAGAGGAGAAATTATATATTCATACCATCGGGATTTTAATTATCTATTTTGGATTTGGACGAGCCAAGGACTTTTAATTAAGCGATTACCCCTTTGTAATTGAGATACATACTTTACTACTTTACTACCACGGAACGCGAGTAAAGAAAGTCTTATTCTAATTTCCCTCATCACGGAATACGAAATCCCAAACCCAAAATGGGTTCACAATGCAATGAATGTATCAAGGTACATCTACCCACTCCCACTTTCTCCCCCGAAAAACCTTAACTAATCCCACCACTCCAGGGAACGATCCACGCCGGCCTCCCCATCGGCCATGAAGAAACCGTCCACGGCTTGAACACCTACGTCGTCGGCAACCCCCTCACTACACGCGCCACAGTAGTAATCTACAGCGACATATTTGGGCATCTCCTCCCCAACAACAAACTCCTTGCCGACGCCTATGCGGCATCGGGAGAATATCTCGTGTACCTCCCTGATTTTTTCGAAGGCGATCCTGTAAATCTGAAGGTTGCTGATTTATTGATTCCCGTTGATGCGACAAAACAAGGAACATTGGGGAAATATACGGGGATTTTGGCTAGTATGCCTAGTTTTTTGATGTGGATGGGAAGACACAAGGAAGCGAGATGTACGACTGTTTGTAATGGATTTCTTGAGAAACTGAGGGTTGAGACGAAACGGGAGAGGAAAATTGGGATGGTTGGCTTTTGTTGGGGAGGAAGATATGCAATTCGTGCTGCCCTTGAGGAGAATATGGTTTCGATTGAAGGAGAGAAGAAACCATTGATTGATGCAGTGGTGGCTTTGCACCCGAGTAATTTAGTGTTTCCAAGGGACGTAGATGGATTGGTTGTGCCAGTAAGTTATGGATGGGGGGAGAATGATGTTGCGGTTAATATTAAGTCGAAGGGTATCATTGAGGAGATTCATAGGAAGGAGGGCGAGAAGGGGAGGAGCGTACCGGAGATGGAACATCGGGTTTACAAACCTGGACGTCATGGCTTTGCTGTAAGAGGTAATCCTGATGATCCTCAAGAGAGGGCATGCTTGGAGGATTCGATGAATCAAGGCTTACAGTGGTTAGGGAAGTGGCTTTGATTTGCAATTGATAGGAGGTAACTGGAGTTTTGGTGGGAACTGTTTCTTTGAGAATAATATGAAATAGATTACCTGGTTTTGTAATATTTCCCAGAAACTATGTTCTTGAAATCATACGGTCTCAATGTCTCTTGTTTCGCTTCTAACCGTAACAAACAACTAAAATTTCAAATGCTAGTATAATAAGTTTCATTGAAATGACTCCGGCGTCTTCTTTGAGCTGGAATCGGAAGGAAAAGACAGCAGAAGAAATCAGATTGACATCGATTATTGCTTGATAAATGAGGAAATATATGAATGAGTATATGAATGATGAGTACATGTGGCGAAATGAAATGAAAATATGGGAAAATTCTCATTTGCTGGTGGTATTGTGTTGATCGAAGGCATTTCGAAAGCCTTTTGGTCAATGATCCATTGATAAAAGGTAAAATGCTAGCACTTGCTACAAAATTATTGCTCTTTTCACACGAATGTATAATCTCCACCTCTTTAGTGTCAAGGATAGTATATTAAACGATTTTTACATTCTCATAACGGAGGAGCTGGTATCCTGCTTTATTAAATAGGGTATAATCGGACAGTATCGAACATGAAAATGACCAGCCTCCATACTATTACACATCCAAATTTGGAGTTCACCTTAATCTGAATCCATCCCAATCATCCTCGTCATCATCTTCTTCATCATCGTCTTCCAGTGCATCCTTGGCTTCTGGAGTTTGGGATGATGCTATCGCTGATTCCGTTGCGCCAGCCTCCCTTTCTTTAGACCTTAAAGCTTCTCTTTTCTCCCGTAACCGTTTGACCCTCTGTTCCAAGCTTTCCATTTCCTCGAATTCTTCTTGTAGTTTCCTCTCGGCATCTTCTTTATCTCCCTCTAGCTCGGCTTCCAGCTTTTCCTTCCTCCGTTTCTTCTCTTCCTCCGCAGAACGAGCTTCCACTTCCGCAGTGGTCATTGCAGGCGCAGATATGATAGCTTCCGATTCTATCTCTGCTGGAACATCTGCAGCCGCAATATCTGCTTCGAATGCTGCCCATTCATCCTCATCCACTGTAGTCTGTTTCACCGGAGGCGGCGACTTGGTTGGTTTTGCTGGTGTCGCGGGACGAGAAGGAATTTGCATTTCATGAGGTATCGCTGATTTTGAGGGAGATTCGGATCTTTCTTTTGATGTTTCTGTAGCTGGCACAAAAAATCCTTCCAATGCAGTGGCTGTAGCTTTACTGCGCTTTTTCATTGTACCATAATCCGTATCCTCCTCATCGTCGTCTGCTTTCCTTTTTTTTTTATTCCCTTCACTGCCTTTTGTATCTGCTTTCGCATTGCGCTCACGTTCTTCCTCTTGTTGTTTTGATAACCGCATAATATGACCTGGTGATCGTAGATGTCCTTCCCATAATGATTCACTCTTCATTTGTAAATGACAGACGAGGCACATTAGAGTACCAGCGGTTGAATAACCAGCATATTTATGTTGTATGCGACGAGCAGCTCGTTCATTTTGGAGAAGGGAACGAACATCGGCCATGATTATTGTTGTGTTTCGGGTAAAGGATTATGGAACCAAGAATACCGTGTAAGGAAAGTGAAGGTATCTGAGATTCCAGCTATTTTATTTTCTTTAATATGATTCCAGATTCCAAGGCTAAATTTCCTTGAATAATATCATGGTATTAGGAAAGGAACTGAAGGTATTCCAAGATGATGTTCAAAGCTAAAGCTCCCTAACATTTCAGGTCCAAGCTAGAAGCTCTTGAATGCCAGCACGGACTAGACCTTAATTAGTTTAACTCATCTGTCTGCGCAGCCACAGCCACAGCCACAAACAGCTCAAGATCGGATCTAATATCGCCCGATATCACATGATCGTATCCCCGCACCTTGGAAAACCTTGGAATTTCTCAGCCAGCCTCGTCTCTTTGCCTTACCTTTACCGCAAAATTGTTCATTATCCTTTATCTTGGTGAAAATTAATCAATCGCCGCCTTCCTTTTTCCTTCTCCTCGTATCTCGACTGGAATCATACAAACATAAACACCGGAAGTTCAAATAACAACCAAAGGCTTTTTTGTGCATCCAAGATATCGAAATATCGAAATACACTGTCGCATTATTTCGAATACCTTCATCATTACACTGCGACAATCAATTATCCACCCTCTTAAGCTGTTTTGAAGCTACTTTGCGCGCATTCAGCACACGCGACCGATTCTTTTGAAATTTGAAGCTTTAAGCTTGTCCCGGTTGTCAACAAAAGCAAAGCAAAACGAAGCAAAGCGAAGCAAATATCGCGACTTCATTCTTGTGTATTTGGGCAGGATTACAAAGCTTCTGATAGCTTTTCATTTCTCTTCTACATATTTGCCCTTTTATCAGCAAACTCCATAGCTTGTTCGTAGAGCCAGTGATCGCGTGAAATCAATTCATCAACGCGTACTTTGAAATCAGCTCCAGAGCGCATATTCATTCATCCCTTGTAATAATCACATTCGCCTCCACAAGAGTTCTGAATCTTCGTATCATTGATAATATCCTTCATTATGGCTGGTAAGTAATGGCAACTTCTTCGCAGGCCACCCCCATTTGCTTTGCACAAGGAATGGACATATGCTCTCCCAAAGTATCATCATACCAGGTAACTAACAAGGATTGTACAGACGTTAGGAAGTCGTCGCGAGCGACAAAAGGACAACATCCGAAAGCTCATGAGCTTGACCAACCTATCGAAACTAAAAAGAAAGGGAAGAAAGGTGGAAAGAAGACGGCTGTTCAGGAAGAAGAAGAAGTTGAGGTTATTCGCTGTGTCTGTGGAGTTACTTCGACTACGGACGATGATGAAGCTGCTTGGATCGCTTGCGACAATTGTGCTGTCTGGCAACATAATGTCTGTGTGGGAGTAAGCCCATATGAGGAAGATACACCAGATAAATACCTTTGCGAACAATGTGCGCCAGATGCCCACAAGGAACTTCTAGATGGAATTGCTCGAGGTGAACAACCTTGGATCGCAAGACAAGAGAAGCATGAAGAGGAAAAGGCAGAGCAGGAGAGACAAGATGCAGAGGAAGCGGCAAGGAAGAAGGGAAAGAAAGGGAAGAAAAGATCAAGTGACCAAAAAAGCGATGTAACTCCTGCAAATGGAAAAATACAATCCCCTCCAATTCCTGCCAAGAAAGAACCTCAGAGGGAGTCGCCTGCGAAGATTTCCAACCAAAAACGAAAGGCAAGAGATGATGAACTTCAAGATAAAGAGGCTATCAAAGTGAGTCTTGGACGTGATTGAATAGATTGATTATACTGACCTTATCCTAGGAATCATCATCAAAAGTTCGCAAAACGTTGTCTCGTCCTACACCTAGAGCATCTCCACCGTCAGATTTACCCTCCAAAATTACGGAACTGGAAGCCGAGCAACAAGGTCAGGCAACGTTGATCAAGAAAGGTTTACTTCAAGCCATTCCACATGCTATTGAAGAACGTTATTATACCTTACGACCTGACGATACCATTGATGCCAAGGCAGAACGACTTGCTATTCAAATAGAAGAAGCCGTTCGTAGCACGCACCCAAATAAGTCAGCCTCCATCAAACAAATACGCTCGATATTTTCCAATTTAAAGCAAAATCAAGAACTTTGTAATGGTTTATTGTCACAGTCATTAACACCCCAGGCCTTAGCGGTCATGACGACTGATGATATGGCGAGTAATGAGTTGAAACGTGAGACAGCAATTATGAAGGCGCGAGCTGATAAACAATCGATCATGATTACGGATGATGGTCCTCGAATTCGCAGAACTCACAAGGGCGAGGAAATTATCGAAGGAGACAGCAACCCTAACGAGTACTCCGATATTCCAATGTCTGCAGCACGTCGGCGAGAAATGTTGGATCCGAATTCTGGTATGGGTGATAGATCTAGGTCTCGCTCACCTGAAAACGAGGTTGAAGTGCCAGAAATTCCTGAGGACTATTCATCTCGAGATAAAGGTCGCACTTCATCCACACCTAGAACACCTTTAAATATTGATACCAAGCAACCAGCTTTGAGAAAGGGTTCCACACAAGGTTCAGCAACAGGAAATTTTGATATCAACAAAGTCTTCTCCAGTGTTCAATCTCCTCATCCTTCTTCCAACAAACAGCGTGGCATGGATCATTACAGAAGAATGTCTGGAAACGCACCGCCTGCGAATGGACCTGGAGATGACCCTGATGTTGACAAGATGCTTCAAGATGATAACGAGTCCCCACCTTACTCTCCAGTTGAAGACAATCCAGATCCGGAAATTGTTTGGAGAGGTACAGTAAGCATGGATTCTGTAGCAAAGTTCTCGGCATATGCCAAACAAGTTGCTGGTCCCGATTTGAGTCGCAATCGCATGCAAACACCATGGTCTGAGCTTCTTCACAAAGATTTGAAAGTTCATGGTAGGATTGATGCTGATAAAGCCAATGAATATTTATGTGGTCTTCGGTATAGTCCACCGTCTGATGTGGTCATCATCAACATCACACCAACGTCTACTTCATCAGATTTCCTTGATTTGTATAGTTACTTTCATGACAAGAAACGTTATGGAGTACTTACTAACAAAGGTCTCGGAAATGTACGCGATACATATTTAGTTCCAGTCCCTCCTGGACCTGGCAATATCCCTGATTTCGTCGTCAATCTTTTAGAACACAACTTGCCAGAAGAGAGACCAGAGCCTTCGTTACTAGTAACCTTGGTTGTTCGCAATGGATGGGAACAACCTTCAAGGGTTCAATCCTTTGATGGTTCAGCTGATCCTCATAGCCCCCTTACAGCTGGTGGGATTGCTCAACGACAAATGTCAATAAATCATTCGGGTCCAGCTATGTCTCCTAGTCCTGTAGTTCCTCAAGGTGGTTTTCACCCTTCGACTCCGATTGGAAAACCTGATGAAAGATATCAACAACAGAATGCAGAAGAACAAAGACGAATTGCACAAGCTGAAGGTGAAGCTGTTGCCCTAAGGATATTGGGCGAGTATGCGAGAGCTCCAACCGTTAGTTTCTTGATGCCACAAGCTTACCAAATGAGAGATTTGGAGTGGCAAGCTATTAGGAGTATTTTGGAAAGAGATGAAAAGGCACAGAATGATTTAAAGCACTTGAGTGAAGTTCTGGCTAGGACTGGACCTGCGTAGTTATCATGATGTAATGCACTTTATTGAACGAGAGGAATAGAGTGGATGGTAGTCGGATCAACTGGTGGTGGGGGAAGGATACATTGTATTGGCGTTTCGGATGCAAAATCATGGATTATGTGGAATATTTTTTCAATTTCCATGTATAAGTTTTCCTTTCCTTTTCTTTTCCTAACCTTTACTTTTCCAACCTTTGATTCTTGGCTAAAAAAAGTACAAATGTAATACTTTGGAATGCGGCGGCATACTTTTCGTAGCTTTCGTAAGTCGAGTCGTATTACCTATCAAGTATTGTGTTGTATTGTATCATAACATAGTATATGTATTGTAAAGTGTTTTTAATAATCAAATAAATAATAAATAAATTATTTTATTATTGTTACGAGGGATGCGATCTAGGTCACGTGGAAGTGGCCTGGATCCTCGAATGGTTTATAATTAAACATCAAGTAAGAGTTTAAGATAATATTAATAATTACAATTCGTAATTAATAATTAATAATAAAGTATACTAAATGATTGATTTTGAGTACAAAGTTTTATAATAAGGAATCCTTTTTAGTTATTGTGAGAAAGTTAAAATTATAGATCAAATATATAAAAGTTTTTAATCAATTAATTATATAATCTTTTATAATTAAATATAAAAAAAGAGCTTTTGTGTTTTTTTTTTTACAATAATTAATTTCTTATATATATATATTTGAATCTATATAACATTAATCTCAAAACCTGTAACGATCTGGCCGAGGCAGCGGCTGCCTCAGGTTTTTGTATGGTTGGTAGTTGTAGGTTAAGGCTAATAATCATTGATTATTTATTCGAAGATGAATATATTATTAAATCAATTGGAATATAGGTAAACTAATTGATAACTAAATTGAATATGAAGCTTCTAAATTATGAAATTATTCTGGTTATATATTAATCTTTTCTTCTATATTAGTTGTGCTAATTGGTTAGTATGATTAGTATTCCTGTAATGTTAGCTCTATTAGCTGGCTAGCAAAGCTAGTATATTATATGATTGATCTTAAGGCCTTCTATATTCTAAAGCCTTTCCTTTCTTGGAACATTTGTTCTAGAAGCTTTTCTTTTAGGAATTATAATTCTAGGATATAATATCCTTTAAAGTGATAATCCTATTACAATTAATTAAATAGGATATTTGTTTTATTCTATTATAATTATTTAGGATATTTATTCTAGGAATCTTAGGGTCTTAGGTTTAAATAATCAAAACCCCTGAAAGCAACAGTTAGATCATACTCCTTCTATAGTTGGTATATAAATCATTGATGTCAATAATACTATTATAAAGAAAACTATGAATTGTAACAAAATCATTATAAATCTTGTTTTCTTTATAAGTGATATATTATAATATAATTGTTATAATTTATAGTTTAGATTATGATAATATTATTGATATTAATGATTTATATATTAATTATAAAAAGAGTATAATTTAATCATTATTTTCAGAAAGTTTAATCATCTATAAATAAAACCTTAGGATTTCTAGGATAAGTATTCTAAACAATTATATTAAAATAGAATAATTGTTTTAATTAATTAATTATAATAGAACAATTACTCTAAAAGATATCGTATTCTAAAATCGTAGTTCTTAAAGAAAAACTCCTGGAACAAATGTTCTAGGAAAAGAGAGGTCTCAAAATCAATTATATAATAAGGAGCTCTTGGGCTCCACAGAGCTCCTTTTTATTCATTAGTATATAATCAGAATAATTTTCATAGTTTAAAAGCTTTGTACTCAACTTAATTATCAATTAGTTTATTTAGATTTCAATTAATCTAATAATGAATTCACTTTCAAATAAATAACTAATGATCAATAACCTTAACCTAAGAATTCTGAAATCTACTCACTGTACACCATTTAAATTCGTGACAAAATCCTTACAAAACTCATATTTTCCTATATAAAATAAAATATCAAATAACTTTTTCAATATTGAATTGAATCAAATGAAATTTTCAAATATCATAATTAACTACAAAAGGATATTGAAAAAATTTACAATTTATTTTTAATTATTTTGGTTTTAAAGTTATATCTATTTAAATTTAAAAAATATTAAAATTTCATTTGTATAATGCTTTTTTGAACTTTTCCCTATATAAAATAAACGATTTTTTTAAACTTTTTTGTTTTTTCAATCTTAAATATATATAACTTTGAAACAAAAATAATAATAAAAATTTTGTTAAATTTTAATTATATTTGAATGAATTATCTATATATATATCAATTTTTATATATTTATTTTATTATTTTATAAAAATAACAAGGGTTTAAAAAGTTGAAAAAGTCGTTGATTTTGGTGTGATTTCGCTTAGTGTGCAGTGAGTAGATTTCAGAACTCTTACAACTACCAATTATATAAAACCTCAGGCAGCCGCTACCTCGATCAGATCGTTACAATAATCTAATTTAGTTTTCTCTTTCAATTCCCTCCTTATAATATACTTTCAGGACATATATATCTCGATCTATCACTTTATATTATATAGATCTTTATATTTAAAATTTATAAAGCTTTCAAACTTTCAATACTTTTTTGAAGTATAAAAGTCTTTAAATCTTTAATATTTTTTTAAAGTATAAAAACTTTCAAATCTTTAATACTTTAATATATAATTTTATAATTATTATAAATTCAAACTTAATAAGATTTATATATATTTATTTTCTATATCATTTTAATCATATTATAACAATCTAGTCGAGGCAGCGGCTGTCTGAGGTTTTATATAATTGATAATTGTAGATTAAGATCAATAATCATTAATTATTTATTTGAAGGTAAATATGTTACTAGATCAATTGGAATATAGATAAATTAATTGATAACTAAATTGAGTATGAAGCTTCTAAATTATAAAATTATTTTGATTATATATTAATCTATTTCAGAAGCCTTTAAGAGTATAGACTTTCATAGACTTTTTGAAGCCTTTAGAAGTGTAGGCTTTTCGAAGTTCCATTATATAATTAGAATTAGATTATATATTCAAGTTTATTAAAAATAAAGAGATTATATAAAACAATTGTTATATAAATTTGTATACAAATTGTTTTGCTTTTCAAGAAGGTTCAAGCTCACAAGAATAGATTGATTATTACTTTATAATATTCTATAAAATGATTTCATAACAGATTCTTTAATTATATAGTTTTATAATTGTTATCAAATCAAATCTAAGTTTAACAAGTTATATATATATTTATTCTTTATATTCTAAAACTATGATTTTTGAAGGAAAGTTTTTAAAATAAATGTTTCAGAAAAAGAGAAGCCTCAAAATCAATCATATTGTCACGAAATCATTTTATAGAATATTACAGGGTAACAGTCAACCTGTTCTTATGAGCTTGGACCTTTTTAAAAAGCAAAGCAACTGTCACGATTCACGGTTTTCTTTATAATAGTATTATTGACGTCAGTGATTTATATGTCGATTATAGAGGGGATATGATTTAACTATTATTTTCAGGGGTCTTGATTATCTAAGTCTAGGATCTTAGGATTCCTAGGATAAATATTCTAAGCAATTATAATAAAATAAAACAAATGTTCTATCTAATTAATTGTAATAAGATTATCACTTTAAAAAATATTATATTTTAAGATTATAATTTCTAAAAAAAAAGCTTTTAGAATAAATGTTTTAGGAAAGAAAAGACTTTAAGATATAAAAGGCTTTAAGATTAATTATATAATATACTAGTTTTACTAATCAATTAGTAAAACTAACATTATAGGAATACTAGCTATACTAATCAACTAGTATAATTAATATAAGAAAAGAGATTAATATATAATCAGAATAATTTCATAATTTAGAAGCTTTGTACTCAACTTAGTTATCAATTAGTTTATCTATATTCCAATTGATCTAATAACATATTCACCTTCGAATAGATAATCAATGATTATTAGCCTTAACCTACAACTACCAACCATACGAAACCAGAGGCAGCCGCTGCCTCAACCAGATCGTTACAGCAACTTGTATACAAATTTATATAACAACCGCTTTATATAATCTCCCCACCTTCAGCAAGCTCGGATATATAATCTGATCCTAATCATATAATGAAACTTCGAGGAGCCTACACTCTTGAAGGCTTCCGAAATGAATTAATATATAATCAGAATAGTTTCATAGTTTAGAAGCTTCATACTCAACTTAGTTATCAATTAGTTTATCTATATTCCAATTGATCTAATAACATATTCATCTTCGAATAAATAACCAATGATTATTAGCCTTAACCTACAACTACCAACCATACGAAACCTCAGGCAGCCGCTGCCTCGATCAGATCGTTACATTTATTTATATAAGCTTGAGTCTTATCAAAAACCAAGACGATTTGTATACAAAATTATATAATAATTGATTTTCGAAGTCTTCTTACCCTTAACAAACTTGGATATTATAAGAAAGTTGAAATTATAGATCAAATATATAAAGGTTTTTTTATAAGTCAATTATATAATCTTTTGTAGTTAGATATAAAAGAAGAGCTTTTGTTTCTTCTTTTAAGTATAATCAACCTTCTATATATATATATTTGAATCTATATAGTATCAATCTCAAAACTATTATAAATCCTGTTTTCTCTATTCGTGATATATTACAATATAATCTAATTTAGTTTTCTCTTTCAATTCCTTCCTCACAGTATACTATCAGGATGTATATATCTCGACCTATCACTTTTACAATATATAATCTGATATTAATTATATAATAGATTATAAAGATCTAAGAAAACTAGAAAATCATATTCTAAATCTATTAGATCTAAGAGATTTAATCAATGTAAAGATCTATATAAATAAAAAAAGATTCTTTTTATAAAGTTTTATATTCAAAATTAATTATTTAATATATACTATCATTAATTACAAATTATAACTATTGATGTTATTTTAAACCTTTACTCAATATCTAATTATAAACCATTTGAAGATCTAAATCATTTTTATATAATCTAGATTATTGTCACAATTCACAGTTTTCAATATAGTAGTATTATTGATGTCGGTGATTTATATACAGATTATAAAAGGAATATGATTTAACTATTGCTTTTGAGGGTTCTGATTATCTAAACTTAGAATCCCAGGATTCCTAGGATAAGTATTCTAGGTAATTATAGTAAAATAGAATAAGTGTTTTATTTAATTGGTTGGAATAGAACAATCATTTTAGAGGATATTATATTTTAAGATTATAGTTCTTAAAGGAAAGTTTCTGGAACAAATGTTTCAAGAAAGAAAAGGCTTTAGGATAAGAGAAGCTTTAGAATCAATCATATGATATACTAGCTCTGTTAATCAATTAGCAAAGCTAGCATCTTAGGAATGCTAATTATATTAACCAGTTAGTATAGTTAGTATACAAGAAAGAGGATTAGTATATAATCAAAATAGTTTTATAATTTAAAAGTTTTGTATTCAATTTAGTTATCAATTAGTTTATTTATATTCTAATTGATTTAATAACGAATTTATTTTCAAATGAATAATTAGTGATTAATAGCTTTAATTTACAATTATCAATTATACAAAACCTCAGACAATTATTGCTTCGATCAGATCGTTATAATTATATCTTTTATAATATTAAGATACTTTTAATCAATTTATTTTAAATAAATTTATAAAAATAACAGTTTTTATTTTTCAATTAGTTTTTAAAAATTTCATAATATTCTTTTTTATTATTATAATATTTTAAAATTTTTAAAAAGTATTTTTAAATTCTTTATTAATTGTATTTCAAAAATGTTTATTAATAAAGTAAGATGTATATATATATAAAGCTGTGCACGATGAGGAATAAATTATCAAATGAATCTAAAAAAGTTTAATATTATAAGAAAGTTAGAATTATAAACCAAATATATAAAGGTTTTAACTAATCAATTATATAACCTTTTGTAATTAGATATAAAAAAAGAGCTTTTTGCTTTTTCTTTTTATAACAATCAACCTTCTATATATATACATTTGAATTTATATAATATCAATCCCAAAACTATTATGAACCTTGTTTTATCTATAAGTGATATATTACAATATAATCTAATTCAGCTTTCTTTTCCAATTCCCTCCTTATAATGTGCTATCAGGACGCATGTATCTCGACCTACCACTTTTACAATATAAACCTAGAATATATTGTAGTGAAAAGTTTTTTCACTCAATTTATTTAATTCTACTTAATCTATTCAATTCATCTCTCTATAAGCAGTACTCAATTTCTCTAGACACCAGATTCTTCTTCATCCTGTTCTAGAGAATGGGGTTCAGAGGTGGACCTTCAATCCAGCTGTGTAGTCGTTGGGGATGGGAAGAAAAGGCAGAGGCTAAAGACCATCCCCTTTGCAAAACTTTTAAGCTCCTCGAAACCTCGAATTCTGAGCGACTATAGGCTAAAGTGAGCCTTTTTTAGTTCGTTGAGCTTTAAGGTTTCCTGTGCAAACGAATGTTCTGGCCTCTTGAAAGCTAGCAAAGAACCAATACAGAAGTATAAGTGTACTTATATTTTGAGGAATTGATTCAAAGAGGTCATATACTCACCGAACTATTATCTCTCATACCGTTGCGAAACTTTTGTGCTGTTTATAGTTAGAAAGGAGTCCCAGAAAGCATTGAATCGAAGATGGATGATATATTAGGTTAAACCCTATCGCATAAAGCTTCGATATGTTTCCGCTCAAGATCAAGACTAGACTGGGCAATATTTATTAAAGGGGTATGTTCAAGTGATTAATTAACACCCCAAAATGCCCTTGGGCAGTTTATTGACAAACTTGTTACGTTCTCCTGCAGCTGAACATTCACAGGATACTAAGTTGAGTAAAGACCGTGAACAAATTATCAATGACCATAAGATTCGCATCTACTCAAACCCTCACCAATCCTAACTAAAAGTATTGTTCTGCCTACTCTTAGCCCCATAACTAATCCCCTTATTATCCCCATTGTGAATTCCCACCGTGCTCCCCGTGTTCCCCGACTGATTAATAACCGTCCCAACCACCCTCCCATTCAACTCCTCCTCGACCGAGCTCTCAAGCCACGGATCACATCCGGATCCCTCAACAATATCCTTCAGATCTTCTAAATTCGCCTTGCTAATTCCCTTGCACTCCTCATTACTCAGCAAGCGCAACTTCTCGCGTTCTCCCTCGGGCATGATACTTTCAAGTCCATCTATCAACTCAGAGATGTTTGCTACAAATTTATCGAAGTGTTCTTTTTTGTAAAATACCCATTTGAGGCCCTCGTGCGCCTTCGACATCTGAGCTTTGCGCTTATTGAGAAAAATCTTAAACCGGGCACGAGTTTTTGCCAAATCTTGAGGGATGCATGTTTCAGGATCAAGTGTCGATGCACTACTTCCATCGAGTTTTTTCTGCACTTTTTCGGCTTCTCGTCGTGCTTTGCATAAGCGATCGTGGATTTCCTCAAGTATGCGCATTATAGAGGTGAGGTTGCTGGGATTTTCATTGGAGCTCTTGCTGAGACTGTCAATCTGAGTTATATTGGCAATTTCACCCCAGCGGGAAAGTCGCAGTTGGATGATATCAAGCTTTAGCTGGTGAGTTTCAAAGTCGTCTTTGAATTCTCGCGCGAGTTGGATGTAGCCTAACGTGTCGATGGCAAATTGGAAAAGGCCAATCGCTGTATTCACGTTGTCTGCCATGTCTGTTGATGGGGGGAAATAATATTGATTTGTAGAATGTGTATGCGTATCAAATTGTAAGATTCAAAAAGTCGAGAGGAAGAAAGAAGGGAATTGTGTCAGTAGACCACTGGCACTGAGATGTCAGAGATGATATATATACAATATCACGGCCTGAGAAATATGAAGCCAAATACCTACATATTTCAAAGTCTTTAGTAGATGAACTGTTTGGGCATCGTTTTCTATTGGATTTGTGTGCCTGCTCATATTTCTGCAATTATACCAATTAGACCAGTAGATGCGAGCCACCTGGTAATCATTGCGAGCTGAAAAGCATGTCACCCACAACGCATATGCGGATGGTTCAATAAGGAAGAGTTAGGTATGAAGGGTGGGGTACTCCACAGCTAGGGGTGTAGACGCCTAGAGCAGAGCCAACCTACGCTAAAACCAAATCCACTTACTTTTAGGCTGCGCACTGTGCAACGGTTATCCGCCGCGCTGATGATATGGGTAATTATTGATGAACGGATAATAATTGAAGAATTCGAACAATTATTATACGAGATGGATGTTTATTCGTTTTTCTCTTGGAAAAAAACTAATTTCTAAATTACTCTATTTTTTGTATTAATCCTTTGAAATTACATCATCATATCGATCTATGCTCTAATGGATCATCTACAAATAATCTTCCTCGTTAAAGAATTTGAATGGAGGGTTGTCGATGTGCAGTTTAACGACCGTCAACAAGTCACAAGGATGGATGATAACACCGAACAGGCCTGCATGATACCAATAATCAGCCTCATTGAATGCGAAGTCAGTCGTAGATGATATTGTCCACATGAAACACTATTCCTACGTAACCTTGAATCAGCCGCTTTTTCATTCATCGTAGTGTAATTCTTGATTCTCATGGAACTCGCTGACAGCTACCTGGCAGTTCTTATCGTTTCCAATAATCACCCCGTTGTATTCGGATCATCGAAACAATTACCTGCTTGCACTATAGCAACCAATATTGCATATTGAAAATACCCACTATAGTGGAAGATCCAGTTGCGAAAGACCTGCTGGCAGGTAAGCAACAAACAACATGATATGCATTAGTTGTCACCCATACCTCGAACGTGAAGCTGTAGATCCGCTCCAAGGACTTAAGATGGTCCTGGGTCAACAGGAATGCTGTACATCTTTCCATTGCAAACTTTGATTTCTCTTTCCCGGCTATCAATAACGGTGCAAAGGCTCAGTTATCCATCGCAATGTCTGAAAATAACTACAGGATTAATCAACACGGCAATATTGGTTTGTCGCAGGCAGTCAACTATGGCCCCAACTACTACTGTCAGTTTCGGGTATCTGTATTGCAATTCTTATAGTTAGTAGGACTGACATTTGTAGCCGTCAACGACAGCACCAAAGTGAATCTGATGTCCCCGAGGCATTTCGCACTGCAGACACACAAGAAGGTAAAGGAGGAGTGGGAAGACCTTGGAACTTGCGGATGGCTGTTGCAGGAGCCCAGTTTTCAGTCATGGTTGGAAATGAATGCAAAACATTCCTTGCTCTGGATTTATGGTCGTCGTAAGTACTCGTGAAGGGCAATACACAAGCTTGCGCTAATTCTTGAATAGGAGGGTGTGGGAAATCAACCTTGATGTAGGTGCCCACTTTGACTACCATCATCCTAAACTTGTGAATGAGCAAGAATTCATCTTTTTGTTGTTCTGACCGTTCAACTTGTTTAGGTCTCGTGTGGTTGAAAGCATATATCAGGATCAATTTCCAAAGAGGGGTCCCGATGCTATCCACTTACTGTACTTTTATATCGAAAAAGACCAACAAGGTGATAACTTTCGAAGCATGTTGATGACCTTTTGGGAGCAGGCGAATAATAAACCGGAGGAGCTATCCATCAATACCTTCGGAAAAGATTGTGGTGTAAAGAAAATTCAGAACGAGCTGCACAGCCTGCTTGCTTCATCAAAACGCGACATATATATCGTCATTGATGCACTAGATCAACTTTCCCCACATTCTCAGAACCAACTAATTATTTGGCTCAATGCCATGGTGCAAAGGCTCGACGAAGAATCGGGCGGTCGTCTAAGTGTCGCTATCAGTTCTCCTGATTACCCTGACATGGATCAGCTACGAGCGCATAAGTTATTTCGTCTATTTCCTATCGAGGTTACACCGAAGCACAATAACCCTGATATCAAAAAGTACCTGGAGAAAAATCTCCAATCGAAACTGTTCGAGGATCAACCAAATCTTGGAAAACAAGTCTTTGATAGACTGATAAACGGTGCAGATGGAATGTCAGTATCGTATCATATATCATTTCCTTTTACTCTATCTCACATGAAGACTTTAGGTTCCTATGGGTTCACCTCCAAATATTGAACATTCGCAACATGGAAATGGAATCACAAGTTGTACATGCCCTGCAAAGTCTTATTCCACCAGAAGGAATGCAAACCATATACCAAAAATATGCCCAGGACTTTGAGTCATTAGGAGACATAATACGACGGCAAATAAGTCAAAGAGCAATCGCTCTACTATCACAAAGCACGGGATCAATGCCAATAAAGGTCGTTATCGAAGCGCTCTCCTTGGACAACAATGGAAGAGTAGAACCAATACTTCATCGAGAATTGACCGCCAATCCTGCTCGAATTGTCAGTTTTTGCAACTACTTGCTTCGCATAAACGACAATCTTGGCATCTTTCAATTCTGCCATGGAACCGTTTTTGAGTTCTTTAAAAGTTACAAACCAGCAATCTATAACCACCGGATTGCCAAGATATGTTTATCTCACCTGTGCTCGTCGGAATTCTCCAAAGGTTCCAGAAGTGACGCTACATGGTACAGTCCTGGTAGCCTCAAGCCGATCTTACAGAATCATCCATTTTTACAGTTCGCATCTTCTGAATGGGCTACTAGCATTAAAAAGAGCTCCAAGTCCCAGTCTCCAGAAGAACTAAAAAAAAGCCACTCGGAGGTTTTCGAGCTGCTCGAGACACTTTTTGGGAGAGGCAGAGCAGCCGAAAAGAAAGGGAATCTGCAACTAGCGTTCCAGGTGCACTTGCTTAATATGGACAAGGAAATGCCGAGAGGAGTTAGTCATGACCATATCGTCAGCTATTTTGCTCTCGTCGAATTGTTTGATTTTTTCAAAGAAAAGCGATGGTTCGACCCAAAGAAACCTGATAGCGATGGGTTGATGCCGATCCATTGGGCGATACGAAACGAGAAAGATTTTGGCGACGTTGTACTCACTGTTGAAAAGTTGATCGATTATGGTGCCGAATTCGATGTGACAGACAACGAAGGCCGCAGCCCCCTCTACTACGCGGCTCATTGCGGGAATTCGCAGGTAACACAACTACTGATTGATAGGAAAGCCAAGCTTAATCTTAGAGACAAAAATGGAGAGACGGCTTTGATTGCTGCTTGCAGAAAGCATCATGAGAATGATTTGACGCTTCTCCTCAATGCTGGAGCAGACGTAAATATAAAAAGCTTGTTCGGCACTGCTCTCCACGTTATTTCCTTGATTGGATGTTGTGGTTGTGCTAAAAAAATACTGTTCCATTGCAAAAAGTCAAAAACCGTTCAGAAGGACGGGCCATTTGGTACTTCTTTGCATGCTGCGGCATTTTACGGTCACTCGGATCTTGTTAAGGTCCTTTGTTCACAAGGTATAAACTTTCGTACAACGCACGAAACATACGGGACTCCTGTGACAGCTGCGGCTGCGGGGCTCAATCCCGGCCTGGATCCTGCCCGTTTCAAGGAAACTATTCAGGAGTTGATCAAATATGGGGTGAAAGTCAATGACCAAGGGAGTGCGATCGGACCGGCTCTTCGTGTAGCTGCATATCATGGGAGCCCCGAGATCGTTCTTCTACTTTTAGCGGAAGGTGCCGAGGTCCGGAAGGCGAAAGGACCAATGGGTACGGCATATGAAGCTGCAGAAGACCGTGGGCACAGGGAAATTCAAAACATTTTATTGAAAAGCGATCCAAACGCCGCAGGTTACGGTGGAGCACATGCGTCCCAAAGCCGTGATCCCCAGCAAATTAATCGTAGGGCGTTTAGAGCAGCCGTCAAAGCAAGTAGCATGGACACCATCAACATCCACATCAACCAGCTTATCAAATTCTTTGAAAAAGAATATAAAAGGGGTGAAACCAAATTTCTCAGGGCATTAGCCAATCTTGGTAAGGAAGCGTTCCAGGATGTGATAATTTTGGCAACAGAATCCCGTGATAATAACCACACGGCAACGAAGAGACAAGACCACCGCGGCAGACTGTCACTTCGGGGTCTCCTGTCTAGTATTTTCTGCACGAATTTCAAAAGCAAAGATGGCGGGTCAGTCTCGGGAGCTAAGCCTTCGAGTGAAACGTCTTCCCATCCCCGGAGAGGGTCAAACTTTGTACAAGATGGTCTTGGAGGACATTTCCCACAAGTTTTGGACAGAATGACTCAAGCTGCAGTAAAGATTTTGGAGAATGCCATTGCGAGCGAGAATCAAGCTGCCATCAAACTGATCGCTAATACATGGGTTGAAACACTGAACAATCTCATCTCATACCCTGGTTTTGGCGAGTCAATGCTGAATAAGGTAGTTCAGACGCGTGCGAACGAACTGAAGGGACACCTGACTAACCCAGACCTGGGCTCCAATGAAAGATTCAGCAAAGCTGAGGCCTTGGCTCTGGTGGGTATTGAACTGCTTTTGGTGGCTGTTGAGCGCGGCAAGCAGTTTAAATATTTGTCTTTTGTCATTTCGAAGCTCTGGATCAAGGCTCTCGATGATGTGGAGGAACTTGGTGAAGCAGGACAGATGCCGATACTGGCATTTATACGAATATTTCAAAAGCGATTTTCGGTCGCAGTCAAGACCAAACACCAAGCCAATGCCGAGGTATGCACAAAAGCTGGAATTGAGCTTTTGAGAGCAGCATCGTTTAGCCCGAGCATAAATTTATTGGAGAAGTTAAGCAATGAATGCGTGGTACTGATAATACTCGCTCTTCAGCAAGATATGGCGTATATGATAAACACGCTGATCAACCAGAGATTGGAAGAATACCAAGAGTTCTTGAAGGACGGTAAGCATGTCGAAGCTTTTAGTCTCGCGCTTGCAAATATTGGAGTTCTTCGCGCGGCTATTGAGCAAAGAAGCGGTCCCACTGCATCTATATTACAGTTATCCGTCGAATCGGCTGTTGAATGCACGCGAAAATTTCTCACTGATCCTAATAAGTCTACTGCTGAACCAGCCTTAAAGCAGTACCTAAGAGCCATCGTTGACGGGGTTATCAGCTTGATTGGGATAGCTGAAGAGGTACAACCCGGCCGATTGAGAAGTTTAGCTTCAAATATTCTTGATCTCGCGAAATTTGCTTTCAGTAACCACTATAAAGAGCTTACTGAAGTTGTCAATCAGCGTATTAAAAATGCTGATCAGATCCTCTTCCGTCCTGAGCGAGAGAAGCGGTTAATTCAAATTGCTAGAACAATTTATCTTTTCCTTGACATAGCATTATGTACCGAAGAAAGAGATACCGTCATTTTGACGATATTGAAAAGGATAGCTTCAGGAGGTTTGATTAAGATGTTGCCGGATTTTGTGCAAAGAGGTGAATTGGTAGGATATGTTAGAGTTATTGAGTTTTTAAATGTTAATGCAGTTTAGAACTCACACATCCCTTTTAGGATCTTGAAGACTGACTGAATTCATGTTTTCGGTTTGTCCATTACTAATTTTTCTATACGTTGGACTTTTAAATTGATGTGTTTATGGTACTTCTTCTCCCTGGGCGTTGTAATAATGTATATGAAGGGGTCGATGATCAAAAAGACGGATTACACTCAATTTCATAATGTATGTTCAAAACTTATCTTTAAGTCTTGTGATAAAATCATTTCAAATAAGAAAATTAAAAATTCAATTTTAAAAAAGACAAATTTGAATATATTCATTAAGATTTATTTAATAATTGATTTCTTTATATTATATACAGCTTATATATATATACATTTAATTTATTATAGATCAAATAGTTTGCCACCCGAATCATCTCTAGACGAGAAAACCTCCGAAACGAGGGGACCGAGTGATAGAATCGCTAATCAGAGAGCGAGTTTGGGTCCGAGACAAACGCGAGGTCTAGGGTGTGGGGTCTTAGGATAGTGTAGGGCTGCCAGTGGGGGTTGGAGCCTACTCCATAACTTACATGTCTTTTGAATTTTTGATGAATATTGATAGTGAGGCAGGGCAGTTTGGGTAGTACTCAGAGTAAAGGGAGTCAGAAGTTATACTGAGATCTTTAGTGATGGACATAATGTGAGATGTAACTTCATGATCAAATTCTCCAAAATCTAAATTGACGCGTTGATCGTATAGGACGAGTATCAAATTCTTTCAACTTCCCTCTATTCTCATAAACTCCGACCCCGATCTAAAAATATCAATCAAAAATACTATCTAGTAACCCTTCTAAGTCAAAAAAACTCCCAACCAAAGAAAAAATTCAACAAAATCATCATCCTGTCCGCTGACGAATGTAGATTATTTATGATATAATCTCAATGCTCCATACCCTGCGCGGATTCAATCCATTCATACCAATTCACATCCATATCTAAATCCATATTCATATCTATTTCTGTGAAAATGCCGGATGAAAGGTCTACCTCGGTCCAGGGAAATGGCATCGTGTCTGGCATTGCGGATTGGTTGTACCAGTCGATCGGAACTGTGTCAGCGGTTGTTAGTGTATGTGCTCCAATATCCAATTTCTCTGTTTCTATTTGTGGAGGTTTGGCAACAAGTTCACGCCAGCGCTCAAGGAAAATATTCCTACGTTCTCCATCATAAGATGGAACGGGACTCGCCGGAAGCGGTATCTCTGCATCATCTATTTCTAGCTGGATCGTTGAGCACGAGTTTTCTCGTAGACGTTGGAGCTCCGCTACGCGATGTTTACGTGTCTTAGTCATAAGCTTTCGTAGCGGGACCCAAATCCTCGAATTTTGGTCTCTTTCTGTCTGATTGGTAAACTTTAGAGGAATTAACCATTTACTATGAAGAGCAGCCCAGGCCCGTTCAATAATGGGAGACCATTGACGTCGCGAAATCTCTATCAATAGGTAAACAATCGCATGCCAATGAGTACAAGTCTGAAAGAGCCATCTCCAATGTCGACATTCTTTCTTGGAGTTGAGAGCATGGTTGTATTCCGCTACCTCTATGGCAGATATGAGTAGCTTCGTTCGTATATTTTCTGATTGGTTCTCACTGGGAGAAGAGAAGAGAACTGGGAGATTGAGAATGAGGTTCATTTTTGACACGACCATGCGAGCTAAAGTGGAGAAACACCACGATGCATTGTTTTTACCCCCTACATCAAATTTGAGGAAATGTCGGTCGACGGAGCCGTAGAGATCATTTAGGAGACAAATTTGAGTTTCCGCGGTCAAAGGGTTTTCTCCCATACTCGAAACCATCAGACGTCTCATAGCATCACACATCTCGGCCGAGATAACTGTGAGAGTCATATCGGTTACGCCGTGACGCACTGGTGGCATGTCCTTGGTATGAGGCTTGAGGTCGCCATCATCAATATTGAGTGGAAACTTTGTGTCGAAACTATTGCCAGTAGTGCTTAATTCCGTACCTTGGTCCTCTGATGCTCGTAAATCAAGTAAGCAAACAGCCCACCACACTCTTCTTCGAGTTTCAACCTCATAGGCTGTAAGCTTGGAAAAATGGGACCCATCCCGATGGAGCCCGAGAGCCTGTGCCATTCTAATGACTAGACCAGTCATCATCCATACAAACCTAGGGCTCTCCTGGCGTCGAACAAGAAAAAGGAAAATTACCAGTGCTTGTACTAGAGTCATATCTGGTTCGGTCAGAAAGTCGGCTTTTGAAAGAGAATGCTCTAGGCCTAGCCGATATTTGAAACTTAACTCTGATTTCGTACAGTCGAAGTTGGTTATGATCTAGTGAAGTGACAAAGTCGTAAGCATAAAAACCGAGATGTCATGTCCCCAGACTTGTCAGACTCACCTCATCTTCCTCCATTGACATTATTGTAGCATAGTAGATGGAGAACATTAAAGCCTCGCTCGCTGGCGTTAGTCTCTTTTCTTTATTTTCACGTAAATCACGAATTGCCTGAGTAAGAAGTGGAAGATCTACAATTCGCATGAATATGTGTATGTTTTCCGAATACACATTCAACAGAAACGGGATCTGTGACGGCAAAGGCCGTAACTTCGAGAGATCGGAATCCGAAAGGTTCAAGTTATGTTTGAATAAGAACCCGTGCCTCTCCAATGGCGTTCGTTCTTGTTCCAATGTGGAGATTGTCTTTTCGGAAAGTTCGTCCTCGTCTGATGATACATCAGATTCGTGTACAGCCCCACGGGCTTCCATTTGCAACCCTTCAATCTACTCTAACGTCAACAAAAGTAGCTTGTCTATTTTATATGGCAGATTTGATAAGGAAGTGTTAGCCAACCTACCTCATCGTTCATACGTGCCCAGAAACCACTGCTTAAGTAACGACTTCGGTTGACATCCCTCAGGACTAGCCTTCCGAATTTGTTCTGTGCCTCGGAAGTACTTGCTACATTCGACAAGGCATCTTTATGACTATCGGTATTATGATCAGGATTGAGATATGAAGTCTCAGAAGAATCAAGCTCGAGCAAATCATCGCCATTGGAATGCGCCGATGTAGCATTCGCTTGCTCCAGCTGATCTCTTAGCTCCTTGACCAAGTTTTCAAGGTTTTGTAATCTCCCAATAACAGGATCTACTTCGGAACCAACATTTTCTGTTGAATTTGCGCTGTTTGATGGCACCCCCAAGTTACCGGCACGCTCAAGGCGACGAGCCCATCGAGGAGGTCGGTCGATGGAAGGAACAACGCATGGAATATTTGCCCTCCGGCAATTCGAACACGGTGACAACTTGTCACAACGGACCTTTCGACTTCTACAGACAACGCAGCTACGTAGCCTTGCTGAGGTTGTCGTTATCTTGTCGGATGCTGAGGTTGAGGCAGCCATTTTCTTGCTGCCGATTACCTCTTGAATACGTGCATTACTAAATTGGTTCCTGCCAGGCAATAAAGGACTTTTTGTACGCTCTCTGATACTCAAGAGGAGTCTTTTGAGAAATGGGATAAACCTGGGCTTATATTTGCCCACCAGATAGAAGATGGTTGTGTTCGATCAAGAATGGGGAATCAAAGCTCTAAGGTTATGTGAGCATGTAAGCAGGAATACGGTGACCGATATTAGCGTGATGAGCCGGGTGTATAACCTGAACAACGACAACAACATCGAATGCAATGTCAATAAAATATACAACAACGATAATGAATTTTTAAATGGTTAATCTTTCAATGATAGTTCTTACTATAGAGATTTTGACGCGCCCTTATCACATCACTCAAAAACAGATATAAGGAGATAACAGATAATTCTAAAGTGGAAATGGTGACAATAAGAAGGAAATGTTTGGCAAACATCACATTTAAATCAGCGACAACGTGTCGACCGCATCATGAGTGAATCAAGCTTGTCACGTCGTCACAGAACTTAACAAAGTTTCTACAAAACATTTATAAAAATGGCAAAAGAACTCGGCTGCGTCTGGCCCCAGGTGTGAAATTCCTCCGCAATGGAGGATTGGAGCGCCCGGCCGCATTTTGACAGTGCAGGCCCTACGGTAGTGCGCCACTTAATCCACCTGGCTAAGTGGTCTTTCAATATTGTTAGTATGAGGGCATAGATTTATTTGGTTTATATATGATGAAAGGTGCGGGCGTGATGGTGAATATTGGTAGAGCCATGAGACACTGCTTGAGGGACTAGCTGAGCTTTCTCACTATCTATTTTTATAGATGGATCATTCCTTCCATATCAATGATTGAGCGGAGCACTATAGCCTCAGCATGCTACTGAGATGGTCAGATATAGGGAATAGCATGAAGCCCAAGGAAAATCATTCCTCATTCATCTTGATGTCTCAATATGCTAATCCACTGCTCACTTCGCGAGTATCGAACTTTTGTGCCTAAAGCCGAGGACTCCTATTTTCGACGTCCATTGATTTATTCGCTTGAACTCTAACCTACCATAGTCATCCGCAAATTCGTTAATTCATCAGAATCTATACGTCGAATATAACAGGCTCGTTTCCTCAAAAATCTATCGTCACCGTATATGCAGCAGCTACCTCAATATATCCCACAACCACCTCTTCTTGACTACCACGCACCAGCTCTAATCTCCCCATCAGAATTCGTAACCTCGGAAGTCAACCAGATATCTACATTTTCCCAACTAATTCCTCCTTAAGTTGGCTCCAACATTTCTGATTCATCATCTCGCCCCGGCTTTCCCCTCAAACTGGATGGCCCCCTCTGATACGAGGGACCCGGCACCGGCCGAAGAGGATGCAAAACTCCTTGAATTAAACATGATAGCCACATAGTCAGGGAGATTGGAAAATCAGTGTTTTTCTCAGAAAGGGAAAAAGCACCCACTATTTAGATGCCGATGATGTTATCAAGTGTAGATAGCTGTGAAGCGTTGGAACCAGCATGATTGGATACATCTCTAACACTTCACATCCCACAGCACTGCTGCTAATCGATCCAAACTATACTCACTATACTCCTTTGACACTTCGGAGAGTTTCCAAGACAGCGCAACTTTACCTAACAGGCCATTTTGTAAAATTTTCAGGACACTCCTCTACAACCACGAAGCACAACCCAAAGTCCACCTGCAATAAACCATACCCATATCCCAAATCCGAAACCTGGGTAGATAATATGCCGAATAAAGTCCCATCTGGAAAATTCCTCTACACGACTATCTCATACTGCAGATGGTATAGGTCGGAGGTATGGGAGCTTATATTTCCAAGCCAATGCCAATGCCCAACTAGTACCCAACTTTCAAGAACAAAGAGTTACCATTGAAGGTTCAAAACATAATGCAATAGCTGAAGGTAAAAAATTCCTTATGATTTTCGCAATCTCCTCAATAGATCTGTGGCCGCCGTCCAGTGGAGAACTGAATATGGCTCACATCCATTCTACGTCTCACCAAAACCACCACCACACCACAAGAAAAAGCACCAGTATCCTCAACAACTGTAACAACTATCCCCAAAACATCCCCATAGCCCGCCACCATCATGATGAAAATACTCGTCACGGATAACTTTATCGCAGCTCTCCTGTGTTCCATGGCCAGCTCTACTGACTCCAATGCGGATTCGAATTCATTGAAGTAACATTAATATTAATTAACATCAACATTTACCCAATATTCTCACTTATTTTCAACTCAATTTAATAACGAATAGAATAATATATATTATTCGAGATCTTGAGCTCATGAGAGATCATTTTTGGTGGGAAGAATAGAGGGGATGGGATTTTTGAAGTCAGTCATGATTAATGACCAGAAAATTAGAAAACTTGCCGGTTTTCGCATAATAAATTTAGGGAGAGCTTAGTCAGACATTATTCAGCGCTGATTAGCCTAGTTAGTACTTATTTATGAGCCTTGGGCCTCAATGTCGAGATGATTAAATCTTGGGAGGTAATAGCTAGGTATATGTTTCTCTGAGAGAAATATCTCATCTAGATAGTATAAAACGTCTATTAAAATTTCGGATATTCATTTCATACAAATGCGAACACCAATTCCCAAGCTGCATCTTAGATATGATGATATCTACCAAATGGGAAATACTAAGGTGCTAGAGAAGCTATCCCAAACCCTTCTAGATAATGTATATAAAAGCGCCCACTACAGAAGATATAGACACCATACCAGTAAATCAAACCCTAAATTCCTAACTCCTTCCCCTCCTTCCCAAAAACCTCCTCAAACCCAAAACCTTCCGCTCTCTCAACCTTCCTCCCCACGTCCCTCTCCCCCACTCTCATTCCCGTCCCTCCTAGCAAACCTCCTAACTAACCATCTAACCTCGACCTTCCCTCCCTCGTCCCTCAACCTCTCTCTCCTCTCACCCACCCTCCCCTTCCACCCCTCCACCCAAGCTCTCAATCCATCTTTCACCCTCTCCCGCTCTACTTTCCTCTTAATACCTACTAAACCTGGCGCTAACTTTCTATGCCCATAGCATTCTTTCGGCAAAACATTCTTTTCCACCAATGTTTCAATAGAGGGTCTTTGACCAAGCTGTTTGTTCAATTTGATTTTAATGAAGTTTCGACCCAGACTGCGTGCTGCGAGTGAGGTACGCGTTATGTATATACGTTGGCTCATGAGGTCCGTGAGAGGAGCTCGATGTGAGAGACGGCGGGAGAGGGTATGCGATGCATCATGAAGACGGTGAGCGTGGAGAAGAGGATCGAGGGAGAGTGTTCGGAGATGGTGAGATAGCTGTAGGTTAGGTAATATGTTAATTGTTGCTTATCTGAGTATGGAATGAACTCTGATTAATAAAGCAGAGTACGTGAATAAAATAGAATAGTGAATTCACTTACTCGTGAAGCATTTAGCAGATCATCTACATCTAGATATGATAGAATTTCCAAAATCAATTCATCTGGAAACTGCGATAAGCTGAGCTTCCCGATATCGTTATCGCTTTTTATCACGTATCGCGATGTATCTGCTATCACTATGGCTCTTTCATGATTCTGCGAAGCTGATTCCATCATATTGAGAATGAGACGATAGATTAGCTGCTAATTTGTGAGAAAATGACAACAAAAAGTAGATTGATTGAATTGATAATGTCGTTGATAGTTGTCGTTGTCGTCGTCGTCGTCGTCCGAAAATAGCGGGGTTCAATCAATCTGCAGCAGGTGCCGTCACGGTCGGAGGGATGTATCTGAGACATTCCGAAACAAAGAATGAATATTTCTACAATCCAAACCATCACAACAACTTACATTCTTACTTACAAATTTTATCGTAGTTCGAGGAATTGATGAAAATGTTAGTAATAGAATTATTGAAGATATTCAGTTCATGAGGTTAATAGGGTGATTGAAAATGGGGAATGAATTATTGCTGGTATAGAATTTCTAGATCTTCTCGCTCAAGCCCCTTCATTTGCTTCGCATAGAGCAAAACTTCCTTGGAGTTCGTGTTGTTGTATGCAAGAATCGACGGAAGAAAACAAGCAGGAGAATTCTATTTTGAGGTCAAAATATAGTATCATTAGTATCATTCTTCGCCCCCATCATGCATTCAATAATAAATACATACAGTGCATATGTAATGATGATCAGCTCCAAAATGTAACCCTCATTAACCTACTCAACCATGATCGTCTTTATTCCTTTACCGTCATGGTGCACACCATCTTTAAATTTTCTCTCCTCGAGTCAAACTAGAACCAAAAGTCATCCTCACCACTCGTCATCGCTCATCGCAACCCTGTTCAACACGCTCAAGCATTCCTGCGAACCCCAAACACGACCTCTTATTCTCGCACTCGCTACTCCGTAAACCTTCCCCGACCGTCCATCTCTTCCCACTTAACACCTCCCGCAACACGAAAGAAAAAGTCAGCAACCCATAACCCCTCCGCGTCCCACAAACAGGCCCTCCTAGAGCCGCAAATCAATCTCCTTCCTACTCCGTACATGTACTTCCGTTCCCCACACATCGAGCATCAAGGCGCAACTCATCACTAAGTAAGGTTAGCTATAAACTAACTATACCAACCCTACACACAGGACCGACCCGCCGACCCGCCAACACACATTCCAAAGAAAACGCACCAGCAAACCAGCACCAACCAGCTTTCCTTCATCAGCCCTGCCCTGCATACTGGATACAGGTAGCCTATCCCTAAAACAACCCTCCATCTCCGTCTCACATCTATCGTGCGTGCTAAGAGCATGCGTACAAGGTACCATGTTTTACTGTAGCGTGTATAGCATATCCCCGTACATAATTTTCATGTAAGGTTGAGGCGCATACTGTACATACATAACGTCAAGCTAGTGTCCGTTTGTATGTACAATACATCATAATCGAGCCATTACATCAAATGACAATCTGGATTATCTCGACGTGGAGATTCCTAGTGTATTGCGAACTAATCTTACATTTTAGTTAGTAAGGTTTAGTCTTACAATGATCAATAGATCTATCAATAAGTAGCAGGTAAAATAAGGCGTTCTTGTGACGACATTGACCCGAGTACGAAGTACGATACAACACAATCAATCAATCAACCAATCAACCAATCACTCAATTCAAATTCTATCAATCGCCAAAGTAAACAAACAAACGTAATCTTACGTGTTGACATAGATCTTATTTACGATATCCGTGTTCACTCTGCAGAAACCGTAATCCGAACATTCCCAACAACTTTCCCGTCATCCCAAAGAACCCCAACACACACTCCGGAAGCGACCTCTTCACTCACAATTCCTATCACAATCAGTCAATCAATAATGCAATCAACCATCTCACTACTTTTCACCCAATACAATTATCCACCATCTCCCAAAACAAGGCAACAAAAAAAGTCATCATCGCACTCAAGTATCTCAAGTATCACACACAACACACAACACACCACAAAACCACAAAACCTCAACTCCAAAACCTCCAGGCCCCGGCCCGACCACAAGGTCTCGACCCCATCTGTCACGGTACCACCACCATCTCACCCAATCAAAAACTCCGCAATCCTTCTACATGGCACCGGCTCCGTAACGGCCCGAGAACATATCTTTCCTTCAAAGTAAAGTTTGCCCCAAAAGAAACCTTCCCTTCCTCGCAACTCGAAAAAATTATCCGTTCGTTGCCTTGCTAGCTTGCTAGTCCGCTAGCCCTAAATCGCTGAACGCCTCATATTCATGCGCGTCGACCCGAATGCTAGACCGCATGTGAAGAAGGGGTAAGGTTAAGGATAGGGGTAGGGTGTAAGGGTAGGGTACGTACTAATAACTTCCTATGCATGTTTTGGTATACTGGGTATGCTATGCTATACTATGCTCTTCTCTTTCACCGCGTGGAGTGGAAACTCGATCCGAGCTCCTGTATACCATGTCTTGAAAATTATACGTGCATCTATCCATTCCATCTACCGACCTAGTACCTAACCTATCCATCTATCCATCTATCTATCTGAATCTTACCTGCTTGCTTGCCCGCTTGCTTGCTTTACCGTACGAGTCACAGCTACCACTCATTATCCAAATAAATCGCACCGATGAACTCACGCTGTAACGCCGACTATTGCAAAAGTGAAGAAAAAGTACTCATTCATTGGTTAATACTTTCACGTATAGCCTATTCTATTCACATCAAACTGAATCGGGCCATCCATCCATCCATCGGTCAAAAAATCATCATGTCCGAAAGTCCAAGATCCATGCACCCTACGTCTGCGTGCGGTCTAAAGATTATGGAAAATGTCGTGTCGTACCGCATTGCCCTGCCTTGCCTTGCCCGTTACGATAAAGTAGTGCTGCTGCTCGATAAATGGTATAGAAGGGCAGACCGACCTGACATATACTGTCGACCCCAAAGATGACCTACATATGCAGCTAGCTGCACACGTTGCATATCACTCACTAATTATCATTTGATTCCCTCTCTAATATCTATTTCTAACATCACGTACATACATACATGCTTACATATCAATTTTTCCTCGGACCCTGAGCTCGTAAACTCAGACGACCATGACAGATGTTGCCGTCATGTAAATAACTGGCTCAATTATTGATTCGAAAAGCACCCACCGCACCTAGTTATCTGACCACCTTTGAAAACACTACATACAAATCAAGTAAGCACTATCACATCTTGCTTTCCAATGTTCAATCCACTAGCCAAGCCTTTTTTTTTAGCTTATTGGACCCATTTTCTAGAGGCTTCCACACAGAGCCCCTCTTAGCCAATAACTAAGGAACCGCCTCTTCCGCGGAGATCTCTCCAATCAAGTCCTCCAATTCGCCTCGTTGCTTTCTTTTTACCGGTAGAGCATGCCAATTGATTTATTTGAGCACTGATACTTTGTCCCATTGGCCAATTTCACTTGTCCCTTACTCTGATTCCGCATCACCAATTCAACACATGATTCAATTCAGTCCCGACAGTAAGGTCGGTAGTATTCGCGCTTTTATCGTTTCGCGCCAAAATTTGTGACGTTCGAAAATTCAAAAAGTTCCAATTCACGACGAAACCTGAATGTATCTGATATTGATTTTCGTTTGTTGATGTTTATTGTTTTCTTGGGGGCGTAGAACTCTAAATTTCTCGCTTGTGGACCAATTGAGGGGCTTTTGTTTATTGTTAACCTTCCCGTCCGCGAAGGAAAGGGGGCCAAAAGGAGGAGCATTAATGGATGTAAACACCGACGAAAGCCATGTTTTCGACATTAACAATAAAACTCATAGTTGAATATCATCTCATCATGCATAATTTCACTCTCTGGGCTTTCGATGATCTCAGAGAATTGACTCAATTTCATTACTATAGGCGAACTCAGCTGGCTCCTGATTCCCAACCCCTCATTTTCAATTTGATCGGTGTGTGCCAGGACGGGCTATGATGCATTCAAAAAAATGATAATCCTCGAATAGAATCTGCCTCACTGGAATGCCTTCCCTCTTACCATCCCCTGATGGAGAGAAGAAATGGCTCATCAATAGAGAACACCCTGATATCATATGATAATGACACATAAGATTGGCATAACACCATGTGAACTTCGAGATATAGAAACCCTGATCCACGCAACTAAAACGTAAGGCAAGGTAAACTGGAGGAAATGGCCACTCAGCTTTCGTCCGATGTTTGTGATATTTGCGTATCTAGCCTGCCTATGGGCTGACTGACACCTTCAATGCAAACACGACAGAAGCACCAGATATCTTTTGCCCCCCAGATGCACATCCGATCTTTAGAATCACATACCGTTGGTGTGACGACTTCACTGCATTGGGTTTCGCCACCGTTGCAAGCAACAATCGCCCTATACTGCCTCATCTTTGACGCCCCGTCATATTACCTTTGGCAATCTGCACGCTGACCATGCCAATACTGTCCATCACTTATCAAAGAAGGCAAGAAGAATGACTATCATCTGCATTATCGGGTCCTTCCTCGAATGACCATTCAGGGGTAATTTGAAGGATTACCGGCAAATCTTGACTTCAGTGAGGATGATGGGACGCAATAAGATCGAAGACCGGAAGTGATTAAAAAGTGAGGCCGCATATTCCCTATAGAATATGACAGAATTATTCTCCGGTGAGAAAATGTGAGGGAAAAGAAGGTGGTAGGTGTAACCTTGCCAAATTGCATGATTGCAGCCCGACAAAGCCGTGGTTTGGAAACTTTTGATATTGTAATCTAGTTGCAACTTGCTCGGCCAAACTTAGGTCGCCACGTCAGTGACCACCCGAGGGCCTCTATTGGGACCATTTTCCTCCAAGCTACGTGCGTGGTGCACCGTGTTAACCAACAGCTTAGCAAAAGCGTCGTAGGTCTGAGATGCGACGTGAGTGGCGAGAATTTGTGACATATTGTAGCTAGGCAATTCGGAGTATGTTGGTTTGCAGATGCATTGTGTAGATGATCTTTGCTCCAAGGCTTTGTCCATATCTGACAACACATCGATTTCTGACCATCTTGAGCTCGGCAAGACGGAACGGACTTTCGAGTCAGTATGCACATCGAGGCCGTCTTTTGCACAATCTGCGGCCATGTCTGCTGCAGAAAAAATAACTAGCATTCCATGTGGCTTTCAATCACCAGACTGTAAAAATATGTCCTGTTATCAAGCACTTCTTTCAGGCAGATATGGATTGACGCCAATTCGGTCAGAAAGGCAGGGAGTTATAAACATGTGACAGTATTTCAAACCGAGAGATACTGGATTCTAGCATCTCAATATCAAGGATATAGATTAGAGAAAGGACTAGAAGGAAAGTGAATGGCCAATGGCAGTATTCTACCACAGCCATTACATGAGAGTGATGGCGATCGACCGACCATTCTTTGCAAAGAGACTCCGGTTGGTTTGGAATAGAAGTGACCGGCAATTGTGTGATAGGTTTGGGTCAACATCTCTCCATAAAGAAGGTTGTTGCGGTCCGTCCTTGGGTCTAGCGGGTCTCTCGTTGCAAGCAGAGAACGGATGATCCAGTAATCGGGAGGAAGACTTGTGGCAATCAATAAAAGCAAGGAAATGACGGGACAGGAAATTCATAACGTGATTACCATAGCGTAAACTTCTACACTCGGCAGGGGGTTGCAAATGGTGTTGCAACGGACTGTGATGTGATTACCGATGCAGCAAATTCAACATGATGAAGTGTCCACCCTGTCGAGGCGAGCGAGGTAACTGAACGCGAGAGAATTTGAACCAAGCATCGGCAGAGTGGCAGAATTCGATAGGTGCCAATTTGCCAATTCTTTTGGCAATTGGGCCAAGGATGTGATTAGCATCATGTATGTCTTGGGGAGAAAGGCACACAATATGCACTTCGTTTGTTGGTCCGAATGGAAGCGTGGAAAGCTCGAGGGGCTAGTAGACAAACACGCAGGACCAGGCTGGAAGGATTGTGACGGCGTGGTGTTCGGAACATAAACAATCCTGTACAAGTTGTGTATAAATACTCCTCTGTATATCCCTAAGTGTCGAACAACTCCCATCATCAAGCACATCCTCAAATACATCTCAACAGACAATATTTTAACTCTTGCTTCATCCTCAAGACTTCATCGCCATCCAGTCCGACATTCTCACTTGAGACATCATTGCACATCATCTCTGATCAAGTCATTTCAATCAATCCATCAAAAACATATCCATACTTCGGCCGGTAGGTTTGAGCCATCAACTCTTGTCGCGTTTCATATGGGGTGTCGTATAGAGTCTAGGCTAACATGAATGGTTACACATAGCTCCCATCAACATGTGTTTCTTCGACCAGTGCCAATTCGTCTGCGGTGACTATAAGTGGGGCCACTTTCGACAACATTGTGCCAAAGAATATCGTACGGGCGAGACCTGTGGCATGAAATTGGTCATGACCACATACCAGAGTCAGGAGAAGTGCAAGATTTGCACAAAGATCGAAACAAAATGGGGCCGTATTCAAAAGGAGCAAGAGCGTGTGCTTCGATGGAAGAAAGAGAACGGAAAGAGTCGCCAACACTCGATCGCAGTGTCAGAGGGAAATATCCGGGATCTGCAACAAGAGGTCAATAATCTCGAATGGCAACGCTCGCAGAATGCTCTGGCTTTGTGAAAGGTGAGAGACCAATCGCTTGATTGAGTTGTGATATCTGATACTGATGTTTTTGCAGTGAAACTTTCCACACAAGATGATGGTAGAGAATGAGCGAACGATTTTTTGGTGTTTCAAACTTTTTTTCTTAGGGTTGTCTTTCTTTTGACGGAGTGAATTGACGGAAAGGAAAGAGTGGTCTTTCATTTAAGGATTTTGGGAATGATTGGTTTCTGGTGACAGATGAAGTGAAGTTTTTTTTGGAATTAGATAGTCTCACGACGTAACGATGAAACGATGCTTTGAACAAGTTCCTTGAAATTGCCAATAAAATTCCAATAAACTGTGAATGAAGTGGTATCTTTTTATTAAATCCAGTCGTCCAGTCAAAACGAAGGGGCCCCATTGATGTTGGCCGGGCGCTTAGATGAAGAAAGTGGGCGGCTGCGGAAATTGGTGTATGCGAACCAAGAAGAACTTTGCCTGAACTGGTGGGGGAAGTGAGCCACAATCCGAAATCATAAAAGGCGATCATATCAAAAGATTCATCGGAGAATTTGGCAGTCGGTGATGATCAATGTGCTCCAGCGATACAATGAAGAAGTTCCATTTGAATGTTCCTTGTTGTGGGCCGCTATATATATATATGTATGTAGTGAAGTATCGTATGTAGGTATGTGTTGTGATGTTGTGTAAAGCTTTCCTATTGCAATTAGCCTATTATGCATACTCCATTATGCACACCTGAGTGGGAAATTGGTTATCACTCGGTCAGTTTTCTTCATCAATAGGTACAAAATAAAGGTAAAAATAACAAATATATATATGGCAAGAAGAGAGAAAAGAAATCGAGAAACGCTTTCCAAAAATCTTCAACTGGATCCTTCCCTTCCTTTATGAAATTCAGACTGAATGAGCTTGAGTGTAGTAGTAAATTGTAACGTGGCTAATCCTCAATGGATATCTGTGCAGCCTGACTGCAGAGCATGAGAAAGAGACGTGATAGGCTCTGATTCATGATCAAGCAACCAGTAGGCAGGCGCTTTTGACAAAGGAAATGCTTGAATGATACAACGCATAGTCAAATTACGCTTAGCTGGTCCAGTCAGAATTCGATACCCGATACTCCTCCTGGGAAATTACGGCAGCATGATGGGCCGTGGTATGAGGATATTGTAACGACCTTCCCAACTCCAATACGCCGTGGAACATAAAGATGCCCGTGTAAGTTCGAATCCATGTTCTACTCCATGGCCGGCTCTGCATCTGCAAACCCTCCTAATAATGGTCCCACGTCTTCTGATTTGACCGGCTTGTACCTCTTCATTTCCTCCACATCTTCATCATCCGATATCCAACCATCGGAAACTGGGTGGGTACCTTCGACGGGGGTTTGTTTTGTATTGCTCGATTTGTCCTGTGATGGCATCTTGGCTAGAACTTCTTGATACCGCAACAGTCTTGCATCTTGACCATTGTACATAGTGACGGGTGAGAGAGAAGCGTCTGGAGGGACCAGGGCGAAGATATCGACAAGATGACTGACGCACAAGTTAGTTAGAAATGACTGCAATGCAATCGAGTAGTTGGCTCCGACAGTGTACGACTGGTGGGTTGAGTGGTGTCGATGTTGCAGGAATCAGGAATGTTTGGAGCACACGTACTTGGACGTCTGCGTTACGACCTTTTGTAAGGCCTCCGTCTCCCTTTGAACTTCTAGTGGATCTGCTTGGATGATATTTGAATTTTGGTCCCCGAAACTGCCATAATGATGGGGATGTGCATCATCGAAAAGTAACCTTTGATCTTCACCCTATTCCCGAAGTCGTTAGCAAGCCGTTTTATTTTGTGTGTAGCATAGAAAATCAAACCTCATCCGACGAATCTCTATCACGATCCAGACCAAGACAAGAAGAACAATTACCCATTGTGACTGACTGACTACCTCCTTCTCTACTCTCGCTTTCTCTATTCTCTCCGACTACCAACGACTCAACTCGGAAAGGGATAAACTGATCCCATACACACACCAACTGGACTGTACTACCTACAATCAACCATCGACCGAGGAACTCTAGGGGACCAAATTGTGAGGATCGATAGTATGCAGATATGCGACAAGTATTCTGGGGTCAGATTGATGTTGCGAAAACGATGTGATGTTGTTGGAATTAATTTCATAGAAGCATTCTTTTCGATAAGAGAGTTAATTGATTATGGAGTGAGTTATGAGTTATGATGGATTGATGGATTGGTGGATTGGTGGACCTCCAACTTCCCGGCTAAATTACGGTTAAGAATTTTAGTTACCTTTTTTCTCTTTATACGGAGAAGTCGGACAAATACAGTAAGGTAAGAAGATCTTGTAAGCTAAGGCTGGCTGACTAAGCAACCATAAATAGGTTAATTATAATAAATTTAAGTCTTACGAAAATACCTAAATACAATTATAAATAACATATTAAGTAAGATTACCAATTCAACTAATTCAACAACTAAAAAACTTGATTTAACCTACTCATTTATTGACAACGCTCCGCTGGGCCACTGCCGTGGAGGCTTTTTCGCTTCGCTCTACGACTGGTAGACTGATGAAGGGAAAAGATGAAGGGGTAGGTATCCTGGAAAGGGAGTCTTAAAATAGGAAGGATTTTCTCCTAGAGCGAAGCGAAAAAGCCTCCACGGCAGTGGCCCAGCGGAGCGTCAACAAATTCAAAACCTCCTGTTCAAGCTCTTTTCCCTTGGTTGGTCCAATAGGTTCAATGGGTTCAATATTCAATCAATACATAAGTACAAGCAAGAATCCAACTTATCATCCCTCCATTTATTTGAGTTAACATCCCTCGAACAAGAGGACTTTCCCCTTGGAAGTACCTTTCCGACTTTCTTCACAACAACATAAAAATTACATCAGCAACCTATGGTGAATTCAATAAAGATTGAAAAATCCGAAATTATGTTCTAATTGCTTCAATGTTAAGTCGTCTTTTCGATCTCATCTCTCGAACTACAAATCAAAGGGGTACGCTATTCTTCAAAGTAATGGCAGCTTCCGATAAGCTTTCCTTTTAGAGATCAATCCAAGATATCTGAAATATTTGGTTTCAATATTATACCCATTTCCTTTTTGTTCTGTTTTAACAGCAGCGAGGAACTGGATCTTTATTTTCCTTACTCTGTTCATTTGATTTTCCGGCACCTTTGATGCGTTTGCTACTTGACGAGATTCCACCCCTTACTTAATACTACTTCACCTTGCAAAGATCCCTTGATGTTGGTATACCTTACCTTACCCTGCAAAGTGTTATGATTTCTCTAGTTTTCCGACAACTATTTTTCATTCCAGTCTCTGAGTACCTGCAAGGCAGTAAGATCTTACAATATATTGATCAACGTTCATTTTACCCATGTCTGTCGCCCTCGATAGATAACCCTTAATGTGTTTCAACATGATAGTTATAAGGAGGTATTTGCTGTTCCTTTGATTTTTTTTCATCAGCAGTCATATCATTCTCACATTCATTCATTAACACCCTTCGATTACGACGGTCTTCATTCTTTTGTCCGTCGTTCTATTTACTTGCCAGTCATTCCTCTATCGGCATTATCTTCTAATAGTCTATAATTTCACCATGTTTCGAAGCCGAAACTTAATTGCTTTAGCAGTGATTGCTCTATCCGGATCATCCTTAGGTAAACCGGTTGCAAGCGGATCATGGGTTGGAGAGACTTGCATTTGTCCACCTTCCGATTGTCCCCCAGTTGTCACTTCCTATACTACCATCACAGATACCCCAATCCAAACTGTTACAATCACCAAAACTATCAGTGGTGAGGTGATCCCGCCAGCGAATATTACTCCCAACCCTAGTGCTGCTCCTCTAGGCGTCTCATCTTCGCCAATTGGCGTCCCTGCTCCCTCTGCCATTATCGCAAACGAGACCATCATCAAGACGACTACCATCTCAGGCACTGAGGTCGTTGTCACCAGTACTATCACACCCAGTCAAACTCTAAGTAAAAGTAATATACCTTGCGAAACAATCACTCAAACAATCTCAACCTCGGGAACTGTCATTGTCATAACCACCACTATCACACCTAGTCAGCCTCCTGTTCAAACTGCCGCATCAATAGTTGGAACTCCAATAATTACCACTGGTATGTACTCTTTCTGATATTTGGAGTCTATCATGTTCTAACCAATCGATTTAGTACCGGGATCTACTATCATAACCACCATTCCTGACTCGATCATCACCTCAACTATTTCTGGACCGGTCATTCTTATCACAAAGACTATCCCTCCAAGTACTGAAGTCACTTTAGTTCCATGTGACTCGACAATTACAGTAACTCAGCCTGGAACGGTTGTAAGAACAACTCGTCCTGTGTCTATGATAACTCTGACGGAATCTGGAATTATTATAACTTCCACATATCCACCATCGACTTTATATGTGACATACACTTCAAACATCTATACTACTGTTATAACAGCCACCGCGATCACAAATACTATCTCAGCAAGCACAGTAACGATAACTCAAAGTGGTGAAATTGTTCAAACTACCATTCCAGGATCTACATTCATCATTACAGTCCCAGCATCCGTTGTAACATCAATTGCTACACCACAACTCATAAGTGCCGCTCCGATCCCCATAACAACCGACTCAATAATTTCAGACCCTGGATTTACACCTACCCCCAAACCTCCATGCAAACATTGTACAGGTGTCCTCACTACTCCTGAACCTTCGATATCTCCCTCAGATGGAATCTGTCCCACACCAAGCCTAGTCTTCTCTACCATCACCACTACAAAAACTTTCATCCAAACTTTGACAACGACAAATACTATTTCCATCTCGCTGCCGGCTGCTTATCCTTCCAGTTCTCAAAGTCCTTCCAATGGTACTTTGTCAACTCCTTATCCTGGATCATCAATGTCGAAATCGAGCACTATTCCACCAGTTTCTGTTCTGTCCGCTTCCTCTACTGCCATTCTATCATCCCCTACCGTTCTCTCTTTATCGATTACTCCCTCTTCCTCGCAAATTACCAGCGCTTTACCTTTTTCCTCCAGGGCTGCACTATGAGGAATGGTATATTCATCGACTAAATGTTCAACCAGACGTAGCACGAGGAAAACTATCCAAAGGGGATAACGATATCTCAACAATGCAATATGCAGTCTCGAACTAATTTTCCTTGCCTCCTTCTTTATTATCTTATAATGTTGTATTCCTTTTATCTTATTTCAGTGTGGTTGGGTACTACGAACTGGTATGAAATAATATGGTATGGACGGAGTGGTGTGGGGTGGTGTGATGAGAATGGGAATTGACATAATTAGATAAATATGATTAGATTAATTTTGAAAAGAGATTTCCTGCCTTGATTCTTCTTGACTTGGGAATTTTTAAATATTTGCTTTGAGTTTTTCTCAGTGCATTGTCTCATTTACATTGTCTCATTTACATTCTCTTCTCTTCATGTTTTATTTATTACAGTTTTTTTGGCATCATATATATGAAATGGGATTCAACAAAACCTTACCCCTCAACTGCCGCAGTAATTATGATTCATGAAAATCATGAACAAGGAAAAGGAGACAGGAAATAAATCTCATACATATCATACATGTCATCCAAGTACTCCATGAAGCCATTCTACTCGCTCTTGGTGCTAGATTCAATTGATTTCCTGTGATGTTGAGTAGAATGAAATAGATAGTCACCATTTTGGTGTCAATTTTTGCCGTTTATTTATTATTATTTGAGTTTTCTTCTATTTTTCATTCTAGGTTCATTCATTCGTTGACGATGAAGAGTGACTGTCCATCCAGTATATCAAACCAATCTTCTCCGGCTGCGAGCTTCAGGATAAATATGAATACCAAGCCGAAGCAGAGAGATGAGTAAGAGGACACATGGGTAATACAGAAACAACTTATTTCCTTTAGAGATTGAAAGAGGGACATGAGAGCATATATCATTGGATCTTTATGTTACTGCCGGGGAACACGTTCAGGATATAAGAGAGTAAGATGGATGAAACCTTTTTCAGAAGCATAAAGTGAAATGGGAGCTTGATGTGGAGAAGATGATGAGATTCCCTTAATCTCGAGCTTTGTTAAATTCCATCTGGAGCATTTTCTCGCCGTTGCGGTTTCCAATTACTCACTCAGACCCAGACTATACCTGACAACTAAGATTTACAAAGGTATAACTCTAGCTTCTCGTCTATTAACTAGGCCTTAGATATTCCGTGCCCCCTTGTATTATGAATTAAAATCTAAACCAAGATCTGCAGGTTGTACTAGATAATTATAACGGATATATACAATATCGCGAATGCCGCCGATAACTTTAGAAAATTTAAAATGGGGTTTTGGAGGGAGCGATGGAAACATAAGCCCTGAGGGCTTTCAGCTCTAGCGGAAATTCGGTTACTCCTTTTCGTTTAGACACCTAAAAAGCTTCAAGTTATGAATGCATAGGCTACATAAATTGATTATGAAATAATGGATTCTCAATGTTTGTAGTGCAAATGACAAGGGTGCTCAGGGGCTAGAATTTATGTAATCCTACAGAACGCTCGGGTGAATGGTTTTCTCCACTACCTGTCAAAAGCTCCACTAGATTTGACCCATCAATTTTGAAGATTGGGGATGTCAACGTAGACTTACAAAAGAAATAAAACATAAACTTGAGTAAAAATACATGATAGCCAGAAGACAACAAGAACAAAAGAATTCGACGTCGGCATGATTCGAACATGCGCCCCCGAAAGGAATTGATTTCTAGTCAATCACGTTAACCACTCCGTCACGACGCCATGTCAAGTTTTCTGTTGCCTTGATGATTAAGCAGAAACTCTTCATGATTATATACCTTTCAAAAGTGTGATAGCTTGTGATTTCGCTAAAGCTACTATAGTGTTTTAGGTCAGAGATACATACACTCTTACTACTTTTATGATTATCAAAATTTGGTTATTTTTATTCATTTACCATTTTGCAATTGGCAGGTAAAATTATTAGACCTTAGTTTCGAGAATACTCCAATAAATCGTGGCAGTATTTCGGTGTCAAGAGACCTCTGCTGCTGCCTTTTTTGCCCCTTTCAAAAATCTGCAAGTCTTGGCCTTTGCATCTCTCGAACGTTTGTGACTCCGTGCACGCGTACTTGGAATTGACATGCTAGCTAATCTCATCTGACTTTTCTTTCCATCTTCATCTCAGAATTTTTGCTCTATATTGAATATATTATGTCACTCCTCCAGTCTCCTCCCCAGCTCCTTTATCTTTGTTGTATTCGCAATATTTGTGGCCCCCTCGGTTCCTTCCTCAAAGGTTCTGTTAGTATGGATCTAGGCTGCGCAACGGGGCTCCGCAAGGCGGATTATTGTCTATAATAGGTAACCCGCAGATAATCCATTTGTGAGGTAAATAATTGAAGAATCTGAATAGATAATCTATAGATTATTTGTAGATTATTTATCTCTTCCTACCACAACATGGTTTTCTGTTTGATTTTAAAGTTCCTCCCTTGAAATCTCTTTCTCAATCGCCTCTTCATCGCAGACTTTACTAGGGATCATGTGCTTCTTTTTCCACATTCGAAAAGTCCACAATATGCTCGGCCAACCCCTCCAAGCTATGATTCCCATATTTCAATTCCACCAAGATACTGACAGATCCCCATTCAACACCAATCCATGCATTAATTCCGTCCCAACGACAACTCCAAACTAATTTTCCTTGGAATTCCTCAACATAGACACAGAGCATGTATCATCCGAGACCAGAATCAACCAAGTACGCGAGCCGGACTTTTCTTTCAACCAGTTGTCCTGCCATGTGCCCTGCAAAGCTTTATTCCCTGTTTGGGGAGTTGGTTCCATAGATTCAACTTGTACACTAGCACGTACCAACTCTGTCTCTAATGCTGTTCAGGTTTTGAGTTGAGATTTCTGCAGAAGCACTTTCCGGGAGGTGTTTATTGGTTTCCTCCAAAAGCTGCTGCACATCAGTCGTTGAAGCGACCTGATTTAAGCTTATGCTGGAGAGAAACCAGACGTTTGCCTTCGGAGTGTAGAGTGAAATAAGAAACATTGCCTCACTACTAAAAGTGGGTATGTTGATAAGTTTACCAAATAGTCCAGCAAATTGCTTCAGCAAAATTGCTGTATGATAAGGTGACGTTGGCCGTTTATTTTCAAGATCCTGGAGAACCACAATATGTCTTGTGCTGGTATGAGGATTTTGGCTTCTTTCTTCCTTAGCAACTTTTCATGTGTTGGTGTAGAAGTTTGATCCAGCGTGAGATTTGACTTGCCTTGTCTTTGGCCTGATGGTCTGCGGGCTGGGAAGATGTCTTCCTGGCTCTCCATCACAACTTTTTTTGGCCTTAGTGGAGAGGCCTCACGCTTGTTTAGAATGGAATTTGAATCAGAGACATCTGCATGCCCTATTTCTGATTCACGGGTTTTAGATTTGAGGTTTGGCTCTGAACTTTCTTTTTGACATTCCGACTTCAGAATTGGAGGCGATGAACTCAAATCCATACAAATTTCACATGATCTTTACCCGTACTTACTCAACGACCCAACAAATAATTGTTAAAAGTGTTATGATTAATATTGTCGGTATGTGATTACCGTACAAGAAAGGGACCGTACAACAAGCGGGCCCTAGCCTCTACCCCTTCAATATATATAGGTCTCCTTATTACATAGTTATTAATGACAATTAAGAATCAACACATACTATAATAGTACTATGCAAGTAGTATCACCGGAGTGATACCAACATTAGTAAATGAACCTTTGAGGGATAAAAAGTAAGTCCCTTTGAAAAAGACTAAAAGGATACTTGCGCCCATCCCCCCAATCATTCACCCATAAGGCTACACAGCTTTAGTCACGTGCTCACTTATTTATTGCAGTTACATGAAGCACACCGCTTCTTGTTCTTCCTTCTTACACACAAACATCAAGAACTGATTTATTTTGCTTTATAAACAAAAACAAATGTCTTCTGTAGCTGTTGTAGTGGCCCTAAGTCACAAGGAAAAACGAGAACGGAAGAGGGCTCAAGTCCGCCTGGAAAAGAGGAATAAACCAATCCGTTTGTCTCCCGGATGTGGTGGCATTTACTGGAACGAGCCCGTTGAGAAACACAACATCACAGAAGGAATTCTTGTCATCGTTCAATTCAAGCTTCTTCGTGGCCTTACAGTACATGACACATATTCATCGGCAGGGAAATTATGGCTCGCCACGCTTGAATAAATTTCGACTATACGAGGCTGCGCCATGCGATATTGGGGAACAGAAACAACGCAAGGTCAAGAATCCATCTGTTTACTCGTTTAGTCTGAGAATGCGAAGCAATGGGGTATATTTCAGCAGAGCCTTAGGATATATTTGATGTATGAAGTTATGACTAGTCGACCAATGAACAGGTGTTTACGTCTTAGTTTACCAACTCATGTGGAGCTACCTAATAGACTAAAGGTTCTGACATTTAGGTTTGACAGCGAAGTCTTTACTACAGTTAGCGAGAAAGTCCTCGAAAATTGGAGAAAATGGGGAACTATTTGGAGACATGAGGGAATAGAAGTATTTGGTAATTAGCTAGAAGATAATGCGGCTCAATACATGGCGGAGCTTGCAGATCTAATTCCTGCAGTTGTGAAGGGCCAACATAAGGTATTTCTTGTACTAGCTTGGAATCGGGACGAAGAAGAAGTAAAAACCGCGGAGAAAGACGCCAGAATATTGGAGGCTGAATTCAAAGAAGAAATGATGACCCAAGGAGCCAAAGAGTTCATAATGAATGAGTTCTCGATTTCCAAGTCGGTTCAGACAAAGATTAAAACCGGAGAGGGCGACTCATTTTCCAACGCTAAACCTCAATCTACTGCTGATAGCCTAGGTTCGTTGCTGCGACTCTGCCCTCCACGGCTTCATTGCGAGACACCAGTTGGGGACAGCCCGAATTTCTCTTTTTATACTGACAGCACACATATTGAATCCGTTTATGACGGGGCAGTAGGCAAACGTCAGACAAATATATTGGGATACACAAAAAGATCGCCGACAGTTAGACCCTGTGCCCGCGGATATCACTTTGAAATATCAAACCGTTCAAAATCTTCTGAAGGATTTTGTCAGGAAAACCGCAGCTCTCACAAAAGAACCTGGAGCCTTCAAAGTCGGTTTTCCCTACCACTCGAATCCGTGCAGGCAAGGCTTCCCAATAATGGAAGTCACAACGTTTGAAGTATCGAGCAATGCTCAAACGCAGCTCTCGTTACAAGAATTCTACGACTCATATGAAAAGTAAGCTTCCCACCTCCCATCTCCCTTACTCGACCATCAAATTTCTGGCGAGCATATTTCATATATTTGGGTCTAATTCTTGAAACTTTAGCAATATTATGGGTCGCGAATGCTCTTGGGTGTCATTACTTCTCGATGACCCTCCAGATCCCGCTTCTCTTACAGTAAATGGCTCTATTCCAGTTAAACAAGCTGGTTTAAATCTACATCATTTCCTCCGCAAATATCCACCATCACCTCCAGTTTCAGATACCGAGGCCAGTGGAGCTGAAATTCCAAGGAAGTCGTACTGCACTGCAATAACAATGTGGAGGTCCATGGATGCAATGCGAGAATGGTATACGGACTTTGCCAGTCAGTCTGAGGATTATGAAAGACTTGGCCATCGGCTCGATCAAATACGTGTATTCTGTGAAAATATTGAAGAGATCGATTCGAAGGTTTTTGACAAGGTCGGGGATTGTTATGAGATTTCAAAGCCACCACAGCCAAGATATTGGGTATCAGATCAGGGCAAATTTGCTTTTACCGCGCGTTTTAAAAGATGAAACGGAAAGATCGGCCTTTGCGGAGCATAAAAACAACGCGCAGTAGTTTTCAACGACCGCCGCGTTCATTAGACTATATTCTCATCCACATTTTGCCTTTATGTTTCTGTATACAAGGCGCCAATTGATCAATTGTTATGAACTATGCATTTCCGCTTGCAACAACGAAGATCTGACATCATTTTTGTATTCTATGCTTGCAAAACCGATTCAACACAGATTGTAAGAAACTCATTGCCAAGACGCAATACAGCTTGTTCATTGAGCACCAATTCCAAGAATGCTAAAGTATCTCTGGAGCGAGGCTGGTCAGGAGCTCCTAGCCAGAATAACACGAGTGATGTAGTGTCTGCTGCAGAGGAATTGAAGACTTACGTCACTTTAAAGGAGGGCAACTGTGGTGAGACATCTGCCTTTGCATACGCAGGAACTGTTGCCATCGGTATCTACGCTGGCTCCAAAATCCAGGACGCAAGCTCCGTTCTGGAAGACTTTATTGCGGAAGTCACCAAAAACGGAGTTTTCGATACACTTTTCGTACAGCATTGTGCTGGCAATGGGCTCAATAGCGAATACGCATTTGGTATTGTTGCAAGAATGGATGGAAGCCTTGCGGACGTTCAGGGCATGGTAAAGACTTGGAGAGATAGCGGATGTATAAATTCGTATGAAGGTGCCAGTACTGGGAAAAATGTTACCATCAATCCGCCCACACAGATTGATAGGAGCAATTACACCTCAACTAATGACACATTGACCTTATCCAAAGATAGACGTTCGTTGCGTCAGCGGGATACCTGTAAGACTGTTGTAGTTGCTTCAGGTGATGGTTATGGCACGCTCGCAGATGAGTGTGGTATTTCTGCAGCAGACTTTACCACTTACAACCCGAGCTCCACACTATTTTCAACCCTGGCTGTAGGGCAACATGTTTGCTGCTCGGCTGGAAATCTGCCCAACTACTCTCCTCAGTCTAATGCCAACGGAACATGTGCAACTTATACTTTCGTAACAAACGATTCTTGCTCGCAGCTTGCAGCACTAAACAGCATCACAATTGATGATATTGAATCTTTCAATCGGCACACATGGAGCTGGATGGGATGCGCTGACTTGCAAGCTGGCTACAACATTTGTCTAAGCACGGGAGATCCGCCTATGCCTGCTACTGTGGCTAACGCCGTTTGTGGCCCACAGGTTCCCGGCACAATACAAGCAACTTCAGGACTGAATTTTTCATTGTACAACCAATGCAACATGAATGCATGCTGCGATGTGTGGGGTCAGTCTGGTACCACTGCCGAATTTTGCACTGAGACTCAATCCCTACAGGAGCACTGGAACAGCTGCCGCTGGAACTAATGGGCGCATCTCAAATTGCGGAACGGAAATTATTGTTGGAGACCCTCCTGCCGAGTTCAAAAAAGTGGGATACTGGGAGGGCTACAATTTTGACTGCCCTTGTTTGAACAAACCCATAACCAGCATCAACACCACAGCTGGATATACGCATGTTCATCTTGCTTTTGCAACTATTACAACGGACTTTGAAGTTGATGTCAGCTCCATCCAAGAAGAATTCTCTGACTTTCTCGGCATGTCAGGACTCGGGTTCAAACGAATTCTCTCTTTCGGCGGATGGGACTTCTCTACCAATGTCGCCACTTATCAGATCTTTCGTGATGCTATGGCACCTGCGAATTCAAAAACACTTGCCGTCAATGTTGCAGCATTTGTAAAGAAATACGATCTGGATGGCGTTGATTCCGACTAGGAGTATCCTGGAGAGCCAGATATTCCAGGAATCCCTACTAGAAGCTTGGACGATGGTGTCAATTATGTGAGGGTTTTCAATGAACTGGCTGCCGTTCTTCCAGCTGGAACTAGCCAATCAGTTACAGCATCAACCTCATACTGGTATCTCGCACCATTTCTGATTCTGGAGATAAGATTAATAGTTAATTATGTTATTTATATGACCTATGATCTTCACGGCCAGTGGGACTATGGCAGCGCATTTTCAGACGCCAGCTGTCCAGCTGGCAATTGCCTTCGCTCTAGGGGTAATTTGACTGAGACTTTAGATTCATTATCTATGATCACAAAAGCTGGGGTTGAATCAAATAAGGTTATTGTGGGAGTTACTAGTTATGGGCGCTCTTTCCAAATGACAACCCCAGGTTGCTATTTAGATTCTTGTACCTACACTGGGCCGACTTCTGATGCATACGCCGGAGCTTGTACACAGACACCAGGTATGTTAATATATTGAATTCCCTATTAGCCACTGGCAGGCTTCGATTCAACTAACATTTACGTTGAAGGGTATATAGCAAACGCCGAAATCGACAGCATTATTAGTCGGAATGCAACCGTCTTGAGCACAGATGGCTCATCTGTTGGAGTTACCGGCACTCCTTTTGTCCACCTTGATGATAGTTATTCAAATATCGTTGTGTATAACGATGATCAGTGGATAAGCTACATGAATGATGCTAACAAAATTGTCCGAACCGCTTTATATCGGCATTACAACTTTGGCGGAACCGCAGACTGGGCGGTCGATCTCCAATCATACGATGAAGATAATGGAAGCGGCAGTGATGGAAGCTCGATAGTCTATGTCGATCAATCTATTTGGACGGATGGACTCAGTAGCACTGGTGTTGGAGCTAGTGGTGGAACCATTGGAACCAGCGACAACTTGTCGTTAACCTGCGAGCCTCCTTGCATTGTTGTTCTTCCCCATTTCCACTGGGAACAACCACCATTGTTAGTTGGCCTCTTTTGACTACGAATTTTCTATCGTTTTCCGCTGGACAACTCCAAACAGTAACCTTAACAATTAGCGTTCCACCATTTGCGATATTAGAGGTCGACTTCCAGGCGATCACATTGGATGTGACTCAGAGTTCGTCTTATACAATTTTCCCATACAAAGTGTCATGCCATCCTCATTTATATATACCCTCCTTGCGTTTCAGCAGACATTCTTCCCAACTGCAATTCCTACAACCTATGGCGTCGCAGCGGGCCGGAATGGAGAAACTGCTTCGGCATCTGCTACGGCTTCAAGCTCAAGCTCAAGCTCGAGCACTGCCGTAGCTGCTGTCATTTAGTACTCGACACCACATATAATCACTATCCAGCCAATGCCAACAGTCGGTCATTCTTCCCCCACTAACAAGAAATATCCCTTCCGTCACAGTCTCAAGTGGCAAGCCCAACCAACAACGTCTACGGCTCGGCATGGAACTCGTCAATGTGAAATCTTCGGATGCAAACCATACTGCGGATTGTTTGGTTGTGATGGTGGCTGCGGTCTATTTGGATGCACAGGGGACTGCCCCCTTGATTTATGTGGAGGTCTTGGCTGTACTGGAGGAGCATATAGATCTACTGGGTCCGACAACAACAATAATGATGATTGTAGTGATTCTGTTACAGCCTCAGCTTGTACGGTCATTATTAGTAGTTGGAGTTATTCGCCAATGACGGAGTATTCTACAACAACGAAGGTATGTCACTTACCCATTCTACTGTAGACAAATGGCTGATGATTGCGCTAGACTGAATGCGAGGAAACTGTCGCATGCACCGCTGAAGACACAAGAACAACCACCACCGCAACAAAAGGTTATCCTGTAACAACTGCAAGCATGACTGGCTTCTACGATTCGGATCCCACATCTATAAACACCAAATATGATGCTATCGCTTCTTCTATAATTCAAGCCGGATTGAAATATTACGGCTTGTTACAATCGACGAGCACAACAATGGCGACCGCGTCACCCACTGCTAAAATCTCTACCGTCACCTCTGATATAGTAACGGCACCAACACCAGAAACAATCGTTCCTCAAGCAGTCTGTATCTTGATCACCAATATCCTGTGGTATAATGTTCAAATAATTACCAACGGTTTCGAAACAGATTCGGGGGCGGCCATTAAAAAGCAAGAAGGTGGTTGTGGTGATCTACTAAGCTGGGAAGCAACCAATGTCTCTATTCCTGAAGGATTTGCTACTTGGACGGGGACAAGGGAATATTCTTTTACACTGCCACTTACCATCAAGGCTGGGTATGTAGAGGGCTATTGCTAGTGCCGGAGGCCCTAGTGGATTATCTTGTGATAATGTTTTGTAATAGCTCTTAATCTGATTGTAATGAGGAAATGGGCAGAATGTTTTAGTACATATGATTGTATCGGTTTCTTGTATACTTTAATCAAAGAACTGTAATTGAATCTATGTAGACTAACTCACGGATGGGTTATGAGGTGAGTTTGCAGGAAAAGCTCGCATTGCAAAAAGAAGAAATGGAGCAAGATAAGTTGCACAAGTTTTCAATGAATTCACACCATACAACAATTCCCCCCAGGTTGTCCAAACTCCACAGTTCATTGTCTCTAAGGTGAACTGCACTCCACTGAGGATACAGGTCGAGTTATTCATTGAACAGTAGAGCATTCACAACTAGGAAGCTTGTGCAAAAATTATTGTCTATGGATTAAATCATGACTCCATGGGCACGATTTATACTATCATAGGCTTTTAAATCAGCTCATAGACGGCGCCTCGAAATAATTCGTTATCGAGGCCTTTCAATTCTGGTAGAAAGAGCCTTCCGACGTTCTGGATACAAGAAAAACAGCGGCATTCTATGTGGGTGTGTGAATTCGAAGATGTGTATAAGTGACCTTATTTATAGAGAAACTGTTCTTGTTGTATAAGGTTAACATTGCATAAACAGTTCTCCCATCTCATAATTAACTACATGGTCGACTTCGTAGCCACTTTCATTGGGACCCTTATTTGGAGACCTTGAAATATATACCGAAGCCACTTGACTTCCAGCCCATAAAATGATAGATTCAAGACAAGAGATATGCACCTCCACAGAGCATCGGCACTATCGAAATGATGTACGGTAAGATTAAGTACGGGGTCTCAGCTACTGCGTGCAAGCAAGTATGAAATGCTTTGAGCTTATTTTTATTTGTACGATCTTACTAATTGAAAGTGTTGCGAAAACTTTCCCTTCCTGTAAGGTTATATATATTCAAAGGGCAATTTTCTATAAGTTAAAAAAGGTACTAAAACATCCAAATACTCCTTTTTATTGGTTGATTGTTTTCTATTTTAACTTATCTACTAACTTATAACCTTTTTCTAAAATCAAAAACCTTAATCCTAGCGGATATAGATACGTTCACTCTATGGTCATTACTCCCTTCAAATTCTCGTGTCACATACAACTTCAGAAATATATCTTATAGTATAGGGCATAATAGTCGGTAATGCTATTTTCAGATCGAGTGATCTAGACTTCAGGACTTCAATCGATGCAACAGTCCCGTCGTGCCGACGTGTATAATTGAAATGTTACATGACATGACGTGAACGAGTAGCTAAGATTTCTTACGCAAACCATTACTTATCTCTCTTGGCTGCTGCAGTGCAACAACCTTCCAGGATTTCCAGACATCCGAAGATGTTCACCTCTAATATCGAGGAAGAGCGTGAAAAAAATATCATTCGGACTGATCTTATATGGAGGGAACAAGTCTGGATTTATCTGCCTTCTTATATTGATTGATTCTTTCAAATATTATCAAAAACTACACGAGATCAACAAGTTTAAGCTTCATCATGTCAGAAACCCGCATATACGAACCCAGTATCAGCAGAACTTTTCTACCATATCTTTCGCTATTAAATCCTAAAATAGAGAACGATGAAGAACCATACCTACGAGACGCTGAGAGGAGCACTTTACGACGCAATTTTGTATATGGAATCATTGTCGGACTTCTCAGTGGGTTGTCTATAATCCTGGTTCTTTATACAATGCTTTCATACGTTTCCAATTGGAGGTCGCCAAATACATTTTCTCCAGATTGTAAGTTTGGAGTCCTTAGCGCGTCGAGCGTATATCAATCTTTGATAATAATATCAATTAGTTCCCCTTCATCCCGTCATTTTCCAAGAAGACGAAATTTATGCAGCGGCCTCGAGTCCAGATACAGATGCTGCATGGGATAATTTGATGCCTCGTAACTCCCGTCCATAATAGCTCTTCTAAGGAAAAATCTGGTAAAATATTCACAGCTGGGAGAGGCTTTGTTCTTGTCGAAAATCCGGAGAAATACGGTCTTCGACCAGGATTGCCATCAGTGAATGGTCCAGATCAGTATTCCGTTTCTGTATTTCACCAACTCCATTGCCTGGTAATCTTGCTTTCCTTCATCTCCCTCTCTTATTCTCTCCATCTTGTTTAAACTCATCCTCTAACACTTCTAGGGCATGATCCGCGAATCCTATAATTCCGCCCTCCCGGGAGTCTGGCCTCACATTCAAGGTGACAAAAATCTCTCGGACAAATCAGCGCAGGAATCAAACAGAGAATATATAGGTCATTGTTTTGATTACATACGTCAATCACTCATGTGCTCTGCTGATATGACGATTGAGTGGGCTATGGAGATGCCGGATGGAAAGCCTCCTTTTACAATTGATGGATGGGGAATTACCCATAACTGTAGAAATTGGGATGATGTTTTGAAATGGATGGCGGAGCATAAGGAGCCCGGTTAATTCTTCGGGTATTGCACGAGGATTTTGCGTGCTTGACGTAATGAATTAATTAGGTGATGTTGCTGTTTATGTAATTTGGAATTTTCCCTTTAGCCAGATAACCTTCTTCTTTTGTATGCTCCATAAATTCGAATTAATCATTGTATGTTCGCGTCTGAGTTCATGAGAAAATCAATATCATACGTACTTTCTCCTCAAATTTCCTCCAAATTGTCCCTCTTCCAGTTCTTCTCTTCACAAATTAACCTTCAAAACCACCTAGTCATCCTTCTCAAAGGACTCAACACTCAACCTCCATAACTCATCCGGATCCCTACACTGCCTCTCCATCATTCCATCTACATTTTCCTTCCCCCTAGAATCAGCCTTCGGTGGTTCAAGCGTCCCATCTGCAGTACACAATACAGTCTGGGGTCCAAAATTAGCGGTGAGCAATCAATATCCTCGAAGCTCATCTGATAACCCTCATGATCTAAGCGTAAACCACAGAATATCCGCGCAACACCCCGAGAATTCCCTTCCCACGGAATAAAAGCCCTAAAAAAGACAAGATGATAAACATACCTGTCTCAAATAATCAAAACAATGCAACCAATGCAACGGATCCCCATGTTCCAAATGTCCAAAATCATGTCCTGCTCCCGCCCTCTTTTCCCTCGTTTCCCCCTTCCCGTCTCCCTTCTCCCTCCTCCCCATATCCCCCATTTTCAGCTTCTCAACCTCCATCTTCAACTCCTCCATCTCCCTAAACAACTCCTGTACACCTCCCCTCATAATCCCCAAACAATGAAGAGAATGAAACATAGTAATCCCATATTTATGTTTATTTTTCTTGTCTTCATCGCCTACTACATCCTTCTCCTCCCCCACCCTCTCCTTTCCATTTTCATCACTACTGATTACTTTTAAAAATCCTCCATTCCCCGGGAGTAACTCATCCCAAAGCTCATCGTATACATGCGAGACATTCTCATAATTAGAATGCTCGGAGAAAACAACCGGTTTCGAGTAAGGCGAGTGTGGGTTGAGGGAGTAAGGTACGGACGGGTTAGACTGGTGAGATGATGGGGGTGGAGAGGTGTCTGATTTTGAGGAGGAGAAAAATGGTATGGAAGATGTTTGTAGGAAGTATATGAGTGTTGTGAGAATAATGGTAAGGAAGAGGAGAGAGATGAATAGCGCTGAGGATTGCTTGGTTGAAGCGGGTGACAACATTTCTTCTTCGCCTTCCTCTTCTATATCCCTTTATCTAAATTAACTCGTGATTTGATTCCCAAGCTTGCAACACTTAACACTTGCAACATCATGAGAAACGTGTAACCAAAAACCTACCTCTCAAATAATCCATAGAAATACTCACATGATCGCTAGCTATCAATATAGATATCTCTACTCTATCAGTATTGTATGAGTACCTTCCTATAAAGAACTAGTTCGTGCCCGCCAAGAAAAGGAGGACTTGGCACCTTCCACTTTGCTCAACTGCCCTTTTCGGCATCACGCCGAAAGCCGTTGGATATGCGAGTGATCGTCCATACTCGGTATTTGCTAGTGTTACGGTACTTAAAGTTAATCTTACAAGCCGCTTGATGCATAAAGATCTCGATTCACGATGACCCTCTGTACCTTGCTATCCCCAGGAAAGCGTTCCCGTAGTTTGTGTAATGCTGGGAGGTTATCACAACACAGGGGATCTTTTGGTATGATAAAACGATGGAATGGATGAGTATTTAAAATCCAAGACTGAGCTCGCGTTCCTGCGTTTCCATGAATCTATGTGCAAAATGCGGTGTCTAGCCGTCCTAATCTACGCTACAATTCTAGATTGCCTTACCTTCCACTATTCGTGGCCTCTCTTCCCATTGCTCTTCCAGAGACTCCTAGATAAAATCAGTAACAGTCAAGTCTCGAGACAACAAAAAACCGGAAAGCAAAATGCCTCATAATTAAGATTACAACCGAACTTCTCCAGGCACATCCCAGATCCGGCACTCATGTGCTCATAAGAGCCCCTAAGTTTCAACTACAGCCATTTTTAGGCCCATTAGTGGAAGCAGCAGCGATAAATTAATAAATTATCATGAGCACAAAATATCTGTGGGATGATTTATATTGTAATAGTGGTTAAAGCCGATATCGATTCAGTGGGCTAATAGGAGCCATATACATATTCCTCGGACAATACTTGAACAGTATTATTCATAGAATCGTATCGAGCTTGGTGGGATAGCCTCTGAAATAGTTTATTGAGGACATGTAGCTGTGGTTGAGGAGGCGAATTTAAGGATACCAAGGAGTTTTGGTCTGGCTGTAGAGTAACACTTTCAATCAGCTTAACACAGTCTCAGAACAATTTAGTCCATCGAGCAACATTCCAACAGACCTACGTAATATCCAGAGAACTTCTATAATCTATCCATCACCATGCATTTCCGGGTCTCTATATTTCGCATCAGCTGCACCTGCAATGGCCATCATGGCAGTCCCGATCATCGAACCCGACTCTCTCGGTATATCCATCACTTTCTATGCTATGTTCGAATTTCACTAAAACCAATATCACTGCCATGCGCACAGAGAATGTTCCTCGAGGGTTCTTCAATCATGGGGATGCAGAATCAAACGTGAAGCGGGGATTCTTCAACAATGGGTGGAGGGTGGTGGGAAGCTATTGAAGCTGTGTCTATTTTCAACAAATAACAAGTATCATCTTCTCTTTATCACTCAAAATAAAGTGCTTTTCATCTGGAGAACTTGAATCCACGATCTCATTTTCTTTGGTACCCGGTAAAACAATGTGCAAAAAGGTAATACCATTTTCATGATTTTGACCGCATTCATACAGACTTGCATATAAATATTGGTTGAATAATGTACAGAGTTGAGAAGTGGATATTCTATACACGAGATAAGCCTAACTGTACGCCTTTCTCTCATCTCCTCAACCTTCCATCTACACTTACAAATGTACGATGAAAGAATTGCAGCTTCAAAAGTCTTTGCGGCTATTCATGCACTTCGCATCGCGGAATGCTTCATCTTCACGGCTTGTGGACTATGTGCTGTCAACTTTCTTCTCAAAATAGCCATGGTCCTTTTTGGGATCCAGACTCTACTGCCTAATACCACTACACCTGTCAATAATGCTAGACTTCCAGCTTGATGAGCAGAAGCAAGAGGAGTAGGTACTAGATATATCAAAGTACTGATACCCAAAGTAACTTGCATCATCAGAAGATGTACTACACCCATCATGCCTTGTGCTCCAGTCTTTGGGAGAGCAGCTTTAACCCTGGGGTTAAAGCGTGAGTATGCCCAGAGAGCGAGAATAGCCGTGAAAGATGTAGTGGCTAATATCCGGTGGTCGAGCTGTACTGTTGATGGGTTCTCGAGCATGTTACGCCACCACAAGTCACTTTGATCTGGTCGTCGAGAGTAAAATTCCGAAAAGAGTTCGGATTTTGGTGGGGTGAGCCCCTTACCCATTCGAGGAAACTCGTTGTAGATAAGCCCCGCATCGAGACCCGCCACCAATCCACCAGACATGGCCGTTGTGAAGACAAGGAGAGCAAGGCCGGCGACGGATTTTCGGAATACGGATAAAGAGGGTGAAGATAGGCGGAGAAGATGTGCATGAGCCTGAGCGGGTGTGGTACCGAATAATAAACGGTGATCGCGAAGAATCGAGAGTCCATTCCAAAGCATCGCAGTATAGCATATGAAGGCAGCGCCAAGATGTGTGGTGAGCCTATATTGGGAAACTCGGGGATGAGAGCCAGGGGCGAAAAGATCATCCTTCAATCCTGACTTAACCATCCACCAACCAATACCTCCCTGGAAGCCGATAAGTCCCGATATTCCAAGTAGACGAAGAGCCATGGGCTTGGAAACTTTGCGGCGAGCGACGAAGTAGACGGCTGGAATGACGAATGAAAGCCCAATGAATCGTCCCCATAACCGATGAAACCACTCCATAAAATATATCTTCTTAAACTCCTCCATTGTCATATGTGGATTTAGAAGCTTGAATTCTGGCGAGGCACGATATAAGTTGAACTCACTCTCCCAATCTGCAGCGGAGAGGGGTGGAAGAGACCCGGTGACAGGTTTCCATTCTGTAATACTCAGGCTTGAAGGGAGTTAGCAAGGTGATCTATATGAAAGCATTTGCAGATAGGAAGAACGAAGTATGCATTCAAAAAGATCTTCGTGATAATGCACCTACCCAGATTCCGTCAAGCGTGTAAGACCTCCAAATACGACAATTCCAAATACACTTGCAGCGCTTCCCAATAACCAATAACCGACCGATTTTGAACTGGTCTCGGGAAATCTGTTTCGTGATGATTCTTTGCTTATTGTTCGACTCGATTTACTTAATGAATCAGCCAGTGAACCGAGTGGAGAGGCTCCATTAGCAGATTCGGTAATGGTAGCAATGTTGCTATTGAAGCGAATTGAGCGGGATGATGGGGATTTGGCGGGGAATTTCGTCAGTCTCAATATGGGTCGAGGTTGCTTCAAGCATTGATGACATATAAAAAAGTCCCTAGATAATCTAGGGACCGTCTTCCTCAGTCCGGGTAATACTGAAGCCATTGATCAAGACTTGAAGTGAAGGAGTGAAGAAGGGCAAAATGGGCAAAATGGGGAAAAGAAAGTGGCATGGTAAGAATTGGCAGGATTGTCGGAATGGTCAAAAGATGGGTAACTGGTACTCCGTAATTCGTACTCGTAACTCTAGATCTTCAAGAAATGTGGATTACCTCAGCCATCGAAGGAAGGAAATCCCGGAAAGTGGCGAAACGTTAATCCGTCGCAGGGGCAGAGAGAAGTATTAAAATGGGAAAATGGGTTAACCTTAATCCGTGTATACGTTACCGTTTTGATTTATTATTATTACTACCACCGCTACCTCCTAATTATTACCTAATCAAAGCTTATCCTATCCCAACTCATCATCCATCATCTCAACCCCCAGATTGATTGTCAGCACAATTTCGCAATACCGACCGAGTACGACAACAATGACCGACGACTCCCATTAAAATAGGAGTTCTTGGTTCGTGTCTATATTTACACAACTACATTAGACATATCTAGCTACTTCGATGAAGCATAAGGTTATATACTTTGGTACATTGGTACATTGGTACATGGTATAAATTTCAACTGGTGATGTTTTAATAATATTGATCCATATAAGAAAAGAATACAAAACATACATCCACATCTACATCTACAATTCTCTCTTCATTCTTTAGGCATGCACCAATTGTCCTCTCCTTTTTACTTTATATCTTAATTAATACCATGTTTTCAGCTCGCAATACCGATACTCCCAATCCCTTCCGGCCTGCTCTTCAATATCTTATCAACACCGCGAATTCGAATCTGCCGCGAACACGTTCGAATCATCGCAAAATTCAGTCATTTAGTAGTTTGGACTCTGATGGGGAGACCGTCGACAGGATGTTTTCTCGAAATGGAACAACCTCATCTGAACTTCAGCCATCTATACCCCTCATAAATATATCTCGCAGTCCTTCCCCTTATCGTCCAAAAGCTGCTTCAGATCCTACATCAGAAAGCGATGAAGAATACGAAAATTGGGGCACATCATCTACACGACCTATCCTTTCCGGAGCGGACCCAAAATATACAGGCTGGCGATATGCGCTTTATAGTGGAGGGCTGGGTCATTTTCTTTTTAACACAACGGTGGGCTGGCAGTTCTACATTGGGCTTCTCGTCTTTTGGCTTGGGGGCTGTGGCATAGGTCTTACGGTCATGAATAGGATAATTCTCTGGAGTGGGTACCTTCAAGCAAATTACACTTCGCATACTAAGCTTATGATCTTATTAGCTGGAGTTTATAAGTTTCCCTGGCCTGTGACGACTACTTTTATCGAATTGTTGATGACTCACGGCTTTCTATGGCTTTCGGCATTTCTGACGAGATTGGCGAGCCCAGTCTGTATCACTGCAGGTGTGTCGAGTGCGGTTGCGCCAAGTACACCTTTACAGAGTTCGAATGCACCTGGGTTTAGAGGAGATGGAAAGAAACACGGATTACTTTCGACTCTGGGAAGATTGTCATCCGCGAGCTCTGGGGGTATTGCTGGTGGTGGACTGTTCGAATTCGATATGGCTGTCGCTCGACAAGTCTTACCTCTCGCCATCATTTTCGTGGTGAAAGTTATATTGAGCAACATCTCTTTCGCTTACGCCCAACTGCCTGTATATGTTATGGCTAGAATTGGGATAGTGCCATTTTCACTAATGTTCACGGCACTTCTTGGACAACAGCAACATTCTGCATCCACTATCTCATCAGCCTTGATTGCCACTCTCTTTCTATTGCTCGGCACCATGAAAGCAGGTATCCGTGCTCCGTGGGAGAGTATCGTCGCTGGTGTCTTCTCTTCCATTTTTGTCGCTTTATACCCGGTTCAGATTCAACGTACATATAAGGTCCTAGTCGCTCAGCTTGTCCCCCAGGGCGATCTTATAGGTGGTTTCACTTCAAGCAACGGGCCTTCGGATTTCTCTGGTTCTCGCGAAGAAAATCGAGCCTATTGGCGTCTACTTCACTACACATCCCTTCTCTCAATCCTCATCTTCATCCCCATTCTTTTATTGTCAGGTGAACTCGGAAGTGTTTATCGCAACTGCTATTTCATGGATGTCTTCTTTCATTGGTTGATGGTTCTCTGTGGAGGCACCGGATCATGGGCGGTGTTTTGGTGCACAATTGCGCTTACTAGGGCAACTAGTCCACTTACGACGAGTTTCTTGTTTGTTCCAAGAGCTGCGTTCTTATTACCTATCATGGCGGGCTTCAAGATGCCAGCCTCCAGTTGGATTGGATTCGGTATGTGCTGGGCTAGTTGTGCTTGGTTTCTTTTGGGCCGGGTGAGAGAGGGTAGACCTATTGAAAGATTGAGGTGATGAAAATTCAGAGAGGAGTTCCATGATAATTTATTTACAATGTCAAATAAGAGATTTGGATAAGATGAGGTTTAGAATTGATGACATATATCACGATTATATCTAAGGCCTTGTGCCTATCCTAGTTTATGAGTCGAGTCCTCAGAAAAGCCTCGAAGGGATGACCGCATCACAAGGAATGTGTAATCATTCAAGTCTGAGCCGCAGGATTTACACATGCATTCACGGTAGCATTTGCGGTACCACTAGCCGCTCCAAGCAGGTCCTGAATCGTAGAATCGACGATTGCTACAGCGGTAACATTTGTAGTACCATTGGCCCTCTTGAGAGATTCCTCGAACCGACACGCCTCCTCCAAAATCAATTCGGACATTGATCCGAAAACCAATTCCCAAAAATCATGAAAAATCCCCAAAAGATTAGTGGACTTGCCAAACTCTTGAATCGCAGAGCTCGCAATTGATTCAACACTCGGAGCAACCTATAGTCTGGAATCCGACCAATGGCATTGTATCGGATGTGATAAAATGGCATGTTGGATGGAATTACAAAATGCTCCACCAAGGTAAATACCTCCCACCAGAAAAGAAGGAAGCTAAAATTTAGCAGCCTCGTGGTCATGGGGCGCTCACACCAAAAGGTGTTTGAGAAGTGAGGGTACACAATCCCGAAGAATATGATTTGCAAAAAGAGAAAAGTAGCGACGATGCCGTGTAGAGTCATAATGTCGCTCCAATCTCGGAGTTTTTCTATATTGCCTCGGATATTTGCATCTCGTCGAGCATCGTCTTGCTCAGCTGGCGGATTCAAAGGGGCTAAAGAGTCCAAGTGAGCAGCCGCTTGAGATGCAGTCTCATCTTCGTGATCCTTACCCGCAGTAGCATCAACAGTAGAATTGATATCATGATCAACTTCATTCTTGGACAAGGCCTCATGAATGGATTTATGACTGGATTCGACTTCAGACTCGATTTCAAGGGCACATCTGAGTCCTACATCAATCTCCTCGGTTGGTTGATGCGGACGACGAATCTTGTCAAATTTACCATTTCCGTAGCCCTCGTCTTGGTTCTCCACGTTCCTACTTGGCTCAATCAATACACAAGGATGATATTTCAATTCCGATTCTTCATCAAATCCACGTGTAGGAGCGGTATAAGCTCCATGAGAACGTAGGGGCGGACTGCCATTCGTTTTAAAATTATCGCTCCCTTTTCCTTCGTTCTTGTTTTCAGCTTCAATCAAAGGATCGATCTCGGAATCGCAATCGGATTTTGGCTCTGCATCGGACTCGTCAAAGATAATATCATCATCTGATGGAAGCCGAAGGCGAATTTTCTCAAATTTGCCGTTTTCTCCGTCTTTATTTTCGAGTTTTAACTCCTCCGCTTCCTTGATAGATGCTGAGTGAATGGCGCTGGAGGCTTTCGCCTTCTTGCAGGCTCCAAGCGAGGATTCTTGGTCCCCATTCGAATCCTCGGATGAGGAAGTTACGGCTCGTAAGTGTTAGAGATGTTATATTGTTTGGAAGTACATATGAGAGAAATCACTTACGAGTATATCTAGAACGACCCGAACGATGAGTTGGCATGATTGCTAAGATTATTTTTCGGGATTTTATGTACGGATCGGTGGTCTTGCTTTTATATCTCTTTTTTCCCCTTTTTGCTCCTTTCTTTCTTCGGAGTGGGAATGCAATGTGGTCACTAGACGTGAATTAGAAAGACATGCATCTAGAACTTATAGAAGTTTCTTATGTCCATCTTCGATATGCTCGCGTCATAGTACATAATAAACTTTCTACTAATCCCCTTAATATTCAACAGATTGAAGATCACCTGATAATGAGATAAACGTCGACTGCTTCTGGTATAAGTTCTAACATATGATGCGCTAGTAGTGCCTGTGTTGATCAAGGTATATAGTAGAATCAGTGATTAGTAAGATCGACATTCGCCATCAAGCGGGATATTTTGTAAAACTGGTCTTGCCTCCTATCGATTTTCTGGCGAGGTCCTGAGCGGTGATTGTAGTTGCATCGAAGAGCGTCCAGTCTCATATCCTCCGCAAATACAAACTATTCAATGTCGCTGAATGATTCTATATTGTAACGGTTATCTTATTATTGAAGCTACCATTCATGATTATAGACTCACATCGTTCTTGCCATATCGAGCCTAACATCGCGAATTTAAGCTTTCCCTTCATCATAGCACGCTCAATCTTTTTAGCCCACGCCAAATTCATCGTCTGCGCTAGCCTTCTAGCTTAACGATTTTACTAACTTCATCAGGACTACGAAAGACACCGGCATTTTATCAAAACCACGAGACTCTAGTGTGGATAATAATAAGTTGGCACGATTGCCAAGGTCTGCTTTGCCCTTCCGACTCAAGTATTATAGGCTAAGGCTCATTCGGGAAAATTTTCTTATGGCTTGGAGTTGCAGTAGTAAGAACTACTAAACGATTATACAAGTACGGTTTTGCCGCTACTCAAAGTTTCTCTTGGATTATATGAGCCATGAGAATATCATCAATCTTGGTATGTAGAAAAATACAAAATACCTACATCGTCACCACATTCAACCCAACGACCATCTATACAACGACACCAAGTCATAGTCAATTTCTTTCGAACCTTCATAGACTCATCTAAAGACACTGGCCTAAAATTAGCGATGTCTATCAGCTGCTTTTTGGACTCCATTGATGATTTTACGGATTTATGCGCTGAGTCCACCTATGATCTTTCAATATTTATCAACCTTTGTGTCGATTATATTGGCAACATTCTGGATTTCTGCACTAAGGTTATCAAAACTTTCGTGTATGTAGCAACATTGTTCTACAAGGCGATCGATGTAATTGCTTTTGTTGGTATATTTTCCATCATCATGAGCCTCTCTATCTGTATCTGCCTGCGATTCAATCCCAGCTGCCTCCGATCGAGGCTAATCGACGTCGGTTATCACGCCATTGTGCTGCATCTTATAAGGACACATATACATTTGCCTTCCTTCGACTTGAAGAATAAAACAGAGTGGTAGTACGCACGTTAATCACTGCTGCAGCGAAACTACGCACTTATCAACCAAGAGAATACATTGGATGAAACGGAAAATGCAATCTCATTCAAAAGGATGAAACAAGACATACACAGATGCTGTCCGTGTCACTCGAGGATTACAGTGCGTTATTTATGGATTGAATACACCTGCATCATTCAGAATTCGGAAGAGGTGTTGATTGAAGAGAGGTCTAAGATGTGCTTTCTGTACAATGAAGCCAGGTTCAACATTGCCGCTGTGGTATCTCGCCGGAGCGATTGAACGTTAGAATTGGGCATGTACTCTGCCCAGGTAATAAAACCCAGGTAAGAAAACCGTGGCAAGATCTTCGGGGATTCGACTATGCATTAAAAATGGCAACTCGAGGTGAGAAAAGGTAAGTTCTTCGGCTCGGATACTGGCTAAATCTCCTATTGGCATGCTTTTTCAATGTCGTGTGATCAAATCTTAGCTGAAAATCCTTCAAACTATGCACAAGAACTTGATATCTTTGCTGGTAGTAAGCTTGTTGCCTTTTAGTACTTAACTCTGAAAAAGGGACTTCCACAATTTCATTTCCCACGCACAATGGAAACCTTGTACCAGCTACCGGGTATGTATTTTTCAGAAAAAGTGCGACACAGAGAAGACAAGCTTCCGGCAGTCGTAGGATTAGTGACACATCTCATGGGTACTGACCTGCTGATCGAAGACTTGTTTCCATTTGTTATCCTTGCACAGGTCACGAGCCAACTTCAAGACGCAATGCTAAGAAGTAGATCCATCACTATGAAAGGTCATCTTCCCAACATTGGCATAAAAGATTGCTTCTTGGGTCCGATTCGGGAGAATACAGCAGTTTGTAATGGGTTGCAATGTGGCCAGCTCAAACCAGGGTAGCCTTGATCCAATAACCAGTAATGATGCAGCGATGGAAATGATGAGCTCTCATGGGTATTGCTAAACATTTAACTTCTAATGATATCAAGATAGTAGGTAGCATTACAATGGAGAATTTACTTCCCAACATTTGTAAACCTCAAATAAGGCTTTACTTCTCTAACGTCGCCAAACTTCTTCCGTGCATCTTCCGTCTTGACTGTGGGTGGCACAATAACATCATCCCCGGCCTGCCAATCAATTGGTGTAGTAACACCCTTCTTATCCGCCGTCTGTAAACTATCAATGACTCTCAGCACTTCCTGAGTATTTCGTCCGCAGCTTGCTGGATACATCATTGTAAGTCTGATTTTCTTAGCAGGGTCGATAATGAAAACGGAGCGGATGGTAAACGCAATGCCTTTTTGATCAATGTTGGTTGTGTCTTGAGCATCAAGCATGTCGTAGAGATAGGCTACTTTGCGGTCTGCATCGGCAATGATGGGGAATTGTAGTGTCACTCCGGAGATTTCGTTGATATCTTTGATCCATTCTTTGTGGGATGGAAGAGGATCTGCGGACTGTTCAATCAATCGACACATTAGCATATGATGTGGTTGGATGGAACTCTTATAGACAGCATGGAATGATAATCATACCAAACCAATCATGTTGACACCCCGCTTCTCGAATTCATCCTTCAACTTTGCAAAAGCACCAAGCTCAGTGGTGCACACGGGTGTGAAGTCTGCCGGATGGGAGAAGAGGATTGTCCATTTGTTATCGATGAACTTGTGAAAATCGATTGGACCATGGGTCGTTTCAGCTTGAAAGTTTGGTGCTAGATAGAAACTATATTGTTAGCTTTGAACAAACGATTATATCATTGAAGCATGAATTTAGGATAAGAAATAGGTACACATACCTTCAGAACCCAATCTCAATCGCGGTTGTTCAGGTAAAGAAGTTGTGGCCAGGAATCGTCGTGATAGAGGGGTAGTAACTGGGGCTCCGAAGGATTTCTGAACAGGAAAAGCGCGGGGTAATGCACGTAGAGTACGGGGAACCGCGCGAGTAAAAAGACTTGCCATTGTGAATGGGAAAGACAAGAATTTAGACAGAAAACAAGCTGTTGATGTATATTATCCTTCAAGTCAAGAAGAAGATGGCAAGATTAAACAGCTATGTAGAATAAGGAGGTAAAATAACTCTGTTACGTGATTACCGCCAAGGGGTAAGGTTAGCTTTAGCGAGGCTGAAATGCAAGGCTAACCTTACCATTGAATGTGGGGGACTAAGGTCGGTCAAGTTCCTCTTCATTTTTTCGTTTTTTTCCACAGACTGGTGGATTATGATTTAAGTGTTTGCTTTACAGTCTTTGATTCACTTATATGACTCTCCCATGGATTGGTTTTGATGTGAATCAAGTTGCAAGTTATACAGCCAGTGCTGCTGCAAGATTTACTCCGCAATGGTAACGTGCCTGTTTCCAAGGGCCGCTGCCCACCAAGAGCATAATAGCATACGGAGATCTTTGATTCGAATATTTGAGGACTATCAAATATAGTTGGCTCTTCCTGTCGAATATGTCCCTGAAGAACTTGTGAATATTGTTAGTTGGTATGGGCACTTGTTTGGTTACTTATCCTTGAACAAATTGACTTTTCCTCTTCTTTGAAGGCGACCAGCGTCTAATTCTGGGCATACTTGACTAGCTTCATTTGATTGCGACAGTTCCTGGTTTATTCGTTGCCGTTTCCAAGCCTTTTTGAATGCTAATTGCAAGGCCTTTCAGGGAATGTTTATCTTCCAATGCCTCTTTTACACCAACATCCGAATCTTTCATTAGGCATTGAATAACCAGCTGCGCCTGCGCCTGCGAAAAGGCTATTTGATGTGGCAAGGAATTAACAAATTTTAAAACGTACGTGGACGATCCTGTGCCTTCTTTGACAATTACTAGCTAGAGGACATTCTGTGAGATTCTTTTCGAGCGATCTTCGAGTTTCATCTCGCAACACAAAGACCCATCCAAATTTTTGGGAGATTTTTAGAATAATGCCATCCAAAATATGAAATATAGAGGTTATATGAGAATTATAACTGCGAAGTTCGAGAACCTATCGACGATAAGGAGGTTTAAACTCCCATACCTCTTTCTAGAGTTGCAACACTTGCGCAGAAAATAAAAAATTGTGGGTTAAAAGGTTAAAACCACCATAATAAGTTCGTACAAAACGATCAGGATCAAGCTCCTGATTGAGTTGGATGAAATAGTATCCTCGATAAAATGAGTTTTGGAGCGGAGAGACAGGAGCGTTGCATATGTGAAATAGATCCGGCAAGCCCCCCTTAGAAGCCCTAGCACGAGGCAATGTATAAATGAAGAAAAAGAAACCTTCTCCATTCTCCGGCACATAATACTGACATCTATGTGTTGGCAGAATGTTACCCTACAGATCCAAATACAGATACAATATTTGAAATGTCAAGTGCTGGCGTACTGATTCCTGATACAAGGCAGGATTGTGGCTATACCTCCCTATCAACACCCGCATCCGCATTTGATATTAATGCAACCTCCTCAATCCAAAAAATCCAAAAAATCCCCGCAGTTTCGATACTGCACTTGCTTTGAGCCTTCATCTTTATATTGCTAAGTTTATAGGTATGAGATAATTTCCATTTGATTGACAGCATATTGATCAATTTCGTTCTGGAAATTTCTGGGAATCTCCAGACTGGACTGAGGCCTCGACATGAACCTTTGTATATTTTGTTCTTGGGGACCGCCGGGTCCGGAAAATATAGGATAAAGAATAGGGTAAGTTACGCATACTTTAGGGTTGATTGAAGGTGGCACGATAACTGGAAACTAGATCATTTATAATCAACTCCTCCCGCATAATACTTTTTTCAACCCAACACCCGAAGAACTTTCCCAAAAGTCTGTCACTATCGATTCCGAACAACATATCATGGATATCGCGAAATTGGACAGTGAACATGATGTCTCGTGCATGAGTTACATATTCGATACGCTGATGGAATCATACTGATGTATTCCATCTGTTGGCCTGAATCTTTCTCCGTGCTAGAATCTCTCTGGACTTCCGTGAAACTGCTGAAAGTTCGGGAGAAAAAAGGTCCATACGTTGATGTAGTCAAGACTATGAGTGATTTGTGGGAGAAGAGAAGTGTGAAGACCGAAGATGGAAAAGCGTTGACCCAGAGATTGAACTGTGGGTTCGCAGAGTGGTAAAGAGAGTTTTAAGGAGATTTCTAGCGTAGTTTTCTCGACGTGTCTGAATATTATAGGCGTTTTGTCGACGGATGCTCTGGTAATTATGGCCATGAGAACCTGACTCGGGAATAATGCGATATTCGACACGGATTTGTGGTAAAGCTAATGATTAATTATATCCATACATACAAAGGATGATGATGTATCTAACCATTCTTACTAGTGGTGTAAGGTTAACTATCGGTTTTGTAGAGAAACATATTTCTGGAATTTAAGATGGACACAGATTTGTTAGTTCTAAGATTGCCAGTAAACGTTTGTTATGTTACTACTTGGATAAAAAACATTGAGTAGATACTCATATGGATGTTGAGTTCGAAGTAGCTTTGTTACCGGTTCGGCACATCCTCCCATCGGCTGCTACATCCCACTCCTCACTACCCACAGCAGTTGTTGCGTAAAAGAGATGATCTGGATCCCATTTACTTTTAATGCCCAATAAGGTGCCATAATTCTTCCCGTAAAACGTTTCCTGCCAATTTCTCTGTCTGAAATTATCTTCATTCAGATAAGCTCCTCCACCAGGGGTAAGCGCTTCGAGTTGAGGGATAATCTTATTTACCATGAAATACTGTGCAGCTACCATTTCTGATATTGGCGCGGAATAATTCCAAGGGGTGGACATGATCACATGGATAAGAGCATCGCGCCAAGCCGGGAGAAGGGAATTCTCCACAGTGGAGATAATCTGAGGAGACGAAACATTCAAGGCGACACCTGTGTAGGGTATACCATAATTGGTAATATTACGGATGGTAGCGACATAGATCTTATTGTTTTCCTGAATGACACTTCTTGGTATCAATCGGCCTCCACCAGTATTTATCCCTGGCCCACCCCAAGGACCATATGGAAGAGGGCCAAGATAGTTGTTGTAGTGTTCAAGATATGTCGGGTACTCTGTATATGACACTGTATAGTTAATGCCGAAAGCCGTGAGTGCATTGGTGAAATTGGTCATTATATCCCGTACATCAGATCGAGTCTTATTATATGCTGTCATACCAATTATGCGGAAAGCAGTAGAGGAAATACCATAGCCAACCATAGTTCCTGCATCGACCATGGCAGGAAGGCAGGAATGAAAGGCTTCGACTCCCGCCCAGAATGTTTCGATACTGGAATTACCAGCGGCTGCTGAAAATTCCAGAGATGCACCGCTAACGACTGTATCAGGATATACCCGAACGGTAAGAGACATGACAACTCCATAGGTACCTCCTCCACCACCGCTCAAAGCCCAATATAGATCCGTGTTCTCGGTTCTTGAAGCAGTGACTAATTTTCCACCAGCCGTCACAACTTCCCAGGAAAGCGTCTGATCAGCACCCATACCAAAATTACTGGCGAGGGCGGAATGACCACCTCCTTGAGTGTAACCCCCGGCGATTCCAACTGTGGGACATTCACCACCTACTGTCACGAAGCCTGCCTCGTGAGCAGCCTCTAGAGCTTCAAAGCCTTGAACGCCAGCACCAATTGTCATTGCTTTGCCAGTGTAATATTCAGATGACCAGTCAGAGAACGAGATACTCTTTAGGTTGTGTGTCCAAACGGCCAATGCACTTGAACCGGTCGACTTCCCCAGATAGCTTGTACAGATTAGCGAAATTTACATCGGGGTTCCATTGAGTTGGACACTTACTCATGACCAGTATTTCGGATTACAAATCGAATATTATGACTCTTTGCAAAGTGAATGGCAGCAATGACGTCTTCAGCTTTCGATACGTTAACAGCATAATTGACCAAGTTTCCCAAGCGGCAAGGGCTAGATTCGGAAGAATAAGGATCACAGCTCTGATTTCCGAGGATAGCAAAGTATGGAGCTATCAACGAAGAAGATGAATTAAAACTAAATCAACATAAGTCTATTGATACTGACGTCGGCGGTATTTTAAATGACTTACTGCAAACTTGGGTTGGCCCAGGTAGCTTGTAGATATGCGCATTCAGTTTCGTTGTAATTGGGATCATGACATGGGCCCGCGATGGGTATCGTAGCTACCAATCTACCATCAACCGTATTGTTAAGTTTATTCCACTCTATCCCAGATGGCCATGATGGGTCTCCAAGCACTGCTCTGCAATTGCAATCCTCAATTTCCTGTGCAGATACTGTACAAAACAGCTGAAAAAGAAGAAACAAAAAGTTGTTCAACACCATTGTCTTCATCACACGGACCTCGTTCTCACTTACAGACAAAAGGTTGAACCAGAGAGAAGGGAGAACTCATGTTGAAATAAACCGTACAAATATGTGATCCTCTCACTTGACGGTGCGTGTCTATGCATATCTTCAAGGCGGGGTTATGTTCAGCTGAATGTAGGTACTAGTACGAGGAAGGAAATAGTTTAGTCGGTTGGCTCGCACATGGCTACGATCTGTGACGCATGACTGGACATTTTAGATGAAGTCCAAACTTTTCAACGAATCCAGCTTGCTACCATTGAAATTTTTATCAGGAATAATACCTCCAACCTTTTATCTCTCAAATGGCAAAGTCACGCAAGATTTCTCAACTAAAAGTAGCTGAGGCATCTCCTCGTCAAGTATCGATATCTATTTCTTACCCTGGCTTCATTAATCATCGAATGTATTAAATCTACATTGTCATCCATCGAAATTCAGCAACAAGCACCCACCTAATCAGTCATGCGCAAACTTTCCGAGTATGCGGTACTTTGATGTCTAACCACGGTATCGGCATGCCTTTTGTCCAGTTGGGAATGAAGGAAAGAAATGTAAAATTGAAAGCTCGATTCTGCAACCCGGCCCTGCTTTTTCACAGCTGGAAGATAGAATGTTGTCATTGGGTTAATATCGCGCCATTGCGATTGTGCTCGAGACAGAGTCAAGAGCAACGAATTCGAAGTTTGTGTTTTGAAAACGTCTGATAAAGGAAGAATTCGCCAAAATACAAGTTCTAGCACCTGAATGTCTTACTCTAAAGACAACATGTCAAGTATCATGACAAATACTCACTCGAGGACTATGGGTACCCAGTTTAATGAACCAAAAGGGTTAATTTGGCATCGATGAAGCTAATTACCTTGCCACGCGATTAATCGTCCACCGCCTCCACACCCTACCAGTTTTGTAAAAAGCACACGTAGGGTAGGATGAGCGGCGGTAACTTACCGCTGGTAAGTAACCGTTTATTGGTAGAAGTACGGACTCTCAGTAAGTTGCTGGAGATGGGCCCACTCTCAGCAAATTCCAAAGCAAAGACACTTGATAATTATACCGCAGAGTGAAGAAAAAGCCCCAGAGACCTCAAATAAGCTTTGGAAGTCGAATAGAGACCTTTCCAGAAATTGTACTTAAACCAAGCATGAACTATCAGAACTAGCCAAATATTAACCAGGGATAGGTAGCTTTCTCCAAGTTTCAGATATTCAAAAATCTGCTGAAATTAACATAATCGATGGCGTGAGGATGGGACTAATGAGAGATATTGTATCCCACTGCAAATCTAGACCATAAGAGACTTGCGCCGCGAAATTGCCACAATGCGGGCCATGTACTTCCGTGAACAGAATCAGACATACGAGGAAATGACATGACACATTAGGCAAAAGTTCAATTTTGGCGCTACCCCGGATCGCAGGATAGATTCTCCCAATCGCTAGGCCTGTTAGCGACGTAAATCCGGGGCCACGCAGCTACCCCTCAGTCTCAATTGAGTAAAATCTCCGATGCAAAACAAGAATCCTTGTCGACAGTTATTATTCCGTAGGATTTTACTAACAATCATTTGATCTTTGTATGCTTCGAGGTGTTGGTGGAAAACGGAGAATCCTGCTTCCGTTTCCTTTTGGGTACCTTGGTTCTAATATACTTTGTGCACGTCGTGAAAGATTTTGTAGTCAAAGCTTCAGCGAAGGAACATCTAAAACTGTACATAAGCCATTGGACCCCGTTCGTGAATTGCGTTTAAAGATTGAATCATCCATCTATTTTTGCAGAGGTTCGCTCTCAGCCAGGGAACCATTTTTCAACATGTTGGCCGACGAGAAAATAGGTGCGGAAGAGACGCACCAAGAACATGTAGGTGTCATTGCGGTAACTAGGAGTGACAGAGCTGACAAGTTGATCGTAGAAGGACGAGAATAATGTAGCCCACGTCAAGGTGGTGAGCGGGGATGAGGCTTTTGCGCAAGCAATGTTGAAGGAGCCACCAAAAACGTGGTCAGGTCGATCCTTTATACTATACGCCTGCGCTGTGGTAGCTTTCTTCTGCAGTACATGCAACGGATTCGATGGCTCCATGTTCAACTCCCTCCTCGCAATGGAGCAGTTTAGAAAGTACTTTAACGTTCAAAACGATGGTGCTTGGACGGGCATAGTTACATCGATGTATTCGATCGGAAGCGTTGTTGCTATTCCATTCATTGGACCAGCGATTGATACTTGGGGAAGAAAAGTCGGTATTTATATTGGAGCATCATCGATTGTCTTGGGAACGATAATCCAGTCCACCACACTCCACTCGAGTAATGTGATCGGACAATTTATGGGCGGCAGATTTTTACTTGGATTTGGTGTGGGAATAGTTGCATCGGCGGGACCAACGTGCGTAATGACAAGTCTCAAGTCAAGCTGAAAACTTTAAAAGCTAACTTGTCACAAGATATGTTGTTGAAACATCGCATCCTGCCCATCGAGGCGTTGTCACTGCTGTAAGTCCACATAACTCTTGAAACATAAGCATTGAACTGACTAGCCTCATAGTTCTACAACACATTTTGGTGAGTTACATAATACACAATACTTGATACCCTCCAAGATAATCAGTTTTTTGAAACCTCAACTTCACCAGAAACCCGTGGCTAACCCTAGATAAGGTTTGTTGGCTCAATCCTTGCTTCTGGAGCTGCACGAGGAAGTGCAAATCTATCTGGCAATATGGCTTGGCAAGTTCCAGTCTGGCTGCAAATGGCATTTCCGGGACTTTGCATCTGCTTGGCATGGGCTCTTCCTGAAAGTCCACGCTGGCAATATGTACACGGTCAGCGAGAAAAGGCGAAAGCAATGCTTACACGATATCATGGCGAAGGGAATCCGAATAGCATTTGGGTCGAAATGCAGCTTAATGAGTATGAAGAGTATTTGGAGATGGATGGTGCCGATAAAAGATGGTGGGATTATCGAGCGCTATTCAAAGACAGAGCTTCAAGATATCGCTTAGCCTGCAACTGCACAATTGCTATATTTGGACAGTGGGCTGGAAATGGTATATCAAATACTCAATTTATGATCCAATATGCTGACTCGACGTCAAGGTCCACTTTCGTACTTTATTTCAGCTGTTCTTGACACAGCTGGAATCACGAACTCGATAACACAACTTAACCTCAACCTGGGTCTAAATGTCATGCAATTTGGGCTGGCTCTATTCGGCGCTTCGCTCGTGGATAAAGTTGGGCGGCGTCCATTATTATTATTCGCAAACATCGGATGCGCCATAGTGTGGATCGGAGCCACTGTCTCATCATCCATCAATTCCAGCACAGGTAGCAAGAGCAGTGGTGCAGCTGTTGTGGCCATGATATTCCTCTTCGATGCCATCTTCAGCATAGGTTTTACACCCTTACAAGCACTGTATCCTGTCGAAGTCCTGAGTTTCGAGATGAGGGCCAAAGGAATGGCATTCAGCAACTTTGCTGTGTCAGCAGGTATGTTCTTCCTAGCTTACGCTCTCAGTTTTTTCAACTAACCACCACTGCTAGCGACTCTTGTAAATCAGTTTGCATATCCTGTGGCCCTGGAAAAGATCAAGTGGAAGACGTATCTTGTTTTTGTGATTTGGTGTCCAATCCAAGCTCTTGTGATATACTTCTTCATCCCTGAGACGAAGAACCGTACTGTAAGTTGCAATCGGAATTCTGTGAACAATGAGCACATCTGACCCTATGCTATAGTTGGAAGAATTGGATAACATCTTCCGAGCAAAGAACCCAAGGAAAGCATCTCTGGAGAAAAAGAAATTGGCTATTGACGATGGTGCAAACGTTGTGAAGGTGGAAGAAGCCATTTGAGAGCGACGGCGTCAAGATGCGCTAGAGTTGCGGTGGTGATATATCATATATATCAAGATTTTTACTAAGATTAGCTAGAGGGCATCCTTGCAATTCTCATAGAGTAAACTTTGCATTTATAACAAATAATAACAATTGATATGGGTTGCAATCCCGTTGGATATATATTTTTCTTTTGGAACGTCGAAAATGTATTGATTGATAATCTATTGAAAAGGTCGTAAGGTCGTGAAGTCGGTAGGGAGCTTTGTCCAATAATAGGTACATGTACTCAGCAGGTAAATATGGGTGGGGGAAGTTGGTGATTGGCACAGCAGTTTTAGCGCTAAATGAATGCGTCGCAATTGACTTTCTTGTCATCTAATGAACACTATCGGAACCAAACACAATACAACAGAAGACCAGAACACAACACAACACAACACAACACAATAATGAAAACAGCTTCATAATCTCCTTCAAACACAACAGTTTCCCAAACTTACGCTCTGTACCGCATTTGTCACCAAGTGCTAGGCACCACATGAAGCTCTCCGCCGCGACAATGCTCTCCAGACTGCGCATACCAAAGCAAAACGAATCCATCCATCGTGCTACATTCTAGCGACTTCCGCCCTCTAAGATCTCACAATACACTTATACCCTAAATGATGGAAAATGCCGGCTTTGCGACGTATTCAAGATAGTTCACTGCCGCATTACAAATGCATCTGTGCTGGACAGGTCGTCGCAGGAGAAAATGTAAAGATCGTTCTCTTGCACAACTACGGACTTGGAGAGACCATCAACACAGAGTTCTGGGGATTACATCTACCCGCACAAACCTGCAGATCAACCAACTACTTATACTATACTCTTGGCTGTGTCTGGGTGGGATTATATTTGCTTTACTCTTCCGTTATATGAAAGTACCGCCAACATGGCAGACTCAATACCTTCGACCTGAAGTCGCATACGCATTATCATCCAACCTCGTCTGGCTGCTGCCGCCTCTGCCGCTGTTGATCATGCTAAGCCGAAGCCTTTCCTTTTTCCGTGGTTGACAACAATAGTTTACGCAACGAATTAACCCTATTACGGTACTTCCAGTCCAAAAAAGATTATACAGCTGCTGGTTTTCAGCCCAGATTCTCTTTCTGGGCAATGTTATTCCAAATTGGTGTTGCAATAGTTGATGGGATGGGATGGGATGAAACATGGGTTTTGCATTACATCTCCAACAGAGTATAGAGTATTATGGAATTCAGAACGGGCAAGAAGAAATATCGACTAATATCTGGTAGTATACACAGCATGGCAGTATTCGTGCGGGAGCAGTCGACAAGTTGTTGGTTTTCCCAGGTGACGTCCAGCCTTTGAGTCCTTGAGACAAATGGCTTGGTGAGGCTCATGCATGAAAAGAGCCGAGAACGGGAGTTACGTCTTGTTGGAAGCATAAACACAGGCTTTGAAAGCGTTTGACAGCGTACCTCCGTGATCAGGTTGGTATAATTGTGGTTCTGAAGAGATAAGTAAGTTTCGTTCGGGTGGATAATTATCGCAAAGTCAGTGAGTCATTTGCATAGTTTTCTTTCGTTGCTGGCTTAGAGAGGCTGTTTATGTGAGGTGATGCCTTATCTTCGGGGTTAGTTTGTAGCCGGAGAAGGCAATACTTGCCAATTATTTCCTTAAAATCGCATACTAGCATTTATGCACCAGATCGATGCGAGCATAAACTGCTCGAAAGAAGCGCTGTCTCATGTGGAAGCATTTTTGTTGTCCGCAGACACTGGCAAATTTGTTTCTTCTGGAAGGAAATCTTGCTGTCTTTGGCGTTTGGCGCTCAGCCCTCTTCTCTTTAGGCACAATCAGGTGCAAAAATATCACAATAATGAACCTTTACATCCGTGACGACTTCGATAGCATCAATTGGAATTTCAGCCAATCGCGCTAGAGCGGATGGTCTACCACGGTGAACTATATAGCTGGAGTTGGTCAAACTAGTTGTGTTGAGTAATGGAAGCAAGAGCAGTGATCTGTGAGAACAGATCCTCTGTTGGTTTTGAGCACAGCTATAATATTGTATGGTGCGATTTTGACACATAATAGCACATCGTCCATGCGTAGGAAGGCTGAATTGTTAGCCATTCAGAAAGGGAACTCTCTGAGCTCTCATTAAATCGACACTAGGAAGTCAGACGGATGGTGACAGCAAATCTGAAGCTTCAGTGATAGTCAAGCCTGTCGTTCATAAGCGTACAAAGTAGCGGGGCAGCAGGTCCCGTGAACTTACATGATGAGGTATTCCAAAAATTGCGCCGACTATGAAGGAAACGATCATGAGCAGTGAGATGGAAAGGTTTTAAGGAGGTTCCAGGGGTAATGAAAGGAATTTTAAAAATTGGGAAGTCCTATCATCCATCCTGTTTGTGACCATAGGGCAAATTCGGTACAGAAATGCAAAGATCTAGACTGACGGAAATCCTTATTTGAAATACAATAGGCAATTCATGATTTGGTAAGTGAGATAGCAAGTATTTTATTCCTGTTGAAGAGGGCCGTGTCTTGATATACCTAGTTCTGAGAGCCGAACGGTGGCGGTTCAACATGGCTGGCCGGAATCGAAGTAATCAAAAGAGAATCTTCTTAGATCCCGACAGAAAACAGTAGCTAGCATTCTTGGCTACATCTTGGCCATCTTGGCATTTTACCTCACTTGGATTTGGATCTCAAGCCAGCATAAACATATATCGAATGAAAGTTGGAGAAGGAACACTGAAATGTACAAAAAAAAGAATGCAAGTAGCTTTGATGAAGTTTATGATATATTGATCCAGCGCGTATGGTAATTAATTACACAACCTTCCAAAAAACTCCAGCCCATATCCGTGCTTGTCCGACATTAATCATTAAAATAGCTATAGATGTCTAAAAGTTGTCGGCTTCATTATTGACAATGTTGTTGATCCCGGAGTCCAATTGGGAAGGCACTCCCTCCTTGCTTGCAAATGAGTCGACGGCTAATGCGAAAAGAAAACGTCAGAATCCAATGAGCACAGAGTAGCTAGATGGTTAAACATACCAGAGTCTACCATGGTATCTTTGGTGCTACCTCCCATACCGTTGGAGTTGTTTCCCATACCGTTGGAGTTGTTTCCCATACCGTTGGAGTTGTTTCCCATACCGTTGGAGTTGTTTCCCATATCGTTGGAGTTGTTTCCCATACCGTTGGAGTTGTTTTCCATACCGTTTTCCATACCATTTCCCATATCGTTTCCCATGTTGCTTCCCATGTTGTTTCCGTTATTTCCACCTTGTTGCATTTCGCTCTCTCCAAACTCCTTGATATCTTGTCCAAGACCCATGATTGATGATTGATTGAAGTGATAGATTGTGGCGTTGGTCTATATCAAATGTTAGAATCCGCTGAGCCATGGTTAGGCAAATCTTAGTATGGTGAACTCACTTGTTGTCTGTTTGAGTCGACAGGTTGAAGGGCGATGCTTGATGTGCTGATGATGAAAAATAACGAGGAATCAAGAGGAGGAACAAGACTTCTTATACTTGAACATTTCCCCTAGAACTTGCATCACAATTACTTATGATACGAACCTGCTTGATTGTTGGTCTCCATGAACTTTGCGTCCAGCTTCGACGTCGCATCGCAGTTAATGCATCATGATGTAAGATGCTTCCCCAGTCGTCCGCACTTTGATCTCCATATTAATCAGTTCCTCTACATCATGACAGCCATATTTAGACTCCACGAGTCCACGTCCTGAAATATCTACCCAATAAGGTTCCGCATCTATCTTCCTTGAGTTCTTGTTCCTAAGAATTTCAACGTTTTACGGGTTACAAGGGCTTACTCTGTACAGCCAAGATAAACCTGCTCTTATCAGAAAACCCCTGCAGTCTTGCAAGAACAAGCGTCATGTTTTTGATGGCGCAGAACAAGGTTCTTGTGCCTATCTAAATGCTTGATTTTGGATTCATGTGCACGCCAATGTACGGGGAAAGGCTTGATTGAACGCATGAACATCTAATTCGTTATCTCTGCCATAGAACGACCAGATACCTACTTTTAGGACTGAGTAGCAACAACAAAGTGTGGACGAGTAGCGCCTAAAAGATGCTCCTTATTGTCTGTAGGTTTTTTTTTTCCTTTTTGTATCGTTCTATTGCTTTGGTATGATATATTAATAAGGTAACTAGGGGAAAGATAGAAAAATAGGAAATATATAAATATATAAAATAGAGGATGCGGTTTATGGTAACAAGCACGTGACACATCACGGGTTCTTTCATTAAGGTTTTACATCTTGCTAATGCCAAGCAACGAAGTCACTCTTATCGCGATAAGGCCATCGATAAGGAATGAAGGTTTAGAAGGTCACAAGTTCAAATCAGACATCTATCTTCATCCCTTCATCCTGTTGGCAGTCTTCTATTTGTATTTGCTGTTTGCATTGCTATTGATTTTGCGTCCTTCATTTATTCATTATATCCTCATTGCGCAACCAAGGCAATTTCTCTTAACATTCTATCTAGATTCATCGACCTTATTGAGTCCTTATCTCTACGGCTTCTGCGTACACTCCAACCTAAATCCCTAGACAACCACAACCACAATCAACATGGAATACAAAATGGAATACAAACAACCTTTACAAACATACTCCGATAGGATAACTCCTCGCATCATTATCCATGGCGGCGCAGGTAATATTCTACCTGCGAACCTTCCACCCGCGAAGTATAAGCTCTATCACGACTCGCTTCTTCGCATCATATCCAATACTCATTACTTTCTCACCTCACCATCCTCTTTCCCACTCCACAAAACCTCTTCTTCCACCACAACCGCTCTGGATGCCGTCACCTATGCAGTTACGCAATTGGAAGATAATCCTTTGTTCAACAGTGGACATGGCGCGGTCTTCACACGCGACGGAATCAATGAACTGGAGGCATCGATAATGGTATCTAGTGGGAAGAAAAAGAGAGGAGTCGGCATCATGGGGTTGCAACACGTCAAAAATCCTATAAAGCTCGCACGCGAGATGTTGATACGAGGAGAACAAGACCTAGAGGGTGGAAATGGAGAACATAGGGGGCCAATGAGTGTTGAGGATAGATTTAAAGAGACACATGGAGCACAAGGGCATTCACAGCTACACAAATATTCGGCAGAGAAACTGGCAGAAGCATGGGGGTTGGAGATTGTAGATGAAAAATACTTCTTTGTTCAAGCGAGATGGGACGAACATATCTCGGGTTTGAAAAAGGAGAAAGATGGAAACGGACATGCATCATGGGATGCCCAGGAATTTATACCACAAGGGACTTGCGGTGCCGTCTGTCTTGACTCAGATGGAGTGTTGTGTGTAGGTACAAGTACTGGTGGTATGACAAATAAATTGACAGGGAGAATTGGCGATACACCGACCTTAGGGGCTGGTTTCTGGGCCGAGGAATGGGAGGATACATCGGCTGACGAAGATTTGCATCGACTCCAACAACTCCGTCGAAGAATGCGCAACCAAGGACCTATCATAGATTTGGGTAATCAATTGAAAGCAATCGTGGCAGATTGCTTCCCAGGCTTAAATTTAAGAACCTACAATCCGATTTACCAAGAATGGCTAGAAGACGAAGCACTGAGTGCCAGGAAATATATGAGGTCAACCGCTATGTCAGGTACTGGAAATGGCGACTCTTTCCTTCGCCTAGCTGCCGTACGCACCGCATCAGCGATTGCTCGTTATCGTCCTGGAACTTCCCTACAAGCCGCCATCACTGAGGTTACTGGCCCTGGCGGAGATCTTGTTAAATCGGCAGGTGACCGATGGAAGAAAACAGGTGAAGGCGAAGGAGGTATCATCGGTATTGAGTTCAAGGTTGTAGTTGATAAGCATGGCCAGAGAAAGGACGCAGTGAGTCAAGTCGTCTATGACTATAACTGTGGAGGGATGTTTCGCGCAGCTATTAACGAAGATGGAAAGGCTGTAATGAGAGTATGGAGGCCTGGTCAGTACGATGGCTTGGAGATATATGAAGGTGAAGGAAGAGAGTATGAAGTTGCCGATTGGGTCGACGCAAAATAAGGGTTCAATCGATGGGTTTCGAGGGCTAGTATGATTAATGATTAACACAGTTCACGGAGCAAACGTCTGTTTTCTCGGACGCGATGTATGTTCAAGGTGTCAGTCATGTCCAGCGGTGCAATTTTATGGAACCTCCAGTGAGGACAGTCAAGAACAATGTAAAGTAATTTCTCCAAATAATTTTGGTTCCAAGATATAGAGGTCCAGGAATCACGTGGGACTTACAACGTAAACATACAATTTTCAAATTCTTCTCCATACGGTCCATGGATTTCCATCAACAAATAACTCAGCCGACTATGCTACGCTCAACCAGCAGCATTATTCCCCTCACTAGCCTTACATCTCGAAAATCTCCATTCAAGAACCTACGTGCACCCTAATTCTTGCCGGGTCATTTATCCCTCCTCAATTATATTTCCTACCCGCATCTTCGCATCCTTCACAAAGACCTTACTACTTTCCGGCACATCTTCCATTGTGTCTTCCTCCACTCCAAAGATTTATCCAGAACCTCAATCCTTTTCAGATGCCTCTTCCCACATTTTTTCACGGATGCTTATCAAACGGGGGTGGAGAAGTTCTCAGCATTTCGTCTCGTCTTGTCTTCAATGGAATCAGTATGGGTCATTTACCTAGCTTCGATGTCGATTCAGTCTTGCCCGGATTGAAGCTCGATGCCGGAGACTTCGAGTTGGTCGAGAAGGTCTGGGACGTTCTGCTTGCGAATTTTTTCTTAGTCCTAGCCGGTCTATTGCATTCCGTGCGGGGTAGACATGTTTGAGGTCTTCCGATGGTTCACGATTCGCAAATTTTGACTTTCCGAAGTGGCTATCATTATTCGGCTTGATCTTCTAGAGATCTCGTGTCGCGTCATATGATTTGCTACATAAAAAGCTACCTAGCTCCTCTGAATGTGAGTTTTCAGTCGAGGACAGGTGATTAGATGCCAAATCATACCATTCCATCCCAAGGGTGTCAGATGTTAAATTACAAATTTTCTGATTAGTCTACAGATAGCCAACTTCTAATTTTTGCATCTTTGCTTTTACCAGCTCAAAAGGAAAGCACTAAATTTTACATTCCTCGTTATTCAAATTTGCCATCTCCATCAACAGATACTCCCAAGTACCTCTAGCCACATGACCACCATCATTACCTTGTTGTTTAGCTGCGTTAATCCGTAGGATTATAACTTATCTATCCTTTATGATATTCTCTATTTCAGCCAAAACATTTGCATGCGTCTCTTCTATGCCTCTCATAAATGTTCTCGTCATGTCTTAGACACTTCGAATCGCATCTAAATCTTTAGTTTTGAAAGCACCTTCCTCATTGACTCGGTAACTGTCTTAAAATCCTGGGTCTTCTTCAAGACGTCTCAGCCGCTCTCATGAATTGGACCGGCCTATCTCGAAATTTGCCTAAGTATTGTGATCTTTTATCAGGTTCCGTTGCATTCTGGTTCCCGGAATTCATCGCTTAAACGACCAAGGAGTTGAGGAGCTTTTTAGGGGGATTGCTTTGGAATCCTGGAGTGTGGCTTGATGAGAATAATGGAAGGTGAACCAGAGTCTTGTGCTTTGGGAGGGATAGCGCCCGATTAATACTTGCAAAAGCAAACGGGTGTCTCTTTTAAGCGTAGAACGTTGAAACTCTTGTTATTCTACGACAGCAAAGAATCTTTGAGCATAACTGAACGTAGCTGTCTGCGAGAGCAAAGAAAGAATAGCATTTCTTTTATTTAGATGTTTGGGCCGATTGTTGATTAGCATGCTCTGCATTTAGGGATATTAAAGAAGAGTTGGGCAAAGACGCTTTCTGGGGATCTTTTTGCTGATCCCCGAGACGCGTCTCCTTTTCTACGCCACAGAATATACTGCTCAATTTCTGTGATAGTGCCGATGGTATAAATGCCCTGAATCTTTCGGTCAAAGCTGTTCGGTAAAGGGCTTTTTGGACCTAATGTTCTTTGGGTGATAGTTAGATAGAGCGAGCAACTTTGAAAGACTTTTGGGTCTACCCATTCATCATCAAACTCTCTAGACCATCCGACGCTTGAATGCTGATCTGCCATTTTTTATTCGAAAGGACCTTTTTCTTGAATGATTAAGAAACGTTAAGAGTGTATGAGAAACAAAGCCTTGCTATGGAAATAAGGATTACGTATTTGTGAGTGATCAAGACCAATTGTTTATACATCAAAGTACGTTACTTCAGTTGTAAAACTAGGATCTAGCTAAATGAAAGATTAATTTATGATGATAAACATCCTAAATCATCTTAAAGTTTTGAATGGTCGCTGATAGCAATAGCGAACTCACAAAGCATCATATTTGATTACTAGTCTGATGATTTTATGGTTGGCTAATCTCTATTTCAGCTTGCTTTCAAACAATGCTATGAAAATTTTGCATGTTTTTCTTCCTCACTTCTACCAAACACAAGTGTAATTGCTTGCTAGCTAGTCATGTCTTATTCAAGACATTCTCCACATCATCGTGGATTGCTTCAATCAGCACATCAATTACCACTGCACACTCAATTATTACTACTGCATTTGTCATTATGGCAAGGTAATCCGAAGTAACTAAGTCATAATTCTGGGATACTAAGTCTAGTACCCACCCTACTTTCGAAGCACCCCTCTTTCGGATCACTTTTTTACATCAAAAATAACGATTTTCATCTATTAATATTCTAATGATTAATGTTTTATTAATCTTTATATTTTATTTTATATTTTATTTTATATGAATAAATATTCAATTCATAATAAAACAATAATTTTAAATTTTTTAAAGTAAATTAATTTATTTAATTAATTATAATATAAATATTTCAAAAAGTTATTTAAGATTTTCAAGATTTTCAAATTTATATATAAATCTTATACAAATCGAAAATCGTGATTTTAATTTTTAATTTCTTAATTAATAAAATCACTAAAAATCTAAAATCTTGGGAATTCATTAGTAATTATACAATGAATTTACAATTCAAATTTCATTAAATTCTATTAATTGGTTATAAAGTTATTAATAGCTGCAAATCATGATTTTTGGTGTAAAAGATGGTCCGAAAGGGGGGTGGTCTGAAAGTAGGGTACTAGACTTATAAGACCCTGTATATTCATGAATATTGCAAACAGTCCCCAACTACACGTGCCTGACCTGTTGCATCAACTAAAGCAGAGGGCACCATATTTATATCTATTTGTCTCTCCACGATACTTAGACGGTTGCGGCCCATTTTCACCGGCGAAATAATCTCTAAAGAAGAAGTTCCCCCCCAGTATGATTTCATGTCGGTAGGTGAGGGTCGAAACTTTTCATTGGCCGATCTGTGAAACGATACATTTTTCGTAGAGAGTCTTTGGAAAGACTATTTTCCAATAACAGGTCTTTTATATATTGATTCCTTTTCTGGAAGTTTCAGAATTATTGAATCGGCGGTAGGCTATATTTAACTATTTGTCCATCAATTGATATCTTTTAAGATTTTCAGCTAGCTACTAAAAATCCATGGAGTTCCAACGGCAGCAATGATTACTTCCTATTGCTGCCGAGAGATAAGACAGAAAGGATGGATATTTTAGTTGAGCTCTTTCCCTGATAGCGATGCCGCATGGCTATTTACAGAATTTCTCTCTTCTGACCACGCGCAAATGTTTCTCGGCTGATTTTGTCATAGACTGCCATGCATAGCTGCAAACTTCATTTTTTGCCGAGTTATATTCTTTGTACTTTTATAACATCAGATGTTTCTCGAATACATGATTTATAACCAACCGACCGCAGTTAAGACACGAAAAGTCTTGATATTCGTAAGAACTTCCACCATTGAATAATATACCATGATGCAACAGGATTAGTTTTCCGGTAATTTCAATATAAAATAGTGACTTAGTGACTGGAGGAATCGATGCCTGAACTCCATATAATTTATGAAATAAATCGAAGGACCAATGCCATCTATCTCATTGCTGGCTACAGTAGCCATTAATTAGAAGCTCTGAATCACATTCGTGGCTGGTGGTCCCCATAACTGCTCGGTAACTCCTTCTCCCAACTTCAGGCCCTTCGTTTTCTGCTCAAGAATGAGAATCTCATCCTTTTTCTCACTCTTTTTACATAAAACTGTTGCCTTCCTTCCCTTAGTTTTATTTACTGTGTTTTTAACAGCTCTAATTAGTTGTAGAAGTTTCTGTAATTTTTCCTGGTTTGCTACTTCCCACTCTCGCATGTCTTCGCTCTTGTCAGATTCCGTGATATATGATTTTTCAAAAACCCCGTCATTGTGATTGGCTATAATTAGATGCTTGACTTGGGAGAAATAGAGCTGCGGCATCCATTTAGCTCGCGTTGGAGATTTTCCCACTTTCGCAGTTTTGACCTCTATCATCGGGAGAATGCACATTTCAATTTCGCTTTTGACAATTCTGATGCCCTGGTAACTCGACTCGTTCACATTTGGATTTGTATTCAGGGATTGTAGGCCGTGTCTTGCCTGACCCAGATCCAAACTTTGAAAACTTCCAGTAATATCCTTCGTACTTCGCACGTCGTAATATCCATCAACCTCAAATCTGACCATCCATTGCATGCCTCCAATCTCGTAAGTAGCCATTCGGTAGTGTCCGCTAGTCCCCTTCAATGAGTCGTCCTCGTACTTCAAAAACGCCCTCTCAAATGGAATACCATAACCCTGAGAACTATACCTGGCAACTCCTTGTTCATTCTTCTCAAAGACCATAGTGTTTCGGACCATCTGGACATTAAGTTCCCATGACTGGTCAACCTTTCCACCAACGAAGTCTAGTAGTTTTCGAAGCACATTGCGATCTATGATAAGATCCGTGGAGGGGAGAGTACGTGTATCTGTATGCGCAATACTGACGGAAAGTGCGGCAAATAACGAATTCGTCGACACTTGCGCTTGATATGCTTCTTTATCAGTCAATTTACTGCCAATGTTCGACTGTAGTGTGGTTGGCAAAGCGGGCGGAGACCATTTTGGTGGAGAGCCAGGAACCATGATAGTAGTCGGTTTTCCATTTGAGATGTTGTAGGACGTGACATATTTGAATCCCGTAATTGTGATGAAATTATTTGCGTCGTAGGGCTCAAGAGAAGAAAGACTGATAGTGGCAATGACTGTGCCTGTGTTTCTGGAAGCCTGGGCTGGCATACGTGCTGTGCCGGTGGGATAGAAAACCTTGCGACCGTCGGCATCGCAGCCCTCTATCAAGAATCATCAGTGTATGATTTCCACTGTTCAGTGAGCTTCGTGCAAGGAGTACGAACCAGTATTATGCTCAAAAGAATGCGAAAATTTGCAACTTGCGCCTCTCCAGCATTTGCCCTGGCGCCTCCAGATGTGGCAGGGCTTTGTGATTTCCGTATTCATCTTGTGATATTTTGTCAACGTAGTATCGGATTATTTAGATGGCGAGAAATATTTGAAGAAGATATAAACAGAGAATTGATATACTGATAAAATATTGATAGAATTTATTGAATATTATCAGAGGCACTTTATTCTTTACGAAATCGACATTTACCATGATCCATATCCTCCCAATTGCTCAACGAGGTTTGTTACCCCACATGTCAAGATCTTGTCCTTCCCGAACCCCTTCATTTCTTGAGACTTTCCTGTCACCCGATACTAGAAAAATATCACTACCCACGATCTCGCGATTCACATAACAATCTATCGAAACTATCAAATTGTTTAGCAGTACTGATTTAGCAATTTTACAACCATCCATCTCACCGTGAAAGATGCCAGCCCAGCCTCTCCTCATGTCAAGAAAAGAATCAACACACATATAATTTGACTGTCCAGACCAACAGACATTGAAATCAGGGGTCTGTATGCATCTTGCCTCGTTTTTCAACCTTCCCATCAAACTAATGCGACATCAACGACATCAATATACCCCCTTGTGTCGTTGCATCCTCCGATCTAATCTCCCATCAACCCCCCCTATCGCTTCTTCTTTCACACTATTCCATCTATATGATAGTATTTTCCTATCAGATTCGATCCCCCTCTCCACAGAAAACATCTATTCTCCTTGTGATTCGTAAGTAGGTAGATCTACACATTCACATACCATCCAAAAATTCCATCATCAAACTCATCATTGAAGCTATAGCACACACAGAACCTCACAAGTCGCAAAGTAAGAAAGCTCGCCTACCAGGCTGGTATCATTTAACTATAATATAATACAATGAATGCTAAGCCAACTCCTTCCTTCTCCGCACTCTCTCTTCAAAAGCCCGATGCATTCACGCACTCACTCATCCATTCAAAATCATCTGACCCCTTCCCCCATCAAACTAAAAATGCACTCTGATTCAAGCTTGCCAGCCCTTCTTATTTCCTGGGCAACTCTCTAAACACTTTCCTAAAGATCAACCGACTATTGTATAGATTATTAACTCTGATCCTTTCGTTGTCTGTGTGTTTTATCACCCATTAGCAAGATTCTTGTCATAAATAACCAACGCCTTCCCCCGTAGCTCACATGACGCAGACGAAATATAATAGGGAAAATAAATCTCACCTAAATGCGCACTGTCACTCGCCTGTCCGCATGGCAAATGTGCTGCTGGCGCTCCGAACTCCTTCTCTAAAAATCGAATACTAGGAATTGAGCCTCCTTCCCTGATATACAACGGTTTCCTCCCCATCCCCGTCCCATTTTTGGCGCTCAATCCCTTGCGGTCTCTACTTTTACCATCATCTGTCTTATCATTTTCATTCCCGAGCCCCTCATTTTCCTTCTCATCCCTTTCGCCAGAAATATCTTCTGCATCTAATGATAATGATGCAAGATCTACCGGTGCAGTCGCCAAACTTGTATGGTCACTCCCCCCAGTTAGACTCGTGGTTGTCGCTGGTGTAGGCTTAAGACTTGGGGATGCGTTGATTGGACTCGTAGGTGAGTTTTCCTTTTCTTTCTCTACATGTTTAGGACCCTGCACACTACTCTTCCTTGTGTGATTCGTTATCGGTCCCCAAACCTCCATGATCGCTTCCTCTAACGTCCTAAAGATTTCATTCTCAGGGTCACCAAGCCATGCATCTGCTTGGTTGTCGATTGATATTGTTAGGTGATTATGCGTGTCAAGCTTCGCAAAAGCATCTTGGAGGAACTTTGAAAGGGATTTGATGACGTCGTCGACTTCTTGGTTGGGCACTAGACGAAGAGAGATAGCCGCGCTAGCATGTGATGAAACAAGGGAACCATCCGGTCCAGAGACTTTATAACGATGGAGTGTCAAATTTGGTTCTCTCCATCTTGCCATGATTGACTGCTTGAGATTTTCCGCCGGTCCAAGTTCTGGGTTGCGACGGAGGAGAGTTGACACAATATCATCGTATCGAGCTTCTTCGGCTGGAGTTATGGGAAGAATATCATCGTAGAATCCAGGAATTTGGATCCTGTTGTGAAGCCCTTTGAGTTTGGCCAAGATAGCAGTCAGATCAAAAAGTGGCTCATCCATCATGAAACTTCCATCAACTCCACTATGAACATCTGGATGTTTGCTATTAACCCTGACAGTGGCGTGAAGGACACCTCTCAGGCCATAAGTCAGACAAGGAACCTCATCATCAAGCCAGTAACTATTAGCAAGAATGATATAATCAATATCGCCAATCAATTCCTTATGCTTCCTCACAGCGTCCTTGAAACCTCTCGATCCGCTCTCTTCCTCTCCCTCAATCAAAAAAGTGATATCGGAATCCAAAGCTTTCTCGTGAACCAAATCCACAACTCCATAAAGAGCAGCCATGATAGGTCCCTTGTTGTCACTCACTCCACGTCCGTAAAGATACCCGTTTACCCCCTTCATGTGGAATGGGTCAACGATCCATTTCTTTTGCTTGTCATCCGCAGGCACGACATCATAATGTCCATAAAACAATATCTTCTTCCTCTTTCCAGCCGTCTCCGGATTTCCCTTGAACTTGGCATAAACAATTGGATTGTGATGAGCTTCGGTGGTTAGCATTTCAGTAACCGCTCCATGTTTCTTGAACAATGTTCTAAGAAACGTAGCACCACGTCGACAATCCTCGGCATGATCAGGTCTTGCAGAAATCGTCTTGAAAGCCACAAAATCTTGCAACGACTTGATGAGTTGATCGTCTTGAAGCGACTCGCGTTTCGGATATGTGCCAGTGTCACAACCAGTAATATCCCATATCGAGACCGAACAATCGTTAGCACCAGTTATGTAGAGTTGTTGTCCACGGAACGTGGTGACTGCCGAAGCCAAGATTCTGCCTTCATGCGCTTTCCATCGTTTGACGCATTGATATTTTTGGCTGAAATTTGAGGTTTTATATTGTCCATATTGTACCGTGCTGTATTTCTGTCAAATGTTAGCCCCCTGGTCATGCGAGATGAGCACACCAACCACAGAAAGCAAACTCACTCTAGCGTGTCCTGTACTTCCTCCACTCCAAAGATAACCCCAACCCATTTGCAACGTCATGACATCACCCTTATTCGTCCTGATGACCCTCAACTTCTGCCTCGTGTCCAAATCCCACAGCTCAATCACCCCTTCCAGTTTACTGCTGTACAGAAAACTCCCATCTACTGCCAGACTCAAGACACTCTCGGCGTCATCTTCCCCAAGTCTTTCAATCTCAATGATCCCTTCGTCTTGATCATTGCTCAATTTCCACAACTTGATTGTCCCATCTCCTCCACCAGAAATGAGCATATCCTCATCCGCATCGACTTGTCTGCAGACGCCCCGAACCATGAGCATACAATACACATAGCCAAAATGAGCATATTGTTTCATATGCGCCTTATCAATTTCCAAGACATCTCCCTGATCTGCAGCCGCCCGTGCAACTTGTCTCGGCCTTGGTGTACTCGTCCCTCCATGCTGTACACTATCAAAAAATCGATGATTCCTCCTATCCGGGTGACGCTCCGGGTTTGGGGTAGGTCTCGCCGCAGAATCCCTTAAACTGACCCATTGTATGCTGGTGTTTTGCGCTCCCAAATAAACCGTCTCGAATTGAGGGGAATAGGCTACGGAAAATACATCGCCGACATCGTAGGTACTGTAGATGTGATACTTTCGGACTAGACTCGTAGGGCACCATGCATTGACAATGGCGTCACCGGCAGATGAGAAGAGGAGTTTGCCGTCTGCGGAAAGAAAGAGGGAGAGTACGCTGCGGGTGTGTGCTTGGATGCGCGAAACGAGTTCGTAGGATGCAAGGGACCAGACTATGATCTCTCCATCTTGAGTACCCGCATAGATATATTTGGATCCGACAGCGAGAGTAAGGATTGACGAATCGTTTTGGAGGTGGTGAAGGAGTTCAGGACGTGAAGGGTCGAGGTCATCTTCCGAGCTGGTTCGTTGACTGGGATCGTGAGATAATGAGTCAATTTGTTCATTTTCGTCTTCTGTACTGGCTGGAGGATTGTTAGTTGATGGTGAGATGGGATTGGTTGTTTGTGAAGCTGTAGATTGAGCAATTGAATTTGAATTTGAATTTGAATTTGGCGTTCTTGATCCAAAGATTGAGGTCATCTTTTATTCAGCTGGAGAGTGAGGGGGAATGTATGGGAGTGAGAAATAAGATGATTGCTAGGCTTGTACAGAATAGTCAGGGATGACATGGAACTTGGGGAAACCAGGTAGGGAGGGGAGCTCAATGGTGGCATGGTGGCATGGTGGCATGGTGGCATGGTGGCCTACCAGTGGCCCTATGGAGTTAGAGCCTGCTAGAGCCTTATCCTCCATAAATGAAGCCGGGAGAGTGAACCCGAAGAATGCAATGAAGCCGATAACGAAGCCCGAACTTTAGCCCAACAGCCAGCACCAATCCCTGAAGCTCATCCTTATAGCGTACCCAACATCCCCATCATCCCCATCATCCCCATCCTCTCACTTCATCAGAGTCTCAAGCAAATGAAAAGAAAATGAATCATAATAATGGTAACAAAATCAAACAAAAATCCGGGCGTCATAAACTCACTATGATTTTCAGTATCATCATCTTCTCCCTTTTCCCACACGTCAAATGTTTGTTGAATGTCTCTGTGATCCCTATATCTATCACCCCTATGATCCCTATCATCCCCATCATCTCCATCATCATCAGTAAATCCAGGGCCATAATCACTACCGACGACCCTAACACCGTCATCACCCCTATCATCCCTATCCCCATCCCCGTCCTTCTCCATCATCAAATTCGTCCTCGCACAACAATTCCAATTCCACCTCTCCAGATCCAAATCCACGACAGGATAAGAATGTTGATAACGCTTATTCGTACTTCTACTTCTGTACCCGTTCGTGGACCTATTTGTCGGTATGCCTTCAATACTTTGTTTCTGTCCCAATTGTATATCTTTCCCATATATGTCGTTCTCCTCGTTGCTTGTATCAATCGCATCCAGGGAGGTTGCTACGAGGAAAGCCATGGCGCAAAGGGTGAGATTTATGGACGGGATGGATGGATATTCGACTTCAGCTCAATCTATTACACAATCCGAGAGGTAAATTGGATAATATCACCCGAATTTGAATCTGAGGATTTGCAATCATCAAGGTAGAATTGCGTAACTAATCACCATTATTGCGCCTTCAAAGGTATAATATGAGAGAAGGGAGAGGAGAGTATGAGTATCCAGTGCATACCAAACACCCTTACAGAGTACTCTTGGGGTTATTTCCATTCACTTTATAATCCTCCGCCTTCAAACGCTATGTAGTCTCACCCAAGAATCACACCCGTCGCCCCTATCCCCAGCTGTCCAGCTTTCCAGTCCTTTCACGCCAATATCCTAGGAGGTACTTAATGCCAATATAACCAATCTTACCTACTGCACAATATGATTTTAGGTTGGAATCTTAGGACTCAAGTAACATTCATTGGCCGTTGCTTATCCGTGTGACATAATGGTCGCCCTGCAATTTCTCTACGTCTCCTGCATCTAATTGATTTGTACCCAATTCGTACCTCACAACCTATGTAATAATGCTACACCGCATTCTTATGACCACAAGACTACCACAATATACGTATCGCCCGCATAAGTTAATTGGTCATCATACTGTATTAGATTCTGAATATCCAAGTAAGATCTTACTTTGCATGTACAGGAACGTGACTAGCTTTGCTTTATTACTTTTACTTTCATTCGCACAACTTCAGCATTTTGGAGATTAATAAGTGAATTGAGATATGGTGGACGAGAGAATAATCTGTCATCACTTTCATATATTGCTTGGTAAGTCTAATATCTCATTTCTGAACTACCTCTAATTTAGGCTACATCAAAAAGCTACTCTACTTTCAATAATCTATTTTATTTAACTTTTAATAATTCAACAATTATGAAATCAATTAATGTTAAATTTGATATATTATTCTTTATAAGATATCAAATTGAAATATTAAAGATAATATTATTATAGTTTCTGATATAATTATAAAAAATATATTTATATAATAAATTAATTCAGAATATAATATTCTTTATATTATATTTTAAAATTGAATTTATAATTAAATTTCTTATAAAAAAGAATATCAAAATATATAAAAGATAATTTCAATATAAAAAAAAGATTAATAAAAAATTAAATATTAATATTATTATCTACTTGTCGATATTATAATCTTGTTGTATATAAAGTTTATTTAATATAAATTGTAAAAAATAAAATTCGTTTAAGATTATAATATAATTAATCGAGAAATAAGTCGCGATCCTGACAATCTGATTGGTCTAAAATACCCCGGTAAATAATCTAACAAAAATCTTGATATAAACTTTATAAACTTAAACAAATCTGATTTAATACTCTTTTCAATTCAATTCAATTAAAATCATTCAATTGAAATTATTCAACTCTACTCTATCAAAGGCCTGCTTCTCTTGGACTTCTTACTTTTCGAGAAAGTTTAATAAAAATTTAAGTTTTAAATAATTTATAATAAACTTGAATCTTAAATATATATTAAAGTATAAATAGAATATTATATTACAAGGGATACGATCTAGATTATATAAAAGTGGTCTAGATCCTTAGAGGGTTTATAATTAGATGTTAAACAAAGGTTTTAAATAATATCAATGATTACAATTTGTAACTAATAGTAAAGTATATTAAATGATTAATCTTAAGTATAAAGTTTTTATATATAAGAAATCTTTTTGATTTATATAAACCTTTATATTAATCGAATCATTTAAATTTAATAAATCTAGAATTCGATTCTTTAAATCTCTTAGATTTTATAATCTATTATATAACTATAATTAGATTATATATTCGAGTTTATTGAAAATGAAAAGATTATATAAAACAATTATTATATAAATTTATATATAAATAGCTTTGTTTTTCGATAAGGTTTAAACTTATATAAACAAATTGATTATTATTCTATAATATTATCCCCTTTTTAGTTTAATATTTGTTTCAAATTCTTATAATAATTTTATCTATTGATTTATTGATTTTTGTAAAATAGATTTTCCTTTTTATTATTATATCATTTATATAATCAAAGAAATATAAAAAACAAATCGAATTTGTAAAATTAATTGAATTTCAAAAAGATATTATACTTTTATATATCTATTGTGAAAATAATTTTTATATTTGTATTATTTCAAAAGAGAATTTTTTTTGATATAGCAAATATATATATTAAAAGATCAAATATAATCTTATAAATTCTTTTGTTATGAATATATATTATAAGAAAGTTAAAATTATAAATCAAATATATAAAGGTTTTAATTAATCAATCATATGACCTTTTATAATTAGATATAAAAGAAAAGCCTTTTGCTTTTTCTTTTTATAATAATCAATTTTTTATATATATACATTTGAATTTATATAATATCAATCCCAAAACTATTGTAAATTCTGTTTTATTTATAAATAATATATTATAATATAATCTAATTTAGTTTTCTTTTCTAATTCTCTTTTTATAATATTCTATTGGGATGTATGTATCTCGACCTACTACTTTTATAATATAATTTGATTCGAAAGCAAAAACATTTAAATAAAGAAAAAGAGAAAATAATTAATTTGATTATGATTATCATTTCTTATTTAATATGATTATATAAATAGTATAAATTTCTTCAAATTTATAATACTAAGATGATTTGTTGAGATTTAAAAACAATAGATAAATTGGAAAAGTTTGAAAAAAAGAATTATTGAAAAGAAGAAAGAGTTTTCATTATTTAATATTCTTAATTCTAAAGATAATTCTTTTGTAATGTTTTTTCTTGATTTTTTCTTTTTTGATTCTTTAGATTTTGATAATATTAATTCGAATAAGAATATATAGAATACTAAATAAATATTTATAATATATAATAACTTTAATCTATAATTGATTAATTTAATTATTTTATCGATTTTGAATGATTCTAATTTTTTGTAAGTTAATTTATCATTAGATTGTTTTGTTTATATATTTCTTTGAAAAAGATAAACTTTATCTCTTTTTTTAAATATAAATCCTAGATTATATAATATATTGTAATATATTGTTATTCTTAAAATTATAAATTATAAATCCAAAAAGAATCGTTTTTATAAATCCTTAATCTTTTCAATATTCTTTATAACTTTATTTATATTTTCATTCTATAATAATACTATTCGATATATTATAAAAATAATAGGTCGAGATATATATATCCTGATAGCATATTGTGAAAAGGGAATTGAAAGAGAAAACTGAATTAGATTATATTGTAATATATCATTTATAGATAAAATAGGATTTATAATGGTTTTGGGGTTGATATTATATAAATTCAAATATATCTATATAAAAGGTTAATTATTGTAAAAAGAAAAAGTAAAAAGCTTTTCTTTTATATTTAATTATAAAAGGTTATATAATTGATTAGTTAAAAACTTTTATATATTTGATTTATAATTTTAATTTTCTTATAATATATAAGGTTTATTTGATGAATGATAGAAAATAAAAAACTTGTTTAAATGAATTATAATCTTAATAATCTGATTAATTTAAAATATTATAATAATTTAGTTGAGGTAGTAATTATTTAAGATTTGTATAATTAATAGTTATAAATTGAGATTATTAATTATTTGTTATTTATTTGAAAATGAATTTGTTATTAGATTAAGTAGAATGTAGATAAACTAATTGATAATTAAGTTGAATATAAAGCTTTTAAATTATAAAACTATTTTGATTATATATTAATAAATATAAAGAAGTTTTATAAAGTTTTAGAACACTAAAAAACTTTTAAAGTTTTAAAAGCTTTCGAAATTTCCAGGATTTCTTATTATATAATTAGAATCAGATTATATATCCGAGCTTGTTAAAAATAAGGAGATCATATAAGGCGATTATTATACGAATTTGTATATAAATCGTTTTACTTTTCGATAAGGTTTAAGCTTATATAAACAAGTTGATTGTTGTCTCTCAACACACTATAATTGTAATCGTAAATCGTGATAATATCAAAAAAAAGAACAATATAAGAATAGATATTTTGAATAAATTATTAAGATATAAAGATAATAAAATCTATTTGAAAACAACGATTTTGAAATCTTTATCAAATGAAGATTTTATTTTTAATTTAATAGAAATTGTTATTATAAAGAATAAATCAATAAAGATTTAAAAGAATAAATTTGTAGGGCTAGGGCTAGGGTTAGGGTTAGGGTTAGGGTTAGGGTTAGGGTTAGGGTTAGGGTTAGGGTT